ACAAATCAACCACTTGCCGTAACCATGGCACCGGTTCCAGTCAGTAAGTCAAGAAACAATAGTCAAGGTATAGGCCAATAGTTTGGGACATTTGTAACTATTATTAAAAGTTAACTAAGCAGAAACAGCTCAAAACAAAACGCGAACTGAAAGTACAAATGCTTGCTTATGCATAAGTCAAAATACATTCTTCTATTCTAATTGTAACTACGTAATATTTTGTTTCTTTCAGTAATGATTACTGTTTTGTAACCACAAAGTACTGTAAGCCTGCCAAAATGAAAAGTATATGATCAACTTCACAAGATTGGGATCAACACCTTCACTTTGGTGTCTGTGTTGTTTCTCCACCCCCTCTTTCGCCGACTCCTCACCATCCTCCTCACCATCCGTTAGTCTCCTGAGACCCCCTGTTGGAGCTGGTCTCCGACAGCCAATCATGATTAAGCATTTACGTTTTCACCTCAATCACTAGGTGCTAGGCGACACAACTAGACTACATGACTCCTGACCTATTATTCACTTAAAAATTTAAAGCATACCAATAATTATTTCATTAACTTTTATTTTTTAAAAATATTTTTACAATTGTAGATGAACACAATATCTTCATTTTTATTTATTTATTTTTATGTGATGCTGAGGATTGAATCCAGGGTCTCACACTTATGAGGCAAGTGCTCTACCACTGAGCTACAACCCCAGCCCTAACCTTTAACTTTAAAGCATACTTATGATTATTGGTAAGCTTTCTTCTAAATTAAAATCCCAGTAAAACACACTTAAAGTAGTGAAAGTTATTACTTACAAAAACCCACTACTCTGAAGTGCCTCTAAAATATATCTATGTTACTTTTTCATTATTTTATTTTTAATTTCCAAGGTAATTTCCTTTTTTCATATAACATATTTGACTGCTTTCTTACAGAATTTTCTTGATCCTTGGTCAAAGCACACCAATTCTTATGTCTTGTAATCTTTAACAGAAGGGCAGGCTTTACACCTCAACCCATTTGTCATTTATATTAACTATGTGTTTTCCACTTTCATCATAAATTTCTGTGTAAGGCAAAGGAGAATGTGTTAGTGGGGGGAATGTATTTTTACAAACCTCTTGTCCTTGAGGAGGATAACATAAGCTACATACGGTGGTCCTTATTTTTGGCAGAGCAATTGTTTTTCTGTAGCTAGATGTTGTACAGGTTGAGGCTTTAGGACGGGGTTGGGGGGGTAGTGTAAATTGTTAACCATGGGATAAGTATTTCTTGTTGCTTAGGCTTAGGGAATAACACTATTGTTTGTATCCTGAGAGATACTGAAATGCACCTCATGGCATGTCTCCATCGTATCCTTAGTCTCATTCTGGGAATTTTCCTGCAATCTCAGGCAATATGTACTTTTATTATTGATTATATGTTATCCATATCATGAGTATCATAAACAAAACACTTAACATTCCTGATGGTTTTGGTTTCCAGATGGTGCAGCCCTGCTGCAGCATCCCCCACGTTGTGACCCTGTCAGACATCGGACATCGGATGTAGGACCTCCTTCACTAAAAAAACAAGTCTGGAAGGTGTCAAGGGGCAGAGCTGTCCTGATGGCAGGCAGTTCTAAGTGAGCTCGTGGTGGGATATGTGCCACAGGCAGGAGGAACAGTGATGAGCTAAAGCCTGGGCAGAATTGGAAGTTTGTCACTGTGGTGATTTTCCTGGGCAAGGCTCTTGACAGGTGACCAGGTGATGTGTCAGTGTGCTGCCATGCCAGTTTCAGATACCTCCTTTTAAGGGTCTTAAATAGGGGCAGGGTGTTTACATCTGGTGTGATTGGTAAGTTTGTGTCTGGTGTTTCTGATGATTTGATTATGCCCAGGTGTCCATGTGCTTCTGATTTAATTTGATATGGTTTCCAGGTGGTCATGTTTTATTGGTATAAATAAGTTAAAATCTGTGCCTTATGGTTGTGCTGGGCAGATGGCGGTGTAGAAACAAGGTTTAATCATTCCACCTTGGCACTTGTACTCAGAAATGGAGAAACTCATGGCAAACCGTTCTATATGATACAAGGCAATTCAGAGGTAGGCACAGCCTGGAACTGCTGATCTATATCAGGCAGTAACTCGGAGCAGGACCCAGCCTGCGCCAGCAGGCCCTCCACCCCACTTCCTGGAGCCAGGCTGGACCATTTCGGCTGCTCTACGGGGGTAACATCTGGCCCACCCCTGTTTTGTCCAGCTATGTCAGGACACTGCCACCCGAGACTCAGGTTTAGTAAGGACGAGGATAAATCCCATTGCTTCTCTCAGCTGAGCAGAGTTGAAGAAAGGACACAAAGACAGGCAGCAAGCAGGTTACTGCAAAAGTAACCAAGTGGGGAATTCTACCAGGAGAAGGGCCCTGAGCCGGACGGAGGGCCTGACTTCCGCTGGTGCGCTTTGCGTTCCTTCGCTTTCCGTCCCCTCCCCGCTCTCCAGTACCGTGCCCACACGTCGATTTTAGTCTACCGGACGCCCGCAGGTGTCCACGAGTATGCAACTGCACCTGACTGCGCCCCGGGCCAACGTCCAGGGCCACTTTGCTCGGCCAGGAAGCTCACATACCGGGGACCTTCTGGGATGGGTCTGGGCGAGGCCCGCCACGCCCGCACTGGGCGCCGTGTCAAACGGCCCCGTGTCCTGCCTGAGACCTCCTTCACTGCTTACCCTTCAAGGCCCCGCGGAGGCGTCCTTTCTTCACGAAACCTTCCCCGACCCCCTCTTTGTCCCTCTCCCCAAAATGGGTGTGAGGAGGCCTGAGCCCAGCAGCCAGGGGCAAAGTCCCTGCGTGCTTGCGGTCCAGCTCTCGAGGGCAGAACCTCAAGGCCGCCCGCCCTGCACCCAGGGGCCTCGCGCCAGACCCGCGGGCAGCGGCTCCCGACACGCCACACGCGGCCGGGCAAGGCGGGCCGCACGAGGCCGAGGGCGCGGCCCCGCTCTCCCGCCGCGCGCTCTGATTGGAGGGCTGCGGGTGGGCGGGGTTTCCGGAACGACGGCGGCGCTGCGCGGGGAGTTCCTGCCTCTGGCTGTTCCCGCGCTCCGCAGGCGGTTGAGGAGGCGCGACGCCGGCTTCCACTATGCTGCGCAAACTCACGGTCGACCAGATCAACGACTGGTTCACCATCGGCAAGGCCGTGACCAATGTGGAGCTGCTGGGCTCGCCCCCCGCCCTCCCAGCCGAGGCGGGCAGGGATGAGGCTCAGCGCAAGGACGTGGCCCCCAGCGCTGGCCCCTCGGCCCCGTCCCCGGCTCCGGCTCCGGCCCCGGCTCCGGCTCCGGCCCCGGCCCCGGCCCCGGCCCCTCTGGCCGGGGCCCTCGGGAGGTAGGGCGCGGGGAGCGGGGCAGGCCGCTAAGCCCTCAGGAACTGCCTGTGCACAGTCAGCGCCTCCGGAGCGTTGCCGGCGTTTCTGCTTTACCGACGGGCTCTGCCCTCAGAACCTGCTGTGGGTTTCCAGAAGCGTCGCGAAGTGCCCGTGTGTCCCCCTTCCCAGCGCCCACGTGACTGCACGTGCACTGGCATCGGCTGCGGTTGGGGAACCCGCCCGACACTTCGCGGTCACCTGGGGTCCGTGGCGTACATTCGGGGTCGCGCTTGGTGCCTTGCGCTCCGTGGCCTGCGATTAGCGTATGACGACGGGTGCGCTGCCGTCCGGGGGGCAGTTTTATTGCCTAGAAATCGGCGCTGCCTGGGTTCCTCCCCCCTCAGCCCTGCGCGCTGGTCTTTTTTTCTGCTCCCCTGGTTTCCTTTGCAGAAGGCCCTGCGGTGGCCAGCAGCCGTGTGCCCCCTTTCGCCCTGCCTCCTTTCACTTAGCCTCCTGCGCTTGACCTTCTTGCTTGCTCTCGGCCTGGTGGCTTTCCCCTTTTTAGCACTGATGGGTCCTCCATGGGATGTACCACATTCACCTGCTGCAGATTGGCTGCTTCCAAGTTTGAGCAGTTCGTAAAGATTCTATGCAGGTTTTTCTGTGGACATGTTCATTTGGGTAAATACCAGGGGTTTGTGAATGCTGGATCTCCGTTCAGTTTTGTTAACCCTCCTCTCAGGATTCTTTGGCTTAAGAGCTGCTGTAAGTTATTCGCTTCTCGTAAATTTGTTGGAAACAAGGCAGGAGGATAGTCTCTTTGATTCAGAGGAGACCTAGATCTGGTGTCTTTATTTTATTTTATTTTTTATTGTTGGTAGTTCAAAACATTACACAGTTCTTAATGATCTGGTGTCTTTAATAAAAACAGCCTGAGAAGTCCCCCTAGCTGAGTGCAGGGAATCTCCGTTACTCTGCTGCACCCCGAGTTTAGCACCTTTGAAGTTGGGAGTGTTGTTTTTTTTTTTTTTTTGGATAAAGTTATTCTTGTTGGCAGGTTACATCTGGTTTGATGGTTAGGCCCAGACTATGGGTCAAGTTCTTGTGTGTTGCTTCAAGCCTTTTGTAGGGTCCTTTCAAATGCAATCTTGGGATCTTTGGTAATTGTTTTCTTAGAGCTATGGCAGGGACAAAGTGACCCCTTGTGCAGCTTAGAAGTGGCTGCTGTTTGTACTCTCTTTTCTTGAATGACTGTGGTGAATGATCCTTCTCTACTCAAAAAACTAATTGCTTGAAGTAACTCAATTAAATTATTAAGTTATTATTGACTTTGTCAGAAACTAAAAATATATATTTAAATGTCATTTTAACTATTAAGGACCATTTTTAAAAATTTGCAGTTCTTGGGACTGAGGGTATAGCTCAGTGGTAGATCCTGGCAAATGAAGCCCCGGGGTTTCAATCCCAAGGACTGTAGAATAAATAAATAATCCAGTTCTTCATGGACTAAAATGTTTATAAAAATCAATCAAAATGAATTTTCAGAGCAATAAAATGGGAAGACAAAAGCCCCATTTTATTCTATTAAATTTAATGTGTAAAATTAATTTATAAAATGGTCATAAATGTTTTAACTTTTGTACTTAGTCATCGACAAACAACATCTTTCTCAGCAGTGCTAGCTGAGATGATATTCCTCTGTAAGTGCCTTTCTGGGCTTTAAACATGTATATCCAATGCCAGAGTTTCTATCATGTAGTAGACACTCAACTAAATGCAGCTACATTAGTTAATCATCATAACAATTGTTTGGCATTATCATTAATCACCTATTATGATTTTATAGAGGAAGAAATAGACTTGGGTAGCTGAGTAACTTGCCCAACTTCATGTAGCAAATGGTCATAATGGGCAGAATGACCCCCAAAGATGTATGCTATACCCTCTGAATATGTAATGTTACATGGCAAAAGGGAGATTACTTAGATTACCTGAATGAGCACAATATAATCACATGAGCACTTAGGGCTGGGGACATAGCTTAGTTGGTAGAGTACCTGCCTCACTTGCACAAGGCCTTGGGTTCAATCCCCAGCAATACACACACAAAACAACAACAACAAACAAACAAACAAACAAAAAAACACATGAGCCCTTAAAAGCAGAGAATTTTCTGTGACTGAAGTTAGAGGTTTGAAAGATTTGAAACATGGCCAGATTCTTTTTTTATGAAAACCATTTCCAGTAAGGAAATGAGTTCCTTAGTCCTACAGTTGCATGGGACTGATTTTGACTGACAACCTGAGTGAGCTGTCAGTAGGGAAGGCAGTCTTGCAAACCCTTGATTTTGGCCTACGAGACCCTAAGCAGAGGGCCCAGGTGAATTTGACTGGACTTGTGAGGTCAGTCTCTGTTTTCTTTTTTATACCTTTATTTTGTTTATTTAGTTTTTTTTATGTGGTGCTGAGGATCGAAACCAGTGCCTCACGTGTGCTAGGCAAGTGCTTCATCGCTGAGCACACCCAGCCCAGTCTCTGTTGTTTTAAACTGCTAAACTTGGGATCTTTTGTTGGAGCACCATTGCAGTTAGGAAACCAACACAGTGGTAGAGCTGGGTTGCAGATTTTGGGTGAGTTGACTCAGGAAGCCTGGCCCATAGTGTGGTTCAAATGTTAGTTGAACTATGTCTTTCCAGTAAAGGAGAGTTCTGGCTGCAATTTGGGCTTCAGTTAGAAAATATTTGACATGGGAAGGTGGCCTTCACAAGCTGGGGCTGTCCCACAGTACTGTGTGTCACTTAGTGGTTGTTTGCAGTGAGTGACTGGCGTCCTGTCTGTGAGAATGTTGGTCACTTAGTGGTTGTCACTAAGTGACCAACATGCTAGTCACTTAGTGGTTGTTTTCAGTGAGTGACTGGCGTCCTGTCTGTGAGAATGTTGGTAAATCAGTATAATGAGCAGTGGCCACCAGCATTGAAATAGTGAACCTGACTGTATCTCAGGTAGTTCAGAGAACTGCTCTGGGAGGGATATGTGTGGGTGGTGAAGAAAGGGCTACAGTTTAAGTTTATTTTCAGTGGGTAAAACATTGCTTGCTTTTCTGCCATGGGAGGTTGGCGTGCTGGGCTCACAGGACTTGGTGCAGTGTGTGTGAGGGTGAGTAGTTTGCAAATCATGCTTCCCTCAGCCACGGGGCTCCCCCTTTCTTCTTTGTGTGGTGCTGGAGCTTACTTGTTTTGATTGTGGATTATGCCCTGTTGTCCTTACTTTCCTTGGCTTATGAGAAAGGAAACCCTAGAGGCTGTGCAGGGCATTTTGAGCATTCTTCTCCAGGGCTGTTGCTCTGTCTGCCCTCAGCTGTGGCTCTTATGCCCAGTGCTGCTTTGTGCCTTCTGAGTTGGAACCTCCTGTCTTCAAGGCTTACATTAACTCCTAGTCCATGACATTCTTGAATAATTCTCACTGTTGTGCCTTTGACTCAACATCTTAAAATTGTGCTCTGACCCAGAGGCTTCCCTGAAGAGAGCTTTCACCCAGATTACTTCAGCATTTTTCCTCTTTTTGTTTTACCGAAAGCTGAATGCCTGCTGTGTTGGACATTGTACCAGGTTGCAGTCCTTCCCACAGATAGAAGTCTCACTCTTTGAGGGAGTCAAACATCAGAGAAGTTGAGAAACTGACCTCGACCAGTCTGCATACATTGTAGAATCTTTGACTCCAAAGTATATTGCTTTTTTTCTTTTTGCCTTATTGCCTTTTGGTATTTTGGCCTCACACAGATGTTAATGTGTACCTCTGTTAACTTCCAAGAATTCCTGTGTTCTATTTACTCACTGTTGTAGTTTGGATCTTAAAAATTTCCCAGAGGCCCGTGTGTTAAAGGCTGGGTTCCTAAGGTGGTGCTTTAGAGGTGGTGGAATCTTTGAGAGGTGGAGCCTATTGGAAGGTCCTCAGGTCATTGGGGGCATGCCCTTGCATGGGGTAATGGGATTCCAATCCCTCCCTCTCCATTTCTTTTTTGCTTCTTGGTCATGAGGTGAGTGGTTTTGCCCTGCCATGTGCTACTGTCATGATATGATGCCATGATGGGGCCGATTGATCATGAATTCAAACCTGCAAAACAATGAGTCAAAATAAACCTTTTCTTTTTATAAGTTAATTACCCCAAGTATTTTGTTATAGCATTGGATAGCTGACTAACACACCACAAAGTCCATGTTTTTTAGATCAAAAACAGATCTTTTGACTAACAGATGGTTTATTAGGTAAACAATATTCCCTATTGATTAAAAAAACACTGGAGTATCCTGTGCGTATTATGTGCAGCTAGAGTATATTGAAAGGGAGGTAAAAGATGAGGCCAGAGAGGTTAACAGAGATTATGTGTTGTCTCTTAAATCATAGTGAGGACTTTGTTGCTTCATCTGTGGGAGCTGGGAGCCACTGGGGGAGACTTGGGGTTTTGAGTGGAGCTGTACTATGGTTTGACTTATGGCTGCACCAGGATCACTGCTGCATGATTTAAGTGGGTAGAAATAAGATCAGGAAGGAGTCTGTGGATATTATCTGTGATGGCTAATTTGTGTGTCACCATGGCAGAGTCACAGTGTCTTGACACATGGTCAAACACTGCTCTGGATTTCAGTGAAAGTGTGTTTTGGATTAACATTTGAATTGGTGGGCTTTGAGTGGGCCTTCTCCAATTTTTTGAAGTCCTGCATACATCAAAGACTGGCTTCACTTCAGCAAGAAGAAATTCTGTCATCACATGAGATGTGGGCTGCAGCTCTTCCTGGGTCTCCAGTCTGCCCAACAGATTTTGGACTTGCACCTCTAAGATGGTGTGAGCTAATTCCTTAAAAGTAAATCTCTCTGTACAGATGTCCTGTTCTGGTTCTCTGGAGGACACTGACTAGTACATCATTCAGGCAAGACATAGGATGGAGGATTGGATCAGAAAGGTAGTCAGGGGTGGTAAGCATGGTTGAACTGGGGATATGCTCTTAAGATAGAGGTGAGGACCTTGTAGCTGGGCCAGATACAGGATGTGAGTGGGGAAGTGTTGTAGGTGGCAATAAGATTTCTGGCTGAGCAACTGRAAGGTGTTGCTATCAATGAGGAGGGCAAAACTGCAGGAGGATGGGCTCTGTATGGGGGTGGGGGGCTATACCAGAAGTTTGACTTTGAAATGCCTGTTGGCAGTTAATGCAGGCAGTCTAGGTTAAGTCAAGTATGATTGGAATTAAGACATCTGAGGGTTAGGGCTTTGGGCTTAGTGGGGTGAGACCACTCAGACTGCGGGTGCTAGATCCTGGTGGGTGGGTGTAGAGTGAGAAGAGGTCCACAGCCGATGCCATGGTGCTTGGTGTTCAGAGGTTGTGATGGAATGAGCAAAGAAGACTGGGCAGGAGCTAAGGGGAGGGTCAGGAAAACCAGGGAGTGAGACCCCCCAGGAGACAGTGGCTTGCTTTACATCCTGAGTGTGAATCTCTTTGTACTTTATGGGAGTTATTATATGGGTTGTTTCCCTGCAGAAGAACTTATTTAAGACAAATTGTCACTAAATCTCTATCACTTAGTGCAGTCCCTATCACATAGTATTAGTGCAGATATTTGTTTGAATGAGTGAGCTGCATTAGTAGGTCCTAGGTACTGGGTGCTTACAGTATGCCAGGAGAGTTGCATTGTGCCTTGATCTTTGGCTGTATGTGTGAGTAAGCTACTGAAAACTAGGGGATCCTGACGATTGTGCTGTACTTATTTCCAGAATTACAGTGCAGCTCACTGTTTCCATACCACCAACCTAGGCCAAACCATGGTCATCTCTTGCTTGGATTATTATAAAAGCCAACCATTTCTGGCTTTCTGGTTTTGCATCCTTGCTTACTAATGATCTGTCTAGCACTTACAAGAATTCTTGGCATGAGGTCCATGTGGAATGATCACACTATCGGTCTTTGAGTACCTGTGTGACTCTGGTGGGGAGACTGCCTTGCCCAGTGTTGCTTAATTGGTACCTGTGTCATCTGCTGCTCTCTTTCCTGCACTAGGGCTATACTTGCATTTTTCTCTCTGTCTTGAAGATTCCAACTCTATTCCCACCACTCAGCTTGTGCATTTTCTCTTCCTTCTGTGTCGATTGTCCTCCCTCTTAATTTTTCCTGTTTTTTTTTTTTTTTCCCCCATGACAGGCTCCTAGCATCATTGGGGCCCTGTTCAAATATCTGCTCGTCAGAGAAATTTCATATGACTCCCATATTCTTTAATTCCTCCACCTTCTTTTCCAATCTTAGCCTGTTTCACCTTTCTTCCTCTAAGTACTTATCACATGCCAAATGCTTGTTTTTGATAGCCAAAAACTAGTTCTGCCAATCATCTTTGCACTTGTGTGATTATGACTTGGTCCCCTCCCTTACCCAGGGAGACCAGAAAGATTCTGGCTTGTAGATTTGGATGGTTAGAGAGTGTTGTCATTTACTAAGATGGACAGGGCTATTTTTTTAATATTTATTTTTTAGTTGTAGTTGGACACAATACCTTTACTTTATTTTTTTATTTTTATGTGGTGCTGAGGATCCAACCCAGGGCCTCACACGTGCTAGGCAAGCGCTGTACGCTGAGCCACAACCCCCCTCTGGACAGTGCTACTTGATGAAGTGTTTGAAGAGCTGTACTTTTACTGTGTGTGTCCTGGGCATTGTCTTAATGGTGTATGTTTTGGCTGATTTCTCCCTTGATTTTTGTACTTTTAGAAAAGAAACCTTTATGATTGGTAGTTTTGAGCATGTTGATTTTCATTTTGTTTTAATTTTGAGACAGGGCCTTGTCAAGTTGCTGAAGCTGGCCTCGAGCTTGCTATCCTCCTACCTCAGCCTCCCAAGTTGCTAGGATTATAGGCCTGTGTTACCTTGCCTTGTGGTAATTATGTTGACTTTGAGGAGATGTTGAGTAAGCAACTGGTTATTTTACATTTGGATCACAGAAGGTAGGTTTGGGCAGGGCAGGTCAGATAGAGTGGGTGTGCTTCACTTCTGTTAGTTAGCTCTTGCTGGGTGAGCCACTTAATCCCTCCGAGGCAGCTTGCTCCTCTCTCAGGTGGGAATAATATCACTCACTGATTTACAAGGGTAGGATTGAATGGGAAGGCACACATGTTCCTGGTATGTAGAGGACTTACTTTAACATTATTCCATGGGTTGGGCTGGTCAGGAGTGCAGTGGTTGGAGAGTCTGTTGTGTTGAGTCCTGTGTAGAGCTCTTTCCCGTGAATGTCTTTACTTACTTCTCATTGTTCCCTAGCTAAATGCTTCTGTGACTGCTCACACCACCTTCTCTTGATAAAATATACCTGCAGAGTTCCCAGTCATCCTCCCCCTTTATTGTCCTTTGTATTTTTTAATATATATTTTTTTAGTTATAGGTGAACACAATGTATTTATTTTACTTTATGTGGTGCTGAGGATCGAATCCAGTGCCTCACACATGCTAGGTGAGCACTCTACTTCTGAGCCACAACCCCAGCCCTGTCCTTTGTATTTTTAACCCTAATTCCTTTGCCAGCTTTAGGTATTATAAATAGTCAGTGAATAAAAACCTTGATCTATTAGTATTCAGGAAATTATTGTGTTAAAATTTCTATTTTACTTGTTGATTTTTCCAGAAACAACTCTAGTTTTAAATTTCATAAGCTAAGACTTTCTTAAGAAGCACTGTTATTAGGTTATTACCAATTATAAAATGAGAGAAACTCAAAACAGAGTGTATTATTCTATTCTCTTCTAAAATCTGGTTGTAAGATGGATTTTGGGTAACAGATGGCCTGGCATGCATTCTCATCCTGGAATGACACAGCTCTCTACCTCTTCAGTCATGATGGTATATACCTGTAATCCCAGCTGCTCAACAGGCTGAGGCAGGAGGTTCAAGTTTAAGGCCAGCCTGGGAAGCTCAGTGAGATCCTGCCTCAAAATAAAAAATGCAAAGGGTGTGGAGTTGAGTATCCCACACTGGTAGAGGTCAATCCCCAGTACCTCAAGGTGGGGAGGAAAGAAATGGTAAGGGTTTTAATATTCTAGGTTTTTTTTTTTTTGATTTTTAGTTTTCAGTGAACCTTTACTTTGTTTATATGCAGTGCTGAGAATCAAACTCAGTGCCTTACATGCTAGGCAGGTGCTCTACCACTGAGCCACAACCCAGCCCCAGGGTTCCAGTTCTTTAACAAAAGAATAAATTTGACTAATGCTTCATTTTCTACTTTAATTAAATTATTAAAATGTAAAATTTTTATATATTAAATAATTTGCTATTTTATTTTTTTTGAAGAGAGAGAGAGATAATTTTTTTTAATATTTTTTTTTTTTTTAGTTTTTCCGTGGATTGTATGTGGTGCTGAGGATTGAACCCTGGCCGCACGCATGCCAGGCGAGTGTGCTACTGCTTGAGCCACATCCCCAGCCCTAATTTGCTATTTTAAATGAGTATACATTGCCAAGATTGAAAGTTTTTCTGAAGTAGGATAAAAAATCCATTTATTTTTACTGATACACTATAGAGATGTTTTTAATACTTTCCTTTAATGTTAAGATAGAAAATAAGTAATTAAAAATGAATCTGAGTCAGGATAAAGCACTACTTTGTTTGTAAACTGCAGGTTATTTCCTCCCTCAATGCCCCCTTCCCCTGTCCCCAGCTGAGTATGAGATTACATCATGGGATATTTACATCATTCCACTGTTATATTGTATAGATAGGATTCACAGTAATCATTTATTTTATACATAGCCTATTTTAGAATAAAAATCAAGGCTAACTAAGTTTCACACAGGATATATAAAAATCCATACTAAATTGCCTTGGTTCCTGTGAGATGTGTTTGAAGGATAAGAAAACACTTTAAACATTTTAAAAAAATATTTAGGAAATAATTTAGTTAGAAGCATACTGTTCAGTGAGAACATTACATGTTTAGAGTGGTTAAAAAAAGAACAATTTAAAACAGGATACTCATCCATGGGAATTTTAACTTCTGACCTCATGACAAAGAAAACTGAAGTCACATCGCTTTTGTTTAATGTTAGGAGTATTGGTTCTTGGATGGCACACGGAAGCTTGGTTATAGGAACCTTAACTTGGTGGGTAGTAGTACGGTAGGTTCCATATTCTGTACGAGCATGCTGGGAACCTGTTCTTGCTGTTCCTGTCTACGTAACTTGAGATGGTGGGTATTTCATCTTTTTCTGGACTCTTGGAGCTTTCACCTGGGAGTGCTGAGTCGGGGGGACAGCCTGTGTCCCAGGAGTGCTGTGGGCCCTCCTGCTGAGTCCCTTTGTCAGGACTACTGAGGAAGTCTTTCAGAACTTGCTTGAAGATGTAGACTATTTCCCATGGCAGCACATCATTTTCTGCTAGAACTTCTCGAAATCTAGGGGGAATGCGGGAATGAATATCCAATTCAGACAATTTTTTTTGTCACGTCCCTGCAACTCCAAGTATAGCTTACATAATGTGATTGATACTAGTTACCCACCTTTTGAGTAATCTGTACGTAGCTCTAAAGTTATGCTTCTAGTAAAGAAATTTTGATTCTAATTGAATTTCCTACCAGTGAGATATCCACAGATTTTTATCCAGCTTATCTCTAGGGATTTTGGTATGTGGGTATTTGGTATGCATGATTAAAGAATTTATGCATTAGGTTACAATTTCCAGTCTAAATATGTGAGGAGCTTAGACCTGGGTGTAGCAAATATCAGAAGAGAACACAGTATATTTACCTGCTGAGAATAGTTCCAGTTTGGCAAGGATGAACTTGTGAACAAAGAACTTCGAGTTGTCTTTGCTCTGCAGCTGGGATGGTTGTATGGGGACTCTGGTAGTTTCTAAGCCAGTTATAATCCACACCTGTTTTTTTCACTTTTTGCTCATTTTCAATCTCTTGTATGAATCTTTCTCGCTCCTTTAGATGCCATTTTAATTCCCGAAGCAGAGTCTTTGTCACTATATCTGAGTCAGCATAGTGTGTAGGTTTGTAGGAATTGTTTTTTGGCCATTTCATCCAACCAAAGAGTGGCATTTTTAACCTGTGGAAATAGTCTCACTTGTTTATGTTTATGCGGTTTTATAGTTCTGATCAGCAAATATTTGTTTGTTTATTTGAACAATAAAACTGTCAAAAAAATGCATAAGTTTTTCAGTGGCTAGATATGCAGGTCAAAATAAGATTAGAACATGGATTAAAGTCTTCAAATTTCTAACTAGGTCAGTGCCAAAAATCAAGCTTTGAAAATACTTTTATGTAGCTAAGCAGAAGTTAAATACATAAAGTCAGAGATAATCTACAAACTGAATAATATCTGAAAGTAACACTTGCTATTAAAAGTTCTTCAGAGGCTTTAAAATACCAATGCATTGGAAAGGGCTGTCAAAGACATACTTTTGGTCTATGCTTTATACAGAAAAAGCTTAAAGCTTACCTGCCAAGTTGATGGATCTGATGTGGGGATGCTGCCACAGTGTACTCAAATTGATGATGAAGCTGTGTCTCATTCAGGCATATCTCGTTCTCCTGGATTTTCCTCTGTCGAATGAGCCTCCTGATTTGCCCCCTGAAACTGTATTTGAAATAAATAACTTTCTGTGTTAGGAATGAGGTTGTGATGTCTTCTTTTGGAGAGACTGCTCATTAATTCACCTTGTAAGTAAGCTAGAAGAAATGACAAAAATAACTTACTATTTAATTTTCCCAAATTATATAATGGCCTGCCTTTTGAATGCAGCTCATTCTATTTGAAAAAGATGCCGGCAGCTATGGATACTGGTCCCAAATGCATTCCGACATGTCTTTGGTAGTGACGAAGAACATCGTCTGAAGCACCACAGATGCGCTCCTAGCTGGAGTGAAGACTGTCGCATGATGTGATGCTTTGCTGTGCATAGCTGTAGGTCACAGTTTAGTGCTGTATTTTTATGCCTGTAGAGCTCTAAAAATAACCATGTTGCTTTTATTCTTCAGCTTAACTTTCAGGCCATTTAGAAGCCAGGTCACTGTCCCCTCTAATGAAAGCAGGAAAAATAGATCAGATTTGACTATCTGCAAAATACACACTCCGAGAAGTTTTGTTGTAATTGAACAAAATAGGTAAAGCATGCTGATATCAGTCATGTGAAATATTTAGCAAATGTTATGTTCAATATTACTTTTCTTGCAGAATAGTTAGATTTGTATACTAAAGCAAGTTTAAATGCTAGAGGACATTATAAACACTTAAGTAGGTAACTTTAACATGCACTTGATAATCTCTGGATATAACATCATAAGGCAATAATTGGTTGTTAGGAAAAAAAGAAATAGATGTAAGAACATTTAGTTTAAAGTGAAATCTTATAGTTCCTCATAGAAAGCATTTTGGTGTTTTATCTTAGAGCTGCCGATGAAGCATGGGTTAGGTGAGTATTGGTAGGCAGTGCTTTTTATTGTGCTGATTTTCTATTCAGTATTCATCTTGGGGAAGAGTAGATAGAGAAGAAAGGTCTCTGGCTCTTTGTTAAGCAACTACACAGTGATTTTTCCTTTTATAATTTTTTTTCTGTTGCTTTTGTTTCCAATGAACTGTGAAGAACAGACACTGTTCACATCAGACCTCCGTGTGTGTGATCAAGCGTGTGTGGGATGGTCCTGAGAAGCTGGATGTCAGGATCCATTACCCTCACTAGCAGGCTTCACCTTGTGCTGCATGCAGCACTCTAAGAAGGGAAGAATGAAGTTTATCGTGATAGAAACATCCTGCCTGATTTTATACTCAAATTGCAATGACTCTTGCCTTCTTCCTTTGAATTGCCTTCTTGTTACCGCTTTAAAATGTCTTTCTTCTGAAATGGTGATGAAAATATAACAGAGTATATTGAATATGGACAGAAACCAGGTTTCCATTTGAGGCTCTATGCAGCCTTGTTATCCCTTCCCACCTGGCTCTTTCCTTGCTACCATCCCAGTGCCAGGCCTGACTGTCCCACACTTTTGCTTGCTTTTGACCCCTCAGCTCTAATTACACTGACTCTTCTTAAATGCTTATTCTTTCTCAACTATGTAGCCATACCATAATTCTGTTCCAGGGGCCAGTTTGAATACCAAATTCCAATTAAAAAAAAATTTTGTCAGTACAGGGGATTGAACAAATGCAGAGGTGCTCTACCACGGAGCCATGCCCCTGACCTTTTTTTTTTTTTTATTTCAAAACAGGGTCTAAGTTGCTGAAATTGACTTATGATCACCTTCCTCAGACTCCCAAGTTGCTGGGAGTATAGACGTGTGCCACCATGCCAGGCTCACAATTCTTATCACCTCAGCTCACAGGGAGTAACCTTCTTTTGAACTTACTCATATAAACCAGTTTTTGTAGCACTTGTTGTATGCTACTTGTATTGTTCCAAATTAATTTCTTTCTTTCTCCTGATGTTGTATTGAAGTAGAGACCACATATGAATCCCTATAGTGTTCCTCCTACTAATATGTAGATCAAGAACATGTGTGTTTGAAGATTGAAATAAGGAAGTACTTTTAATGAATATTTTCTGTTTATAAGGGTAAAATCAGATTAACATTGGAATTTATTAAATATTTTATTGAGTTAAATGAATTGCTTCTAATGAATTATAACACTATTAGGATATTTTATGGGAAGACAGAGCTTGAACTATTAAAAAAACCCAGCTTTTGGTTGTCACAGTTTTCTAGGCATATCTTGTTAAGCTAAATGGTATAAAATTTTTAAAGAGTCCAAGTAAAATAGGGCCATGTTGTTCATGCTGGGTGTATATGTAAAATTTCTAGAGGTATAAAGAATTATACAGAAAGGTAAGTCTGGAAAAATAAAATTAGGGAACCTTGCAAGACAAACTCAGGAGCCAGGAACAGCTTTTTAGATGATATAATCAAAGTCATTGGATAAATTATTCAATTGTTAGATTGCAAATAAAGAATTTTCATTATGGGGAGACAAACTTCTGTTTTTTAATTCCTTTGCTATGGAATTAAAAGTTCTGGATTACTTTTTTTTTCCAAGTTAAAAATCATATTTCTGGGCTGGGAATATAGCTCAGTTGGTAGACCGCTTGCCTCACATGCACAAGGACCTGGGTTCAATCCTCAGCACCATAAAAACAAAATATAACCCCACATTTTTATGAGGGATTGTTTTTATAAAAACACTTTAAACTACAAGTATAAGGAAATTCAACATAAAAAAAATGCTACATATGAAGCCTATAATTTATGTCGCAATCAATAATGAATGACTGAAAACTTTTCTCCGAGATCAGGAACAAGGCAAGGATGTCTACTTCTTTTTAATTTTTTTTGTAGTTATAGATGGAAAGTATGCCTTTATTTTATTTGTTTATGTGGTGCTAAGGATTGAACCCAGTGCCTCACATGTGCTAGGTAGGTGCTCTGCCACTGAGCTATAGCCCAGCCTCTGCCACTTCTTCTATTCAGTACAGTACTGGAAGTTCTAGCTAGATCAATTATGCAAGAAAAAAAATAGAGAAAGTTGTTAATACCAAGAAGGAGTCACTGTATCAAACTCAAAGAAAGTAGAGTCAGGAGGTTCTGTATGAAGGGAAAGCCCTTGTGCACATGCCTACAGATAAAAACTGTAAAAGATTATCTGAAGGGCTCCTATGCATATAAGAGCTTTTGCCAAGGCTTTTCCAAATTTTAGCTTGCTACACGAGTCACAAGGACGGCTAGCCAGATGCACAAGAACACACACCTGAAATGAAACACTGTCTTCACTAATGAACTAAGTCACTTCCTGTGATAAGTGCCTGTAGCCCATGTACTCTTTGTACAAAATAACTTTCATGTATTCTTCTTTTCATCTTTAAAAACCCTTGTCTTGGGCTGGGGGTTTAGCTCAGTGGTTGAGTGTTTACCTAGCATTCGTGAGGCCCAGGATTTGATCCCCCGTGCCACCAAACCAAACCTAAATGAAAACAAAAACTTTGTTTTTCTTCACCTCCCTAAGTAGACCCATACTTTGTGTATTCATTTTTCATTTGCACTTGGTATGCTCATTTCAAATTGAAATCATTATCATTGGAAAATCTTTTGTTATTTATGTTGACAAAATGAAAGTCATTGAATTGAATAGTAAGGAGTAAAATTATCTCTCTACAGTTAATGTGATCTTACATGGAGAAAGCACTAAAGGATCCACACATACAAAAACCAGTGAGAACTAATAACAGGCAACAAGATACAAAGTTAACACACAAAAATCAGTTGTATTTGTATACACTAGAAATAAACATAACACCAAAAAGCATAGAATACTTAGGAACCAAGAAAGCAAAAGACTCATCTGATGAAAAGTACAAAAGATTGCTTAAAGAAGGAACACAAGTGGAAATGCCCCATATTGATGGGTTGGGAGATCTAATATTGTTTAGATGTCAGTTCCACAGCTTTATTGCAATCTCTTATCAAAAAATCTTGTGACGTATTTTGCAGGAATAGGAACCCATCTTAAATTCATATGGGATCTTAAGTGACTTTAGATAGCTAAATCGGTCTTGAAAAAGAGTAAAACTGGAGGTACTCACATTTCCTAATTTCAAACCTTACTACAGAGCTATAGTAAATAAAAAATTGTAGTGCTAGAATAAAGGCATACATTCCAATGGAGCAGATTAATGAAAGCCCAGAAATAAACCTTTGCATATATGGTGGAATTATTTCTGTAAGGATGCCAAGACCATTTAAGGTGAAAAGACAGTTTTATTTCCCAACAAATGAAGTTGAAAAAAAAAAAAAAACACCTGGATATCCATAGGCAAAGAAGGAAATTGGATCCTTGCCTTTTGCTATATAAAAATTATCTAAAAATAGATGAAAGACCTAATGTGAGACCTAAAACTGAAACTCTTAAGACTTCATGTCATTGGATTTGGCAGTGATTTCTTGCATATGACACTGAAAACCCAAAGAATAAAAGAAAAATATTGGTAAGTTGGATTTCAGGAAAATTAACATTTGTATGTCAAGAGACCATTGGCAGAGTCAAAAAGCAGTTCCTGGAGTGGGAAAAAGTATCTGAGAGTCATCAGATTAATACACACACTGTCTAAGAACTCCTAAAACTCCATAGCAGCAGCAACAATAAGCTCAATTCAAAAATGGGCAGAGGAGAACTGGGGCCTGGGTTTCATCCCCAGCACTGCAAAAAAAAAAAAAAAAAAAAAAAAGAAATTGAATGGATATTTCTCCAAAGATGATATATAAGCTCATGAGAAGATGCAGATTTTAACTACAATTAGATACTACTTCAAACTCATTAGGATGGCTGTTATCAAAAAGACAAGGAGGTAGAGAAACTGGAACCTTTGTATGCTTTTCATGAGAATGTAAAATGGAACAGCCGCTGTGGGAGACGGTATGGTGGTTCCTCAAAAAGTTTAAAATAGAATTAGCCATATGATCCAGCAATTCTGCGGCTGGGTTTAAATCCAAAAGAGTAGAAGGGAGGGTCTCAAAGAGATGTTTTTACACTTACATTCCTCAGCAGCATCATTCAAGGAGCTAAGTGCAGAGGCAACCAGTGTCATGTCCATTGACAGTGAATGGTGTTTTAGTCATCATTTTCAGTGCTGTGACTCAAAGACCTGACAAGAACAATTTTAAAGGAAGAGAAGTTTATTTGGGGCTCATGGTTTTAGAGGTCACAGTCCATAGATGGCTGACTGTGTTGCTCTGGGCCTGATGTGAGGCAGGACATCATGGTGGAAGGGTGTGAAGGAGGAAAGCAGCCCAGTACAAGACAGCTAGGAAGCAGRGAGAAGTAGCTCAGCTCCCCAGGGTCAAAATATAAACCCCAAGGTACACCCCCAATGATCTACCTCTTCTAGCCACGCCCTAGCTTCCAGTTGGGATTAATGTAGTGATTAGGTTAAGGCTCACATAACCCAATCATTTCACCTCTAAATTTTCTTGATTCGTCTGACATGAGCTTTTGGTGGATACCTCATCTCTAAACCATAGCATAGGAATGCAGAATGTGGTTTCTCCTTGCAGCGGAATACTGCAGCCTTAAAAAGGAAGGAAATTATGACCTGTGACAACATAGATATTTTGCTAGGTGAAATAAGCCAGTTGCAAAATAGTAATATGAGATTCCACTGAAATAAGATGACTAGTCAAAATCGTAGAAAGTAGAAGGATCATGCCAACACTGTGGTAGAGGCAAATGGAGAGTTGCTGTGTAGTGGGTATGGTGTTTGGATTTGTAACATGGGAACAGTCATGGAGCTGGATGGTGGCCATAGTTACACATTATGAGAGTCCTTAACAGTTGAGTGGTGCATTTTGGTAGATATACCACAACAGGAAAACTGAAAACTATAGTTAATGTTTGATAAGATATCAATTTTTAAGATATCAATTTTTTCAGTATTATTTCCTTCTTAAGATGTTTTACTTGATACCAATATATTTACTTTTTGTCACATTGCTGTGGGGTTGTTATATATTCTTGATTTACAGGAGTTCATGGTGTGCTTCTTTGTAATGTGTGGCAAATGGGCATGTGACCACAGTTCTTGCCTTTTATGTTTCATAGAGGTATTTGTCATAAATTTTAAGTTATAATATAGCTTAGTTTACTCATACCTTCCTTTTGACTTTCTGTCTCTTGAAGCATAATCTATTCCAAATTATCAAATATAGAATATTGGTTTTATGGCCTTAAAAACGGAAGTACCTGGACATGTAGTTGGTTTGCACTTGATTTGAAATTGGTGTGATGATAGGGGTTAGACTTTTTTGGTCCCCAAATTGGATAACCAATATGCAAAGCAAGTGATCATTGCTCCACCCAGGAGAATTTCCTGGTCTTCAAATGCCAAGTAATTTTGACATATATTCTGGGCATTGTGAATATTATATTAAGGGTCTCTGGGTCTTGTGGAAATCCTGTGGGGAGTGCAGCTGACCCATTTGTGTTCAGGCTAAGGTCTCCAGCATCTGGCTGGTTTTCAGAGCCATTGCTGTGCAGCCTACCTCTTGTCCAGCACATGTGCCCCCTGGTGGTCATTCTGCCCTCAGCCTTGTTTTGAGTCTGATGGCTCTTAAGGGTCAGAGCATGAGCAGCCCAGTGCTGACCCCAGCACTCTGAGAACAGCCTCAGGTTCATTTTCTAAGCCCTTTCCTTCCTGCAGCTGTAGCCAACATCATCCAACTGCACCTACACCCTGGGCCACACAGGGGGAGGGCTGAACAGGAGAGGGGCAGTAGGAACTGCCCATCCTCCGTTAGCACAGCTGTTCCATGGGAAGGGAGGCTTAGGTTCCTGCTGGCCCCGTGGTGCTGCTGTTGCTGTTGCCTGCCATGGTATTGCTTGTGGGCCAGAATGAGAGAATGGAGAAAAGAGGCAAAATGGCAGTTGCCCTGGTTGTGAACCCTTGGAAGCCCTTTTGCTGCCCCTTGAGGCAGAGCTGAAGGTTTCTCCTGGTCCTCCGCCTGGACAGTGCTCCTGTGTGGACCTTGCCCTGGAGTGAGTACAGGTCAGGAACACCAGAAGAAACAAGGGACAAACACCCCTGGCTTGGTGGGGCTTTGCATTTTGGCCTTCTTCCCTCATCTGCCTGCTGCTGTTGGCTTGTCAGAGGCCCCAGATCATTGGGAAACGCTCTGTACAGAGTATTAGGTGCTAGTTTTAATTTTCCATGCTCTACTCTGTCACAAGTGTGGTTGGCCCTGCCTGTCCAGTCTTCCCAGGGTCCTGTTTCCATTGATCTTTGTGCCACTCTGATTCATTGCTGCAACAGTCGGAGTTGATGGTGGGGGTCTGCTGTGCGCCTCTTCACCTGTTCACCCTTAAARCAGGAGTCAGATATTTATACCTCTCTGTGTGCTCAAATCCCATCTTACTCAGAACAGCAGTCAATATCTTTCTAGTTACTCCCTGACCCTCCCCAGGTATCCCCAGTTCTCCCCTGTACCTTTCTAGGTATCACCTTCCTGTTGTCCTTTTGCAGGCTCTGTTGACCACATTGGGTATACTCTGGCCTCAGGGCTTCCCAGGATTCTTGGGGAGGAGAGCTTTCTCTGTGAGTAACTGTACAACTGTCTTCTTCAGACTTTTGCTTCAGTGTCATCTGTCACTGTGTTTAATGTTGCAGTCTTTCTTGCCCAATCTTTCCTTCTGGTTTATTTCCCCCTATGCCCTTATCTAACCTTCTTTGGTTTTACTTATTTACTCCTTCCCCAGCTGAACTGTAAGTTCCAGGAGGGCAGTCTGTGCTGGTGACCATTCCCAGCTTAGGTGCTCAGAAGAGTGCCAGGCACAAAGTCAGACTTCACTTACTTATTGAGTGAACTAATGAACAAATATCAGGCAAACAGTAACCAAAAGAATGGTGCTATAATTATTAGCATTAGGCAAAAGAAAGCTCTAAAGTGAATAGCATTTTATTAAAGTGTATCAGGGCTCTCCAGAGAAACAGGACCGATGAAATGGATGATTATGGTGAGAATTGGCTCCTGGGATTATGGAGACTTGAAGTCCGGTGATATCCTGGGGAACTAGGAAAGCCAGTGGTGTAGTTCAGTTGAAGTTTGAAGATATGAGAACCTGGGGTTGGGGGAGCTGCTAGTGTGTGTACTGGAGCCCAAAGTCCAGATACTTCTGCGTCTGAGGGCAGAAGAAAATGGTGGTCCCACCTCAGGGGACAGAGATATACCCTTCCCTTCATTTTGCTCTGTTTGGGTAGGCCTCATGTGGATGATGACTTCTCACCCATGTTGGGGAGTGTCCGCTTAGTCTGTTGGTTCCAAAGCTGATCTCTTTCAGAAGTGCCTTCACAATGAAGCTGGAGGGCTGGGGATGTGGCTCAAGCAGTAGCGCGCTCGCCTGGCATGTGTGCGGCCTGGGTTCCATCCTCAGCACCACATACAAACAAAGATGTTGTGTCTGCCGAAAACTAAAAAATAAATATTAAAAAATTCTCTCTCTCTCCCTCCCTCCCCCCCTCCCCCCCTCCCCCCCTCCCCCCCTCTCTCTCTCTCTCTCTCTCTCTCTCTCTCTCCCCCCGGCTCCTCTCTCTCTCTCCTCTCTCTCAAAAAAAAAGATGAAGCTGGAAATGGTATTTTACCAGCTATCTGGGCATCCCTTGGCCCAGTCAAGTTATCCATCATATTGAGTGAATCAGTAGCAATACACACTCATTCTCTGACAACAGTTGCCTTAAATTAGTCATTGGGAACAAAAACACAATACAATTTAGCATGCATATTGATAGCATGTTATGGATGTCACTGTACTTGCCATTTTTATGATACTTAATGTCCTGAGCATTTTTATCAACTGACGTGAACAGAGCTGTGGTAATCTTTAAACACCATGCACATTAAGGATGTGTTTTTCAGATTTTAATCATCATGAATATCATGAAAAGTGCTCTTCCCCCCTGGAGTTCTTCACACTCTGGCAGTTTTACTTTCTCAGCTGCATTCATAGCATCTTACATATTGGGTCTTATTCACCAGGATGGTAGTTCTGAGAGGGCGAGGATGTGGCTCTGTTCACTGCGCTGTACCTGGTGTCTTGAGAGCACCTCACACATGCAGGTGCTCAGTTGGTGTTTGCTGAATGCATGTGAGTGTTTACAGGTGTGAGTTTTTCACTCAGGGAAGTTTTTATTGTAGGAGCTGTGTGTTTAACATTTTAGGAGATACCACAGATTTCCCTTTAGGATAAATGGTCACATTCTACTTACCCAACCTCCCCCTAAATATTCTGAGGCTGTTTGCTCTTTTTGGCAACATTAGTGTGTGAAAAACAGGTTCTCATTGTTTGAATTTGCATCTGCCTGGTAGCAGTGAGTTTGAGTGTATCTTAGTTTGCTTCTTGGCTATTTGCATGTTCCCCTATAACTTAGTGTAAACTAAGGAGACAGGAACTCTGGCACACAGAGGTCTGGTGGTTTTGGGGAATAGTATCCAGGTTTTACTATTCTTTTCAGGTCACTCAGCCAGAGGAGCTCAGAAATGGAGTATATTAACAAATACAGACAGCTTGAAGCACAAGAATTTGATATGTATAACAGCGACCAACCAACCTGTGGGCCAGGTAAACAGGCATCTTTAAATATGTATATTTAAAGTATGATGTGTTAGTGTTCACACATTATGTTCTTAAAAGTTTAAAAAATATGGTGTTTTTGTTAAAATAAGAAATCACATTACTTGTTAATGTTTTGGGGCATGAATGTATGATAGATTATAGAATGCTCACTTTTTTCTTATAGTTCCTAAATTGTCTGTTTTTTGAATATTAATAAGGATTCTTTGCTTTATTATTAATTAAAACTACTTAATTTTTTCTATTACTTACTGTAGGAGTTGCTTTTTTTTTTAACAATGAACATTAAAATGAAAATTTAACAAAGCATGATGTGCAATGTTTGGAACAAGTTGCTTTAGTGCTTTTGTAGTGTCAGGCCCTGTTCGTGTGGTGGAAGCTCCCTGTTGAGTTTTTGCTTTGTAAAGGTTGACTGTGGTGCACTTCCTATTGATCCAGCCAGAAAGCTCCTCCTCCCTTTTCCTATCTGGTATACTCACACTCTGACTTAGGAATAGAAGTTGGGGTTACACAAATATTTCCCTTTTCTTTTCTTTTCTTTTTTTTTTTTTGTACCAAGGATTAAACCTGGGGTGTTTAACCACTGAGCCACATCCCCAGAACCCCCACTTTTTTTAAAAAAATATTTTTAAATTGTAGATGGATACAATACTTTTATTTATTTACTTATTTTGATGTGGTGCTGAGGATTAAGCCACAATCCCCACCCGCCCCAGCACCCCTTTTTAAGATATTTTATTAAGAGGAGACAGGGTCTCATTAAGTTGCTTTAGGGCCTTGCTGTTGGTGAGGTTGGCTTTGAACTTGTGGGCCTCCTGCCTCAGCCTCCTGAGTTGCTGGGATTATAGGCATACACCATAGTGCTTGGCCCCTTTTCTTTTTTAAGCCCTTTTAATAATGGTGATATCTCATCCGTACAATGAGGGTACTACTATATAAATCCTTATCCTTTTTGGGATTTATTTGTATTTTTTATCAGTTTTAGAAAATTCTGAGCTATTATCTATGACACATTTTATTTAGTTTTGTGTTTTTAATTTTTGGGGGGCATGGGGTCATTGTACTCTAGTCTGATTAATTCATTTATCTTTCACCTTAAGGCAAAAGCAGCCTTGGCTCCTTTGCCTTCCTCTGTGTTCTTGCCTTAGTGTAGACATTGGCCTGATATGTGTTCATTGGATCATTGTCCCTGCAGTGCCTTTAAGGAGATGTTTGTGTATGTCACCTAGCATCTTTAAGTGGCCTCAGGAGAGAGATTTGTCTGAATAGTTGAGTGCATTATTATTAGAAGTGATAGTTCAGAATACCTGTGCCCTTTGATGCAGCTTCTCCTTATGCTAAGAGCAGTACAAGGTTGTGCACACAAGAATGTCTGTTGCATCATTGCTTACTTATGGGAAGTCTAGGAAGTGTTGAACTTCCTCCTCAGAATAGAGGGGTGGTGAGGTGCTGGGCAGCCTTGTTAGGGCGTGGAGGAGCCCTGTGAGTTAATGTGGAGAGAGGTCTGTCATCTAATGCTTTAATTTGGGGAAGCATGCTGGTTAGTTTCTAGATAACTCTATGTGATACAGTCCTTCCTATTACACCTCTGCTGGCCTGGGACACACACACAGTCCATTGCATACTGCATGTGATCCCGAAGTCTGCCATCTGGGATTTCAACTGTTAAGAAGTTGCTAGATTACAAATGAATGCCTGCAGTTCAGAGTGTCTGTTCTCCCAATTTACGATTTTGACTCATATTTGAAACTGCTCTTTGCTTTCTGTATGTGGCTTTTTAATACACTTGGAGTTTTTCACCGGGCAGTCACTTGACCTGCAGCTTTGGCTACCTGAGGAGGGTATGTTCAGCCACCAGCAGCCATTGAGGCGTGTGTGAGCCAGCATGGGAAGTCAAAGGAATAACTCCTCCTCCAGATCTTATTGAGGTCAAGGGGTTGCATAAGTAAATGCTTTTGGAGTTAAGTACTTTAAAAGAGCTCTGGGGGGCATAAAATGCTACCAGTAAAGGGACAATTGGGCTTAGAGTGGAAGGGCAGGTAGAATTAAGCTCAGTGGCAATGTGGGGAGAGGATGGAGGGAAGCTTGTGATGGGAGGAAGCCTGGTGCCAGCCCTGAAGGAGGAGGCCGTTATTGCTGGGAGTAGAGAGTAGGGAGGGATGGGAGGGCCAGTGGGGTCAGCTCTGTAGGTTAGATACGAGCGCCCCAGCGAGGTCCACACCCTACTCCTAGAACCTGTGAAAGTGCTGCCCACATGGTAAAAGAGACATCGCAGATGTGAGTTGCAAATCTTGAGGTGGGAAGGTTTTGCAGATAGGTATTGTTCAACCCAGGGATTTCCTAAGAGGGAAACAGGAGGGTCAGAGCCAGTGGGGGAGCTGTGGGTGAAGTGCTCTGAGGACAGGTACCAGCAAGCAGTGCAAGGCAGCCTGAGAAGCCAATAAGCCTTCCCCACAGGTGTAGGAGGGCACGTTCATGCCTTGATGTTGCCCAGTCAACTGACTGTGGCTCAGATCTCTAGAACTGTGGAGAAAGAATATGTGTGGAAGCGCATTACAGCAGCAACATAAACTCATGCAGTTGCCTTGGATGAATGAGGTTGTGCAAGATGGCGTGCCCAGAGATGGGACCCACAGCCATGGCCAAGAAGTTTGATCTTAACGGGCAGAGCACTGGGAAGCTACTGAAGGTTCAATTTTTTTTTTTTCTTGTCAGGGAGATGAGTGGGAAGGGAGGAAGGGTGTCACATGCTTAGGTTTGTGTTGGGGAAAGAATACTGTGGCTTTTTCAAGGCTTGATTGGAGTGGTGAGAGTGGACTTGAGCAGCTGGGAGATACTGCCTGGACCGGGGGGACCTTTTGTAGACATGCAGTGTGGATAGACACATACATAGACACAGGGCGATTTCTATTTCTGTCTCCTTATATGAAAACCATGAGATGACACTGCTACCCCTAACTCTAGCCAGCCCTGCAGGCTTCAGCTGAACATTGTGTTATATCTAGTTATAAAATACTTTTGATTTGGTGAAATATTGCTGATGTTTCATTTGTAAGTATTTTAAAAATTGTTTCTAAACAGAAATTCAAGGAAAGATGCTCAGTGAATTTCTATAGATTACATTAGAATCATTTCCTGTAGTTAAAGGTCGATCAGTTTTTAGAGCTGGAGCAGGAATGGCATTGGTAAGCAGAAACTCTCCTGTCTGAAGAGCCCAGCTCCAGGTTCAGATCTCCTTGGGGGCTTTTCTGCTCTTGCATGGCAGTTGAGTTTGTCCAGGGTAGTATCTTTGGGTGGTGATGAAAAGCCACAGTTCTGCCTCCTTTTTAATTTGGGGTGTCTTTAGTGGTTGTTCAACCTCCAAGTGGCTTTCTGAGCTTTTAAGAGCTTGGCCTCTGTAGAGTGTCTGAGAAGGGAACCCCCCTGTCAAGTTGGGTTAGTTTTGTGTGCAGAACCATTCTGTCCTTGAAGAACTTGATATGTAATTAGCTGTTTCGAAGATTTAATTTTATGGTTAAGTTAGAAATGCATCAATCTTTTTTTCTGTAGTGTCCACTGTTTGGATTTTAAAGCAAAAGCCATTATATTCTCCATATGGCCTGGGGTGCCACTCATTAGTTAAAATCTTTTGTGTACTCTTTGGAATCTCTAATTGTGAAACTTTGGATTATATTTTAAATTGTAGGATTGCTTTGGAAAGAGAACTAGTGATTTTTAGGATTTTCCCAGTTTATATAAACTATTTTAATCTTATCAAGTTAGGATAAAGAGACAATGGAAAAAGGAGAGTAGCAAATTTTGAGGCTGTAGTCTTTGTCCTGCTACTTCTGCACTTCACTTTGTTGCATGTAGTCTGTTAGTTGCCTTAGATTACCCTCATTGCTTTTTCTTTCTGTTCTGATGCTGAAGCGAAGCTGATGGAGTCACGTGCTCTCTGGCTTCTGCCTGCCCTGGAGCTGTGTGTGCAGAGGCGGCTCCCTGTGTGCTGGGTCTGCTTCAGCCAGTGACCTGAAAACGTCAGGTGGTGTTTTTGTGGCACCGGGAGAAGGGCCGTAGTTTAGACAGTGCAATGAGGGCTTTTGGCATTTTTTCCCTGTGAAATTTCTATCTGTAAGTAACAACCTTCAAAATACAAGTAATCAAGTCATATAAGTCACATCAGTATTGTCAGAGTAACAGGGTTCGTTTAGCAGCACAGTGAACTAGGGCTTCAAGTCTCTAAGCAGAAAGATAGTCTCTAAGTCTCTAAGCCTCCTGTTTTTTTCCTCCTCAAAGAACCTTTATTCTTTCCTCTTGGAGAACTCTTCCCTCAGCCTCTGGCTTCACTTTGTCCCTAGCTTGTTTGCTTGTTCCTCTGCCCCTGCTGTGTGTGTCCTTACTCACTCAGAGTGTGTGGCTTCTCCCTTTCCTGATTGTGTTCCAGGGCCTAGTCACATAGACTGGGAAGGCAAGAAGTATCGGTGACCCTCTTAAAAGCCGGGAGGAGTACTGGATGAAAGTGAGGTGTGATAATGAGAAAAAAAAAACTCCCTGCTTTAGAGAAGCCTAGGAAGCTGTGCAGGGTGGGACTTGGAGAACATCCCCCATCAGTGCAGGGACCCCTTAGGAAGAGTACTGTTTTCCACATAGGAACGTTTTTTTTTTTCTTCTGCTCTGAGTGATTACAACAGATCTGGCTCCTCTCATTGCAGAGTTACGGGTAGAGCTGTTCAATGTGGGGAGGCCTTGGACTCCATTCCCAGCAGGGCCAAAAATAAAATGAAAAAAAAATAGCCACGTCTTAATTGTATGTTATTAGACCAATTATGAAAGAAAAACTTGGGTCCATGTTTATCAGGTGGGACAGTGATAGGGAGGAGCCGCTGGAACAGAAAGGAAGAGCCAGCTTGGGGAGGGAGGAAAAGGGCTCCAAGAAGAGGGGGCATCCAGAGAGGGGAGCAATTTAGGAAAGAGAGAGAGTAAGCCTAAAGAGTTTATTTATTTTGGAGATAAAATTTATTTCCCAGCGAATGCTTGTACTCCAAGAATTTGATAGTTGGTCAGCTTGCCAAATGATGGCCAGAAGTCGTTCAGGGTTTTAGGGCAGCCACAGCAGGGCGTATATTGAGAGGGGCACCCTCAGCAGGGTGATGTAGTCCCTTTCACCAGGCCTGGAGTTTTAAGTAGTGTGTGATTTATTTGTTGGCTTATTTTAGTAGTAAAGTGGGTGTATTCTATTAAGATTCCATTTCAGCACTTTTTTTTTTTTTTTGGTTATCAGGGATTAAGCCCAGGGGTGCTTAACCACTGAGCCACATCCCTGCCCCACCCCAACATTCATCCCCCTTTAAAAATTTTTTTGAGACAGGGACTTAATAAGTTGCTTAGACATTCGTTAAGTTGCTGAGATTGGCTTTCAACTTGAAATCCTCCTGCCTCAGTCTCCTGAGCCATTGGGATTACAGGCGTGTACCACCAAGGCCAACCATTTAAGCACCTTTTAATAAGTGACTTGTCCTGTTTTGCAGGAGATTACCTTGGGAAGAAGTATGGTTTACTGTGATGGAAGTGTCCTTGCTGTTCTAGGTCCCTCCCTCTCTCCCTCTCTCCCTCTCACTGTTTTCTTCTTTTATTTTAATCTAAGGGAAGTTTCTAATGTGCCTGCTGGCCGTATTAACCTGTAAGAAATGTGCTTTTTTTATTTGCATGTGTACATATACATGCCATATAGATAGATCAGAATAACATTGGGTTCTGTACTTTGTATTTTCTCAGATAAGCTAGTCCATTGTATTTGTTTGTTTTGTCTGAATCCAGGTCCAAGGCCGCCTTTGGCTAAATTAAGCAATGCAACATGCATCCCAGAGACAACTTATAAATACCCTGATTTGCCTATAAATCGATGTAAGGAAGAGGTAAAATCATTTTGTCATAATGTAATTTTGCTTATTGAATAGATGCCTGGGGCCCAACACTGTTGGTTTACCATGTGAGAGTGAGCAAATGAGCCCACCTATGGTGTGCAAGGCTCTGTGGGTAGAGGCTGAGGAGCTTAGCCTGGGGCTCCATGGAGGTGGCTCCCTGGGACCATGCTGCTGATTTTCCTGTTGGCTTGTGCTCATTGTGCTTAGCCTCCATCCAGATGGCCTTGTCAGCCTCTGCAGTAGCTGTCAGTTATTGTTGGCCCCGCCCCAGCAGAGCTGATTTAAGAAACTCACCACCAAATGAGTTTGTGCTCAGCATCTCTATTGGGTTCTCCTTGTAGTATTGGCCCATTTTGTGCCTAGGATTGATTTTGTCAATCATTTACAGATCATTTTGTTATGGATGCCAGGCCAGTTCTAGTCAGGAGGATGGTTAAGTTTCTGATTACTTACCTGTTATTAAATAAGGTTAAAAGGAAGTATATTGAAACCATTACCAACTAGCCTAGTGGATAAAGCAGTTACAAGGGAAAAACAGTGAAAAATGTTCCAAATTTCATTTTTATTTTGCTTAAGATTCAATCATGTAACTTTTTATTGAGTAGATATACTTTACTAATTTTTAAATTTGTTTAAATTGTTGGTAGACCTTTATTTTTTATTTTTTTGTTTATTCTTATATAGTGCCGAGAATCAAACCCAGTGCCTCACACATGCCCGGCAAGTGCACTACCGCTGAGCTCCAGCCCATACTTTATTAATTTTTAGAGGCCAATATTCAGAATAATTTGTATTCTTTTTTTTTTTTTTTTTGGTGGTGCTGAGGACTGAACCCAGGGCCTTGTTCATGCAAGGCAGTCACTCTACTAACTGAGCTATATCCCCAGTTCTAATTTGTATTCTTTAACGATATATATTGCTAGAAGCATAAGAGAGCTTGAAGTGGGGGGATGGTGGGGAGGAATCAGATTAGAGTTTAGAATGTTCTGTATAATCTGTAAGTGGAGTTTTAAATGGAAATTTAAAACCACTTGAGTATAATAACAGCTTTGTTTTCATGTAGAATCACATTCAGATTTATGACAAAATTTTGAATCAATAGCAATTTAGACTTAAGAGCATAGAAATCTAGTTTGGGCTTAAAGGTGGCAACCATTTATAGCCTTTTCTCTTGTGATGTCTAGATGGTTAATTAATAAATTTTATTTAAAGGAAGACAAAAAGTCTTCTTAAGATAGATAATACTTTACATTGTTGTCAATTTTGTGCCAATTTTGAAAGGTAACTTTTTAAAAATTTCAGGTTATTTCTTTGATAGAAAGCAATTCTGTGGTAATTATACATGGTGCCACTGGAAGTGGTAAGAGCACTCAGCTCCCGCAGTACATCTTGGACCATTACATTCATCGCAGTGCCTACTGCAACATTGTGGTCACCCAGCCACGGAAGATAGGTGCCAGCAGCATCGCCAGGTGGATCAGCAAAGAGCGTGCTTGGACTCTCGGTGGTTTGGTGGGCTATCAGGTGAGCATGGGAGCGAGAACTGAGCTCTGTCTGCTGTGTTTTCTATCTAAGTTGATGATAGTATGTGACTGTTTTCTACTAGCACTGAAAATGAAGCCAATTTACTTAGAGTGGAACCCTGGCATAAATTAAAAAAAAAAAAAAGAATTTCTTGAAAGTAATTTTTAATTTCTTACCCTGTTAAATAGGAGAGAAGTGAGGATTCTCAGGCTCTTAGCTTTTATAATTTTATTCTTTTAATTATACCACTGTTGTCTAGAAGGTGTTTTCATACGCAGTAGTCATAACATGAAAATGTTTTAGGCAGTATGACTAGATAAACCAGCCCCCCTACCCAAAAAGGAAGAAGAAATCAAATTGAGGACTTGACTTCAATTTGGACCTTGTCTTCTGAAATATAATCCTTTTAAATTCCTTACCATCCTTATAAAATGGACATATACCCTGTTTTGGTGGTTAATGGGAGCCATTTAAACCTGACCTTTCCCCCCATCTCCCTTCCTTCCCCAATTTTAGGTAGGACTAGAGAAAATAGCAACAGAAGATACCAGGTTAATCTACATGACCACTGGAGTCCTACTTCAGAAGATAGTCAGTGCCAAGAGTTTGATGGAGTTCACACACGTCTTCATTGATGAAGTGAGTTCTCTGCCCTTAGTGGGCCTTCAGGTGCGGAACACGGGCAGGTCTCCTGCAGTGTGTCCTCCTGTAATGGGGCCTCGAGTACTTTGTGTCTACAACTGCCCTTTCTACTTATGAATGTGAATTTTTAAATTCTTCCCTCTTCGTTTCAAATTATGGGAGCAGAAAGTTGAGAACTAGGAAAAGATTGCTTGTCGAGGACTGGGGATTGGCAGGCTGTAGCCTAGTCAGGCCTGGAACTGATTTTGTAGCGGAGGTTTTACTGGAGCTATTTGCCTTGTGTGTTGCTCTCTGTGGTGCCCTGGCTTCGGGGGCAGAGACCATCCACATGGGCTCCAGGCTGGGGCTATTCACCGCTCCCCTTCTGTAAGGGGAGACACCTGCCACAGAAAGACAGTTAGGAGAACCATGTGGTATGTGAATGTTTTCAGTCACATCACAGGCATTTTCTATCTAGTAAATCAAGGACTTTTTAATAAATTGGACTGGGTGTGTAGCTCTGTCCTAACATTTGTAAGGCTTGGGATTCAGCCCCTAACAGTGCAAGCAAAACAAACAAACAAAAAACCACAATAAAATAGAAATTATTGCTCTATTTACTGTTCATAAAACAAAAAACCCCAAACCCTAATAAAGCACTGTGAACCCTGTCTTTGTGCCTGGTTTAGCTTTCTTATTTTTCTCCTTCTCAGTACATTTTGGATTTCTCAGTAGAATGGGATATTTTAATCGATGTTTATATTTCCAATACCACAATTTTTCCAGGAGCTTTGGAAATGGCTCCACCAAAACTTCCTGTGTTTTAAACCTCCTCAGCAATTCTGTCCTGAGAGGCTTGGCTCATTTCTAGAGGGTAGAAATGTCTGCTAGTCCATAGTTCTGTGGAAGGCATGAGGGGAGCCTGGCGCTCAGAAAGTCCAGCTGACTGGGCAGCCGCTGCCCCCAGGCCCTGCCACTCTTTGGAGGTGTGAAAACAGTGGGCACCATAGGTAGGGCTGTTTGGTGTGCTACACTCTTGCGCATGCTTACTTGGCTTTATAGCACCGTGGGTGTATAGGAGAAGGTGGAAATGATTGGCATTCCCTCAAAGTAGTGTCGTGGACAGCGTGATTCAGAATTTTTTTTATTGACAATTTTGAGTGTCTTTAGGTAGAAATAAAATTCAGATTTAATAAGTAGTCACAATAGGCTGTCCCTTATTGGGCTCTACTATGGTCGAGAGCTCATTTTACATGAAAGGAACCTGAAGCTTAGTAATGCTCAGTGATCAGGCTGCTGGAACAGATGGTGTTGCAGCACCCAGAGTATACTCCAGAGCCTGTGGTGCTGAGGCCCACCTTTGCTTTTCGTCTGATGTCTGCTCACTAAGTAGCTCTCTCTGCATATACATAGGTGAGTTCAGACACACTGCATCCTTGACCACATTCTTTTCTAATGGTTGAACAGAGGTGGCTGCTCTCTGCAAGAACCCGCCCTGCAGGAGTAGTGGAAGGGACTGTGGGGGTGTGCTGTGCCATCACCCCATGGCCACAGCTGCCTGATGCAGCACCGAGTTGCCAGCATCCAGGGTGAATATACTGAATGTGCCTGGAGAATTAGGTTTATAGATAAAATTGATCACATTCTCTGGAATGATTTGAGTTTTAGAAGCAATGTAAGCGCCAGAGTTGAAGATAGGCAGTTTAAGATGGAATGATAACATTTTAGCTTCTAGCTCTTGAAAAAGAATAAGCTCACTTTAGGCAGGTTGTTTGTTCAGGGAGCATGTTTTGAGTTCCTGCTGTGAAAGAGGGGTCTCATTGGTGCCTAGTTTCTGCTCTCAGCCCCTTGCTGCCTAGGGAGATGGGTAGCTCCTGAGGGGTGTGTTTGTGTCACGGGGAGAGGCCTGCGGTGGGGGACCCCAGGGACTTGGAGATGGGGTAGGTGAGATCTGTGGGCAGATGGTAAAAGATGAGTGTCAGAGTTCAGAGGGGAAAGGTTTCCATGCTGGGAGCAGTGGTGGACATAGCAGTGGGGCTGGGGTTGGGGGGGAGGTTGCTCTGGGTGTCCTTTACTGGCTGTAGCCTTGGTTTTTCTTTGTCAAGTAAGATATGGGAGGCTTGCAATGAGATGTCTCAAGGTTGGTGATAGGACAAGGTGAGAATGAAACTTTGTGGTGGGCTGAGGACTTCCAGCTGTTATACATGCTGAAAAATGCTTTCTCTGTAGCACTTCCCTGCACATCTGCTTCAGTGGGGAGTGGTGCCAGGAGTCGGGTTGTGAATAGAAGTGCCTATGAAATGACATGTTAGGGCTTTTATCCTGAGGAGAGTGCCCCCTTCTTCAAATGTAGTGGCCATCTCTCTTCTTTGACAGAGAAGTGTCTTCAGATGGAAGCTTGCCACCCCCTTGTGTGCAGAGATACCCCGACCAAGTGTAGGTTAACTGGATTATTTTTGCAAAGGGGCCCTTTGTCCCTGGCTTGTTCGGAAGGGCCAAGGGGAGGGTGGTGGMGCTGTCATGGATTTTGGAGTGGCTAAGTCTGCACATTCGAGCAGGGCTGGAGGCAGCTGTCTCCTGGAATGCACTTCCATGCTGGTGTTGTTGAAGTTCTGCTGTTGGCCTCACACCCTAACCTTGCTCTGACCAGCCCAGCTTTTCCAGGGCCATCCCTTGCCCACCCTTGGGAGTTCTGCACATCATGGAGCATGACAAGCGGTTCTCCAGCCATCATTAGACTGCTACGTCTTTGTCCCTGTACTTGGCCAAAATAGCAGTGAGCCTTTAGACCATGGCTGAGGGGAGGCAAGGGGCATGAGGGGTTGGCCCAGTGGTTCTCTGTGCTTGGGGAAAATGGGAATATTGTTATTTGCCAGTGACCTGGGGGTATTATTGGCATTCAGAGGACAGGGCCAAAGATTCTTCACATTGTTCTGCCCAAAAGCCAGTAGGTCCTCAAGAGCACACTGAGGTAAGAGTGGCCTACGCAGTAGCCTCTGGCTTGTGGGCAGATGCTCTTTGCCTTCTCTGAGCCAGGAGTGCTGTCACTCTCCTGAAGAGCTGTGCTGACAGACAGCTGGGTTAGCCCATCTCCCAAGGGTGCACTAAAGTCCCCTCTCCCCTCTCATTTAGTAGTGACATGTTTGCTTGTTGCCATGTGGGGACGCCCCCTTATTTTATTTTGTAGGTACATGAGCGAACAGAAGAGATGGATTTCCTGCTCTTGGTAGTCCGCAAACTTTTAAGAACAAATTCACGTTTTGTGAAGGTAAATTTCATTTTATAAGTAACAGGAATATTTATAAAGTTAAGACATTGTTTATTTGTGTTTTTCCCTGTCCTATTTTAGCAGAAACAGTTAGATCCAGCCTCTTAAAACTCATCTATATATACATATATATATATATGTATATATATATATATATATATATATATTCCAGGTCTTCCAGGAAGTGGGCTGAGGGGCATTCTGATGTGCATAGTGGGGAACACTTTTTGGTTATTGTGTTGTGTTGAATTCTCACACTTTCTCCAGGCTTTAAAAAATGACCTAGTAGTAGTTGGCTGCAGTGAAATGCTGGGTCCTTGAATGGGGACTGTGGTTTAAAGGTGTGTGAGTTTCTCTGAAGCCCTATTTTGGAAACAGCACTAAAGTCCTGAGGTGCTAGAGCTGGAGGACAGCAGATGTGCTGCTGTTCAGAGGTACTGACGGCTGTGGGGAGGGAAAACACCCTTTTTTATTTGAACCCAAAGGAGGAAGGTGTGTATGTGGGCAAAATAGTGAAGGGTTTAGAATAACTATGCCATCTGCACTGGGCGCATCTGCTGGCACATAGCTATAATCCCAGACACTCAGGAGGTTGAGGAAAAGGATGGCTAATTCTAGGCCAGTTTGAGTAACTTGGTGAGACCCCATCTCAATTAAAAAAAAATAAAAACAATAATTATGTCATCTAAACAAGTCTAAACATGGATCACCCTCTGTTCAGCTGTGCTGAGCAGAGGTCTTTGGGAGACACCTTGCAAGTGTTTGGGATATGCATGTATTATAGTGTGGGACTGCTAAAGGATTCGCTGTTACTGCAAAACAGTTGCCTTCTAAATCATGAAGTGTTTGTCTCCGAGTCTCAAATCTATTCATTTTATTAGGAAAGCATTTCTTTTCCTCCCCCACCCCCAAGGTGACCACACCTTAATTTGGTGACTTTTTTTTTTTTTTTTTAGTTATAGATGGACAGTACTTTTATTTTATTTATTTATGCTTTATATGGTGCTGAGGATCGAACCCTGTGCCTCATATGTTCTAGGCGAGTGCTCTACCACAGAACCACAACCCTAGCACCAGCTTGGTGATTTTTTTAAAGAAATACAACCTGACCTTCACTGTGGGTTTTCTTGGTGCTCTGAGTGACTGGAGAATGAGTGAGAGAAGGGGCATTTGTTCCTGTTTAGGAACCTTAGGTTAAAAATGGCATTGAAGATAATTCAACAAATTGAGGTATTGTGTGATTGTCATCTGAAGACTTTTCTCTTTTACTCAAATCAAAATAATGGCTAGATTATATAGGTTTTTTTAGTTTTCAATGGCAAGGAGAGTTAAGAGTGTTGGTGGATTTAAGAAGAAATTCTGCCACACTGTGGACAACAGTGTTGAGGAATGTGAACCTGTCCAATAAGAAGCAAGAGGTTTTTCAGCTTCTTGTGTTCATGATTTATTTAAAAATATAGGAAGCAGTATATTTTCCAAATATATAGACATGTATGTGTGCCAAATAATTAGAAGTCAAGTTCTAGATTATTCTATAAAGTTAAAAAAAAAAAACTCATCAAATCCTTGGTTATTTCTTTCTTATGCGAGTGCTGCTGTTAGAGAATATGGGTATAAGAGAAAGGGTATCCAGACTGCATCCCCCTACCCAGACTATAGAGGTCCCTTGGTTCTCCTATCAGGGTTCCTCCCTGTCCCCGCTTGCTGTCCTCTGGCCCGCCCACCCTGGACTAGCATGTCTTGAGTAGGTTGCCACCTTGTCTTGTCTGCAGGAGGGGCTGGGCTGCTTGGGGAGGCCAGGGCTGTGCTGAGTCCAGTATGGCTGGGCACAGTGTGCTCCACCAAACAAAAGCGGAGTGTACCCAGTGATAGAGCACTTTCCTGACATGGTCAAGGCCCTGAGTTTGTTCCTCAGCACTGCAGAACAAACAAAAGACAATAACAGAAACCAAAAGCACTGCAGTTCACTAGCCTGCCCTTCTTAGATGACGGCTAGGGATTTTGTGAGGTGACTGGGTGTGTCCCTGGGGGCCACTCTTTCACCCMAGTGGCCTCTCAGAACATGCTTTTCTAACCTTCTCAAAATGAGTTCTGAGCAGTATGATTTTACCATTTGTGTCTCATGTCTAAGGGGGAAACCAGTGTTTGTCCACCAGTAACTGCACCAACTGTGCCGAGGTCAAGTCTTTACTTTTATGCCAAGATTCAGACCCCTTATTGCCAGATGCAGCAGGTAGTCAGCTGGCAGCCAGAGAGCTGTGTTGCCCACTTAGCCTGTGGGTGCTAGGGAATTGGCAATCCTCAATAATGCTGCCACGTTCTCCAGGCACGTTTGATGTGCTGTGGACACTGTTTCTGGCATTTGGGTCCAGGATTCTTAAGGGTATCATCTGACATTTGCTTTTTGGCAAACCTTACAACTAGTTGTCTCCTGAGTGTCCATCACCCTACTCTGGCCTGGGCTAGTGCCTTGAGTCTGCTGCACAGCTTTGATGCAATTTCTTGGGCTATAGTCAAGGTTTTCTGGATCTCTTTCTCTTCCTCTTTGCTAGTCCACTGCCTCAGTTTTCTGGAGCATATTATCTAATAACTTATTTTTTAAAAATTCCTTGATGCAAAATTTCCTTTTAGATAAATACTGTAGCTTTATTGGAGACATATGATTTCTCAATTGATGAAATAATATAGGAGGAATAGTAAAAGTTAGTATCTGAGCATTCTTTATAATATGTATAATACATGACATTAGATAAAGGTTATTATTTAATATCTAAATGTTATTAAATATAGGAATGAAGCAGAAGACAAACCTGGACTTTTAGTTGAGCTTCATTTCAGTGATTGTTATTCTCATTGTTTGTTACTGGAACGACCTCTCTCATCTGCAGGTGGTTCTGTCTTTTATCTGTAGGTGGTCCTGATGTCTGCTACCATCAACTGCAAGGAGTTTGCAGACTACTTCGCAGTTCCTGTTCAGAACAAGATGAATCCTGCATATATTTTTGAAGTGGAAGGCAAGCCCTATTCAATTGAAGAGTATTATCTTAATGATTTGGAGCACATTTATCATAGTGTGGTATGTTGGAATGATTGTTTCTTATGCAATGATTGGTCTTTTGTATGTGATCAAACCTGCACTTACCATCTGTGGTTGCAAAGCATTATTAGAATTTGAAGTTAAAGCAGAGGGGTCAGAGCAGGTAGAAGAGCAAAGGAGGGAAACTCCCAGGTGGTTGTTATAAACTGAGAACCATAAATACTCATATTGCACATCCCAGTGAAAATTAGTGGGGCTGATTTCATACTTTGTTGAAAATAAAATGTTAGATTTTGGTCAGTACAAAGTTGTAGATTCACTTGGGAGTCAGAGGTAATTTTATTTTAAATAAAATTTTGATTGGACTTACATTTTCTAGTATGAGTAAGGTGTATTGATGTGACCATGAAGAACTGGGGCAAACATTCTCATGAAGGTTGCCATGGATGTGAAATTGCTTTCATTTGGTGGAACAATCAGAGACTCTGAGGTGAAAAAGTGAAAGCAGACYTGACACTTCTCCTTCCTATTCCTGCTAAGTGCAGCTCAGTGTTGGAGCACTTGCCAGTATGCATGAGGCCTGGGCTCAGGACCCAGCACCATTCATGTGCATGGAGGAGGAGAGACGTTCTCATTCTCCTCACTTTCTCACCTATGTCTTCAGGCACCCAGCAGCGGAAGCCACTCTGTATGACCTCTTGTGAAATCTCCCCCAGGCTTACTCCTGAGGATGAATAAGAGCATGCTGCGTTACCTTTCACGGAAACAGCAGCATTCTGTGCTCATTCTGCTTTCTCATCTACTTGTTCGTTTCTTTTCATATCAGTGTGTAGTGAGAGCTGCAGTAACCTTTGTTCATGTGGATGTATGCCATTCTTTTTTTAAATAAGCCCTAATGTTTCTGGTCTTGGTACTGGAAGGGAGTTTCCACCACTTGGCTCTACTAAAGGTTGATGAAGGAAAGCAGGTTTATTCAAAGTTTTAAAAATACCAGGGTGCTGCAAGAAATCAAATGTGCTAGGAAGTGAGTTGGCAAGGTACCCTGCAGAAGGGTGTGCCCCCAGAGGGAATTCTACAAGCAAGCACACCTGGCCAGGCAGTACGCCCCTTGTTCTGATAGGAGTTCGGGATTCTGCCCCTTGCTCTGGTAGGAATTCTGGTTTACAGTCTACATGATTAGCTAATTTACAACTGGGGAGAGTATGGTGAAAAGGCTACAGCTGTGATTGGATGCCCCTTAGGGAATTTAAAAATGGGTACATTCTGACCACATGGCTTCTTAACTTAAAATGGCTCTATTATACATTGTCAAATTTAAGTTACTATAAAAATATTTGTGGGTTACATTATAGATTTAACTTTTAAAAAATATTTGTTTTTATGTTGTGATGAGGAGCGAACCCAGTGCTTCACACCTGTGAGGCAAGTGCTCTGCAACCGAGCTACAGCCCCAGCCCCTAGATTTAACTTTGATAGAAAAGAAAACACTAATCTTACAAAAGGCAACCTTGAGGAAGATAGGGGAGACCTTTTCTTTCTCAAATCTCCATGTTGGCGGATGCTCAGGGGCAGGAACAGCTTTCTTAAGAGGAGAGGGGGCAGTGAGACAAAAGGCAGGGTATATACACATGTAGATTCAATTCTGCCATGCTAATAAGAAATATGTTTGTTCCAACATGTTCCAACATGTTTCCTTAGGGGTAACTTTGGCCAGGGGTTAGTTTTCAGTTTTCATTCTCAGCAGGAGGAAATGGAGGATGTAGAAAAGCAGTTATCAGGAAGTTTCTTTTAACTTAAAGGGGTTCAGTTTCAGTCTTAGCACAAATACTGCTACTTACACCTTAGTGCACCCCTGAGAGCATGTTAGTGGGCCGGGGCTTCTTACCCTCAGCACTGTTGGCATTCAGGGCCAGGTAGTGGGGGCAGCCTGTCCATCGTCAAGAGTTCAGTCCCAGCCTCCATGCCCAAGTGGAATCAGTGCTCCTCATGCCCTTACACCATGACATTGCTAAATATTCCCGGGAAATAACTCTGCCTTGGTCCTGGCACTGAGGACCCTGCTGGATCAAAGAACACATGCATTTGTGGTTTTGGTGGATGCTGCTCGTTGCTCTGTGTAGGAGTTTGATCTGTGTTGGAATATTTTTGATGTTGAACTATGCTTTCTACCACAATGACGTGGTTGACTAGGTTTCACCTGACATAAGAGACAGTTTGTCAAATTGAATCATGTTGGAGGCAGGCCAGCACTGGCTGTTAAATGTAGCATTCCTATTAATTCAATTTTAAAATGACAGTATTTCAAAAGGACAGAAAAGTGGAAAGAATATTGTAGTGAACGCCTACTTACCTATTCTAATCCTAGACTCTATAGTCAGCATTTCCTTTAGAACATGGAGATCTGAGAAAGAAAAGGTCTCGCCTATCTTCCTTTTCATTGTTGGGAAAGCTAAGAAGCAAACATTGGTGTATCTCTGTTAATTGAATTTCCTTCTGATTGTTTGCACAAGTTTTTCCAGTGTGTCCTTTGTCCTGGGACCATATCCAGGATACTGCATTACATTTAGTCTTTATGTCTCCTTAGGCTCCTCTGACTGACAGCTTTTTAGACTTTACTTGCTTTTGATGACCTTGATGGTTTGCAGGAATCCTGGTCAGGTGTTTTGTAGAATGCACCTCTATTGGAATTATTAATTAATTAATTTTTTTTGCAGTGCAGGGGTTGGAACCAAGGGCTTCATACTTGCTAGGCAAGCACCCTATCACTGAGCTACTCCCCCAGTCAGTCTATTGGCTTTTGATGGTTATTTTATTTTTTTCCTCATGGTTAGATTTGGTTATGTTTTTTTGTGGCAGAGGACCACACAGGTGAAATGCTGTTCTTGTCATATTAGATATCATGACATCACTGATGATGTTGATCTTCATCTTTTGCTGGTTTTCTCCATCATAGCATCACTTTCTCTTTTCCTTCTACACTGTTCTTTCTCTGAAACTAGTCACCAAATGCAGCCCTTATTCAAGGGAAGCAGGGAGGAAGGAGCACTTATTTGTAACATTTCAACATTTTGCATTTCCCGATAGTTTTGGATTATGAGAGTAATGATGTTTTTCTGGTCTTTGGCTAAAGTTTAATTAATTCCTCTTGGTGTTTATTTTGTATTATGTGTCAGAGCTCTCAAATTATTTAGATGATTCCTTGTGGCTGTGCTGAGGAGAAGAGTTGGGTATGGCCATTTGCTCTCTAAGCCCCTTTGCTTGGGACCACCCAGCCTCCAGAGAGCCAGGATTGCCTTGGCTCCAGGTGTCTTATGTTCCGCAGGCTGGGGAGCACCTGTTTGGCATTTTTGACTGAACAGCTTGACTTTGGTACCTGATTATTTTAATGAATGAACACACAAGACTTAACTATTTATATTCTTTTTTTTTAATTTGGTGGTTGGGGTGGCTGCTGGAGATGGAACTCAGAGCCTTTCTCATGCTTAGCATGTAAATGTAATTGTGGAGAAAACTTCCATGATCCTTAGTTCAGATCCAGCAGTAGAGCATCCTGTACCTTGACTTACTGTGTGTCAGTTTTGGACCACCCTCCTCCACCCTAAAGCATACCTTTTATGTATCCTTGATAGGGTTTTTTCCTTATTTTTAGGTATTTAATCCAATCAACCTGGATTCCTAGATGTCTTAGAACCATTTATTTTCCCATTGTCTGCAGTGCCGTTCTCTCATTTGCCACAYGTATCCCTCCTTTCTTCTTGGACCCACTAGCCAGCCTGGGTATGTCCTTGTGATGGCAGATGTGTAAGGCTCCTGGACCTCCACTTAGGACAGAAGTACTGTGATTACTGCCTCATTCTGGGGAGAGAATCACAAGGACCACCCACTTTAGTGGAGGGACACAGAGTGCCCTGGAGTGCCCCTTCTCATGCCATTCCCTCATGTACACACCCATGCTCACTGTCGGTATCTTGGTCCAGGAAAACAGTGATGTGGGCCGATGTTTTGTCCAGTCCATACACAGCAGGGGTCCCCATGACCTTTCCAAGTGCTGACTTGGAAAGCATGGCTCTATTTGGTGTCTTACCAAGGTGTTTTTTTTTTTCAATACCTTTATTTCACTTATTTATTTTTATGTGGTGCTGAGGATCGAACCCAGGTTTTCCCATGTGCGAGATGAGCGCTCTACCGCTGAGCCACAACCCCAGCCCCTACCAAGGTGTTTAAAAATACTCATGGGGCTCAGCTCCTAGAGTTTAGTGGAGTTACTTGTGAATCACTGACACTCCTTTTCTTTCTTTCTTTTTTTTAAAAAAACATCCAACTATTACTTTATTTATATTACTATGCTTAAGTTACATGGAAAAAGACAACCAAGCAGTTCTGGCCCATTTCAGAAAAAGGTTACAATCAACACCAGTTATGTGGTGACAAGTAACTAGGAATGGTGACATCTTTGGGTAGAGACTGACAAGGGAGAATGGGCTCTGGTGCTACGTTCATCTCCAGCAAGAATATGGGCCAGCACAAGCCATGCTAACACTGAGCCTTTAGTGCTGGGTACAGATTCAGATCTCTTCTCTGAAGCTAGCAAATGAGGTGAAATAACTGGGTTTAAAAAAAAAAAGGTTTTAAAATGAAGCCCAAATAAGTTTAAAAACCATGCTCTTGACATATTCGCCATTCAAAATTTACATAAAACACACTTTTTTCACTCTAATAGCCCACTATTTCCTCACCTAGCCCACCATTTAGCTGCAGAGACTCTTCTGCCTCAAGATGTAAACATAGGGAAAAAAATTAACAGCAACTGCATAATATTCTCTCTACACACTGCTGTTGGATGGAAAATACAAAATTAAAAAGAAAAGAAAGGTTCCATCTTAGATTCTCACAACCTCTTGTTCCGCAGTTCATGAATCTGACTCTGATGCTAAGGTGACAGTGTATGTAAGTAGATTTTTGTTTTCAGTGAAGGAGACCTGGGAAAAGATGGATTTATCTCTTTTTCTTCACAGATGGTACGTGCTCCTCAAAGCCCTCACTCTCTCAAACTAGAGCACCTTCCAGGATCACATGGCCTTCCTTATAATGCTGGCTGTCTTCAGTAGCAAACTCATAGATCCATCTCAGTTTGCTATTGCAGTTTTTGCAGCTCACATCTCGAGCCATGTGGCGGCCAATGAGCATGACCCGATCTTGAACTTCACTGTCCTGTAGGTTAACTACCTTGTTAAAAAGAAACGCTCTACTGGTGGCACCTGTGAACCGAGTGGAGATGAGTTCTGAGCGGTTAGTCAGGATTGTGTCACAGTTTGCACAAGAAAACAGATGGGTACCACCAATATGATCAAGGAAAATTCTGCCCATTTTGATAGCTGAAGTTCTAAAAAACCCTGAGTGGCGGTGAGATCAGCGCCGCCAGCGGCCCTTAGCCACCCGAGTCTCCAAGTTTTTCCTGACACTCCTTTTCCATGGCTTGTTTATAGGAAGACTTCTAGGAGGGGTTGCATGCCACTATTGGAGTTTGTGGAACATAGCCTTCTCTCCTCTTTTCCTTTCTTTCTTTCTGTACAGTTGTGTTATAGTGAACACTGGTTATTGTTGGCTAGAGAATGAAATTCTTATATGTGGAGGTTGTATGTTAGGAATGGATGTACGAGGCATGCTTTCTCAAAGTTATTAGTGAACAGAAGTYAACTTGTCATATTTACATCACTTCAGTTTAGCTATTAGCTGATTTAATTTACTTAAGTAAAAATTAGAAAAAATAATTTCCATATGGGCTTAACTTCTGATTACCTGAAGACTTCTTTTGATGTGTTTTTCACAAAATCAAATGCAGTATTTTACATATAGTAGTTGATAAGCAAAATTTAATTATATAAAAGCCTCCTTTTTTAATTGATTTTATTTTTTAAATACATGACAGTGGAATGCATTACAATTCTTATTAAACATAGAGAACACAATTTTTCATATCTCTGTTTATAAAGTGTGTTCACACCAATTCATGACTTCATACATGTACCTTGGATAATGATGTCCATCACATTCCACCATCATTGCTAACCCCCTGCCCCCTCCTTTCCCCTCTCACCCCTCTGCCCTATCTAGAATTCGTCTATTCTTGTTGGAAAAAATTCAGAAATGCCATAAAATAGACTGTGGGAATTGTGCTGTATCTGTCCTGTGAATATTGTAGACACTTAGATAGCTCGATCTCAATTTCTGGAAAGCTATGCTCACAAATGGTCCTTCCAGCAGTGCTGGGGAGATGGTTGTTGTGTGGCTGGTGCCCATTGTTCTGTAGAGGCTCCTTAAGGGAAGTGTTATAGTATCTGGGCTCAGTGTGGCTTTGTTTTAACACATGTTGAAAGGTAGTCTAGTGAGCTCTGAAGCCTTGGCAGATCACTCCCTTGTCATTTCCTTTAGCACATTGGTAGGAATATGATTGTGCCATTTCCTGGTATGTTTTGCATTTGAGGACCTTGGTATCTTAGGGCTCTTGAAGGCAGGCTTTGGGTCCCTAGACTTTTGATGCATCTTATCCTGTACCTTCAAAATAGATTTCCTGCCAAACGTTTCATCTCTGAATTCTCTTGACTCCATCTCTGCTCCGACAACTGGGTCAGGCAATTGATGAATGTAGGATGTATGTGCCAAGTTGTCCCCCTTGGGCAGTGTGTGCCACAGCAAGTGCTCAAGGGTTGCTGCAGAGGGTGTTGYGTTCACTTGGGTATTTGTTAGAATGACATGAAGGTGAGAATTGCCCACCCATCCCAGCATTTCCCCTGCACCCTGTTTTGGTGTCTGACTTTCTTCTTTTCTCTTTCCAGCTCTCTCCCCATCTCCTGGAGGAACCAGTGATAACGAAGGATGTCTATGATGTTGCCATCTCCCTAATTCAGATGTTTGATGACTTGGACATGAAGGAGAGTGGGTAAGAGCAATGCAGCCGTGCTTCAGTGTGCGCCTTGCGATGCGTGTTGTTCACTTGGAATTCTTAGTGCTTTCACGTCATTAAGATACAGCAGCACAAACTATTGAATAGTCACTGGATATGTATTATACTCAGGCTAGTTTGGAAATGTTTTACTTAGAGTTGTCAAAGCCAAGCTGAGTGGTTTTAGGACTGGTAGTTTAATTATTTAATTTAATTTTTTTTTTTTTTTTTTTGTACTGGGAATTGGTCCCAGGGATGCTCTACCATTGAGATACAGCCCTTTTTGTGTTTTGGAGAAAGGGTTTCGCAGAGTTGCTGAGGCTGGCCTCAGACTTGTGATCTTCCTGCCTTGGCCTCCCTTGCTGAGTTTATAGGCTTATGACACTGCACCTGGCAGGACTGGTAGTTTTAGAGCTAGGATCTACATATACCCTGCAGGTGGAATAGCTTTTCTAGACACCAAGTCACATGGCTCCTAATCCTCCAGTAAGACTCTTAAGTGTGCCCAGTAGGAACCTTTGGGAGCCTTTCTTTGCCTTTGCTAGAAATATGTATTCCTGTGGATCAGCAGGCTCCTTTTGTAATCCAAATATTTATGGTTTGGCAGATTCTTTGAAACTTGGGACATTTTTCCTTGAGGACAGTCTGGTTTTAAGTGGTGGCTAGAGCCCATGATTTAAAAAGAGTACTCTGTAATTTTCTTACAGTTTATATTTAGGACTTGTGTGTTGGAATGACAAGCAATGAGAATGTAGATCCCACCTCCCAGCGGCCAGGACTGGATCCTGAGTGGCTTTTCTCCTCTAGGCTTAGAAGGCCTCCTCCCTGTTTTTGTCCTTAGTTATGAAATCGGACTTTCTTGCACTTTCACTCTTCCTAAATTATACCCCTCAAAGAATCTGCTGCTAAATGTTATCTTTTTTGTTTTTTGTTTGTTTGGGTTTTTTTTTGGTTCTAGAGATTGAACTCAGGGATGCCTGACTATTGAACCATATCCCCAGCCTTTTTTATTTTTTAAAATTTATTATCCTCCTGCCTCAGCCTCCCTAATCTCTGGGATTACAGTGCCACTGTGCCCACCTCTTAGTTTTCATTTAGCTAAAAATTTCCTTGTTTCACACTCATTTAAATTTTAAAAAATTGAAGATAAAATGGCTGTATGTATACAGTGTGATGTTTTGAATCATAGACATATGACTTCCTCTAATTATTGACTTAACCATTCACTCTCATTCTTGAAATGGAATTTTGTTAGGTGCAAGTTGAAGATCCCTTTTCTGAAATTTGCATAGGCTTCACTGACAGAGYACCTGTAATTCCGAAACCCAAATCCCAAATGCTCCAGTATCCGAAACTTTCTGATGCTCAAAGTGAAGTTTCAAATTTTGGATCATTTCATATTTCAGTTTTTTGGAGTAAGAATGTTCAAGCTGTACGTATGAAATGTATGAATTCTGGGTTGTTATGTATTTCTCTTCATACATTTCTTTTTCTTTTTTAAATTTTATTTTTAGTTATTGATAGACCTTTTATTTTATTTATTTATGTGTAGTACTGAGAATTGAACCCAGTGCTTCACACATACCAGGCTACCGCTGAGCCCCAGGCACCCCCCCATACACTTCCTTTTTCTAATTTTACTTAAATAATATTATTGAGGAATATACAAATACATATAACATGTACATATATATATACACAAGTATATACATAAAATAAATACATATAACAAATGTACTCATTATTCAACTAGAGCTCCTTAGGGTTGTCTATCTATAAGATCATGTCAATTCTGAGTAGAGATGGTTTTACTTCTTCCTTTCCAGTTTGGATACTTTTTATTTCCTTTTCTGGCTTAATAGCTCTAGAAAGAACTTCTGGTACAGTGTCAAATAGAAGTGGTGAGAGCAGACATTGGGTCTGTTTCTGTCCTATTGGAAAGGCATTCTGTCTTTTACTGGTAAGTGTGGTATTAGTGTGGGCTTCTCTGGCTGCCCTTTGTCAGGCTGAAGAAGTGCGTTTCTATTCCTAGTTAGTTTAGTATTTTTATTATAAATGAGTATTAGATTTTGGTCAGTGCATTTCCTGTGTCTGTTGAAATTATGTGATTTTTGGTTTTATTCTGTTGATATAATGAATTACTGATTTTTGGATGATAAACCAATTCTGCATTGCTGGGTAAACCCACCTGGCCATGGTCCTTTTATGATGTTGTCTGACTTGGTTTGATCATGTTTTATTGAGGATTTTTGTTGCTCAGAGACATTGTGCTTTAGTTTTCTTGCAGTCTCTTTTATGGTTTTGATATATTAGGGTAATATTGGTCTTATAAAAATGATTGGGGGAAATGTTTCTTCCTCTTCTGTTTTTTGGAGGAGTTTGTGAAGAATTGGAATCAATTCTTTGAATGTTTGGTAGAGTTCAACTGGAAAGCCATTGGTTTCTGAACTTTTCTTTATGGGTATCTTTAAAAAATTTAATCTAAATTTTTTTAGATGGGGTCTTACTATTTTCCCCAGGCTGGTCGTAGATTCCTGGGTTCAAGTGATCCTTCTGCCTGAGCTTCCTGAATAGCTGTAATTACAGGTGCATGACACTGTGCCTGCTAGGGGTATTTATTAAATTAGAGACTCATTCTCTTTGTTTGTTATAGCTATGTTCAGATTGTCTGTTTCTTCTTGTGTTTGTTTTAGTAGTTTGTATCTTTTTAGGAATTTTTCTATTTTGTCTAAGCTATCTAATTTGTTGTTGTTGGTGTACATAGTATTCCTTTTCTGTGAAGTCAGTGGTAGTATCTCTTTTATTTCTGATTCCAGTAATTTGAGTCTTTTCTTTCCCTTGGTAAAACTCCTGAGAAGTTTGTCAATTATGTTGACCTTTTTAAAGAGCTGCATTTTTTTTCACTTTTCTCTATTGTTTTTCCTTTTGCATTTTATTAATCTCCACTGAAATTGTTATAGTTCCTTTCTGTTTACTTTAGGTTTAGTTTGCTTTTCTTTTTCCAGGGTCTTGAGGTGGGCATTAGGTTATTGATTTGGGGGTCTTAATATAGGCATTTACAGCTGTAAATTTTCCTTTAAGTTCTGCTTTAGTTGGGTCTCATAGATCTTGGTGTGTTATATCTTCATTTTTTTTCATTTGAAAGTATTTTCTTTGTTTCCCTTTGATATTTTCCTTGGCTTGTTGCCTCTTTGAGAGTATGTTATTCCGTTTGCACACGTTGATGAGTTGTCCTACTTTTCCCCTTTTATTGATTTCAAATTTTGGTCCATTGTGGCTGAAGAACATATTTTGCATTCTTTCTTTCTTTTTAAGTTTTTTTTTTGAAATTTATTTCATGGCCTAGAATACATTCTATCCTGGAGAACATTATATGTGTATTTGAGAAGAATTCATATTCTGCTGTCGTTGGGTGGTCTATTCTATAGATGGCCATGTTGGCCATGGTGTTTTTCAAGTCTTCTGTTTCCTTAATCTTCTGCCTAGTTGTTCCAGTGATGATTGAAAACAAGGTATTGAAGTTCTCACTATTATTGCATTGCCTGTTTCTCTAGTCATTTCTTTCAGTTAATGCTTTGTGTATTTCTGTCAGTTAATGCTTTGTGTATTTTTGTGCTGCATTGGGTGCATGTATGTTTACGGTTGTTTTAATCTTTCTGACTCATGGACCCATTTATCATAAAATGGTAAGTCTTCATCTCCTGTAACACTTTTAATTTTAGGTCTATTTTGTTTATATCAGTGTAGCCATTTTTCTTTTCTATGGTTACTGTTTCCTTGGCAGATCTTTTCTGTCCTTTCACTTTCAATCTGTTTGTGTCTTAATATAAAGTATATCTCCTTTACACAACATATCCTAAGTGGGATTACATTATATAGTCTAACAGTCTCTGTCTTTTGGCTGGACTGTTAATCCATTTACATTTAATATCATTATCAACATGATTGAATTTATGTGATCACTGGCTTTTTGTTTTCTGTATGTCTCATATCTTTTTTGTTCTTCTGTTCCTCTTTACTGCTTTCTTTTGTATTCAATAAATATTTTTTAGCTTTTTCCCCTCACTTTTTTTAGGCTTTGTTTTAGGGTTTGCAACATGTACTTTAAGTTATTAAGTGCTTCAGATTTATACTAGTTTAACACTAGTAATATATAGAAACATTACTGCTATAGAACTCTATTCTCTTTCTTTTTTTCATGATTATTTTTATATATTTTACATGTTACAAACCCACAAAAACATAGTTGTGTAATCATTACCTTAGTGTTCATTATCATTTCCTCAGGCCTTGATAGCTTTTTTAATATATATATTTTTTAGTTGTAGATGGACCTCCAATACCTTTGTTTTATTTATTTATTTTTATGTGTTGCTGAGAATCAAACCCAGTGCCTCCCAYGCACTAGGCAAGCACTGTACTGCTGGAGCTTATTCCCCAGCCCCCATGATAGCTTTGCTCCCACTTACTTCCCTTGTGCTGTTATGGCAAATATATTGCATATTACATTTTTATTTGTTATAGGCCCAGCAGTGTGTGTGTATGATTGCTTTTAAAATCATCTAAGGGAAAAAAAGAGCCAAACTAGATATTTATAGTGCCTTTTATAATTACACAGTTGTCTTTATCAGTGCTCTGTGTTCATTCACATGGGTTTGAAATACTGTCAGCTTCCTTTAGTATTTCTAGTAACATGGGTCTGCTGGAAAAAAGTCCTCATTTTTTTTGTTCACCTGGGAAAGTCTGTATTTGCCTTTATTATTGAAGAAGAGCTTTCTGAATATAGACTTCATAGTTGACAGTGTCTTCTTTGAGCACTTTGCGTGTGCCATCCTGCTGTTTTTTGGACTCCATTGGTTTACTGAGAGAGCAGCTGTTAATGTTATTGGGATTTCCTTTGTATGTAGTGTGCCATTTTTTTCCTGCCGCTTTTAAGTTATTCCCTTATCTTTGACTTTCATCATCCATGACATTTGCCATTTCCTGTAGGGCTGATGTAGTATCTGAGCCTTTAGTGGACTTTTTATCATTCTTCAAAGCCAGCCACTGTGGGGCACATCAATTTTATGTGCCCATTGATCACTAAATTTGTCTCCTTGGCTGGAGGCCATACCACACAGAAGACTGTGGGATTGAAAAGAGTACCCGTAGGTCTGTGAGTAGATGTGCGACAGGAACTTTAGGTGCAGGGAAGGGAACTCAGCTGAAATCTGTGTCTGTTTCCACAAGGATAAATCATCATTCCTTCAAGATGAAATCATGGGCTGGGCAGGTTTACCTACAAGTGGTACCATATTTGGGACTTGGCATTTGGCCCCCTCTGCAGGTTAGTGGCCAGCAGTGGCAGTAGCCAGATCAGCCTTTGGAGGTGCATGTAATTGACTCTATACCTAAGCCATCATTCTTGCTGCCCTGGGCACTTTGCATTGAACAGCTCTTGAGGGACTGGAGGAGGAGACCACAGACATCCACATGGCCTCTGGTTCATCTGCCAATTAAAAGTCTCCTTCATAGGCTGGGGTTGTGGCTCTGTGGTAGAGCGCTTGCCTCGAATGTGTGAGGCACTGGGTTCAATTCTCAGCAACATATATACATAAATGAATAAAAAAGGCCTATTAACAACTAAAAAAAATTAAAAATAAATAAAAGTCTTCTTCACTATTGCTGCCCTATGGCTGTATTTCCTTGGTACCTGCTCCAAGAGACTCAAATGCCTCTTTATAGATTCTTTATCATAATTATTGTTGTCTTGTCATTTCCATGTCCTAGACCAACTGGCCAACCAGTTAGCTTCCACTTCTTTATGGRATAGACCCAACCTAATGGCCAAGTCTGCTTCCACCTGGGGTGGACTACCAGATGCATGGATTGCCCTCCTTCTTGGGGAGAGTTCCCTTTCTCGTCATCTCTGAATGGGGTTATGATGCAGCAGGTGTCCAGTCCTGGCTGTTACCAGCATCTCCTTCAGGCCTATGCACGAACCAGGCCTATTTTTTTTTTTAATATCATAGTGTCTGGGCAATGGGTGTTGCTCAGAGAGGTGGCTGAGTAGCAGGAGCAGGCACCATTGGAGCACTGAGCCACCTTTGTTCCCATCACTGGTCCACCTCTCTTGTGCCCTTCCTCCTTCTAGTTGCTATTTCCAGGCTTTCCCAAGACTGACTTCATATAGTTCCCTTGCTACAGCCTCAGGGAGGCTCCCTTATCATCCCTTTGCACAGACACTCCACACACATACCTCCCCAGYTTTTTCCCTTGTGTGCCCATTTCTTTCCTTCATGGTACTAAGGCTACACTGAAGGGGCTTTGTTCACTTGCCTCTTGTCTGTCTCTCTGGCTAGGGTACAAGCTCCAGAGCAGGGTGGGGACACTTGTCTGCCTCGTTACTGTAGTATCCTAACTGCATAGAGGAGGGTCTGGCACAAATGGAGGGCTCCCAGGTTTGTGGAGGAAAGGAAGTTCTAATTTCTCGCACAAATGTACCCACTACAATGGGAAGATAAGGGAATGATTTGAGATTTTAGTCTTTAGAAATGCTTTTTTTTTTAAAAGAAGAAATGCTTTCCAATAATTTGGTCTCTAATAATAGTTTTCTTGTAGTTACTTTAAATGTTTTATGTTTGGGGGTTCTGGATTATAGTAATTAAATTTTCTGAAAACTTGCAGATCATGCTTCTTATAGGTGAGCATAATGGGAGTGAAGAGTCCTGGGTTCCAGGGGCCCAGGGTGTTGTCTTTGTGGCCTGTGTTTTCTTATGTGAAGTAAAGAACATTGCATGTGGCCTGTGTTTTCTTAAGTGAAGTAAAGAGCATTGCATAAACTCTGTGAGTGCTTTAAGGGTCAAGGCTGGTAGTGTCAGAGTTCTTGAAAAGCAGTGGCTGTTCCAGCCTTGATTCATTACATAATTCTCATTTTCACAGGAACAAGACCTGGTCGGGGGCCCAATTTGTGTCAGAGCGGAGCAGCGTGTTGGTGTTTTTGCCAGGTGTGAATGTCATGGTTTTGTGACCTGAAATTATCATACTCTGGATAGCACACATTATGAAAAATGATATTTTTCATTCTTTTTAGCCACCAAGAATATAAACAAATATCACTTTCAATTTAATTTCTTAACGAGAATGAAGAATTTAACTACTTGAAGGAAGTCTTGCCACCTTCAAGATTTTTAGTAAGATATTTAGCTTTGTTTAACTTGTATTCATTTATATGGCTGTAAATGTGAGGTAATTGTCATCAGTCTGCATTAAAACTTTTCAGTAACAGTAACATGTAACATCATAAGAATCATCAGCATAGTCTTTGAGTTCCTTTGTCAGTGTTTGGGAAGATAGGCTCTTAGTTATACCTTTTTGAAGACATTAATTTGTATTGTACTTTTTCAAAATGATTTTTAAATTATTTTAATCAAGTAGTATAGTTTGAGAAAACATAACAATTCAAAAATTTTCTGTTGTCAAAAGGTAATAGAGCATGTGAATGCTTTAGTAATGGAGAACAAAAAGCTTTGCAATGAGAAAAATTTGTTTAACTTTGGAATGCAACATGTGAGTTTCAGATCTTTGTCACATTTTGCTTAGGGTATGGATTTATTTTATATTCAAGAAACAACCCATTAACTGACAATGGAGTAGAGTTCCATTTGCTAAGTATCTATCAGTACTAGGTATATAATATTATATTAAGGGAAAAGATCACCAAAGCAGAGCCATATTGAAACTAACTTCATACTGCAAATGAGATAAATGCTTTTTGACTCCTGAACATTGCCTGAACAAAATATTTATAAAGTGATTCTTTAATTCAGGTTTGGTGTCTGATATCTGCTTACATAAATTGAAGTTTGACCTGTGTTTATGTATCCCATTAAATGTTCTGTCGAGAGCCGCTCTTCATTAGTGTTCTAGGGCTGCTGTTACAGTGCCACTGCTTGGATGGCATAAAACAGTGACTTCTTCCTCACTGTTCTGAGGCCTGACATTCAAAACCAAAGTGCCTGCAGAGCTGTGCTTCCTGTCAGGCTCTGGGTAGCCTCCTTCCCAGCAGCCCTGGCCTCCTGTGGTGGCCATCAGTCATCCCTTGACTTGTGTCTGCATCACTCTCATCTCTGCTGCTGTCATATGGTATTCTCTGTGTGGGCCTGAGACTCTTCCCTGCTTAGGAGGGCACCAGCCCTGTTGGATTATGAGCAGGAACCTCATCTCAACTGATTACATCTGCAGGGACTATTTCCAAATAAGGTCACATTTTGGGGTTGAGACTTCATATATTTTAGAGGGGAATACAGTTCAGCCGGTATCTGACTCAAATTCAAGACAAGGCAAAAGCACATGCAACTGTTATAGATCAATAAACATTTTTWAAAAACCTAATGAAAAAGGTTTAGTGTATCTTTATGACCAAGTCTCTCTCCCTCTCTCTTTTTTTTTGTTTGTTTTTTATTACTGGGGGTTGAACCCAGAGATGCTTTGCCACTGAGCTACATCCCCATCTCTTTTTATTTTTTGAGACAGGGGCTTAGTAAGTTGCTTAGGGCCTCACTAAGTTGCTGAGGCTGGCCTCAAACTTGTAATCCTTCTGTCTCAGCCTCCTGAGTTGCTGGGATTATAGGCATGTGCCACCTTGCCCAACATTACCATGTCTTTAATATGTGTGCACACGCGCACATACACACATTTAACACACACACACACACACACACACACACAATTTATTTTGTGGTGCTGTGTGGTGCTGAGGATCAGACCTCAGACCTCATGCATACTAGGTGAGCACTGTACCACTGACCTGTATCCTAGCCCCAGAATGTGTGTGTGTGTATAATTTTTTTTTTTTTTGGCAGAGCTGGGGATTGAACCCAGGGATTTCCACATTGCTAGGCAAGTGTTTTTACCTCTGAGCTATATCCCAGCCCTCAAAATATTATTTTTTGATTGGAAATATCTTGCATGCTTATTGTGGGACATTTGGGAAATCTGAGTGAAGAAATATAATATTGCTCATGTAGTCAGTGCTTATAGGTAGTCACCTCTGTTGAAAGAAAACATTGGAAGACTTTTCCCCATAATTTCGAGTTACTATTTTTTAATGTACTTGTGCATTTTTATTTGTCATCTGATATATTTAGGTAATAAAGATAAAAAGGCTTTCTTTGAAAAAGATGTCATTTAAAAGACTGGATTTATAGCAATAAGTACAAATCTGTTTTTTCCCCTCCTTCCCCTGCCCCCTGCTTCCCAGGTCTGGGTGAAATAAACTATATGCATGAACTTCTCACAAACATGGTTCACAAAAGGTGAGTTTAAGTTGACACAGCTTTAGTTTTACTTTCAGACCATTGTGTTGTTTATGCTTTGCATATTTTTGATTATCTGAGTGAACAAGTGTTTTTGTATGTCATGTGTATCATGTGATATTCTACTTTAGGAATTTGTTTCTTAGGTTACAGGTCTATCCACTCCATTCCAGTGTGACTTTAGAAGAACAGAACAATGTGTTCTTAAGTCCAGTCCCTGGGTACAGAAAGGTAGGAAGGCGGGGAAGACGTGTTAGGTTCTTGGCACCTCAGGCACCCTTCTGTGGAGACTGTCCAGGAAGGACGCTGGCACTGCCTGCCCTTTCTAGGCACATTTCCTGGACAAATGCTTGCTGATAACCCAGCTATGTCCCTTAGTGTTTTCTTTTATTTTGTAAATCAGTTTGCTAAAAGCTAAAAATTTTATTTCATTAACTCAGGGCATTATTGCTAATGGGTTTTGATGACTTTTAATTATTCTTGGGCATCTCTCTAGGTTTGGGACTGTGCTGATGTCTTTGGCACTACTCTGATGACTTGGTTAGATGCCTTAGTTGAAGTCCTCCTTGAGACATTGTTTAGTCTGGGTCATGTATGAGTGTTGTGATTGCCTTACCATGACCTTTCAGACCCTGAGCTGGTGGCCCTACTCCCTGATTTCCATGGGACTATTTGGAATCTCTGGAGGCAACCTAGACCTTGGATGGTAGTTCAAGGCTCATGGTTATAGCTCTTCCTCTGGATTTGACCTGGTTGTACTTTTGCTCCTGATAATTTCAGGAGCCCTGGAAAACTTCAGAAGCAGGGTTAGGAGCAGTAACTTGCCCTGTGTACTTGCCTGATGCTTTTAAGCCTCTGTGTGTCTGGTTTTCCACATATTAGGAGCTTCTTGATCAATTGTGATCTGCATAAAATAGGAAAATGGCTAAAGTTAAAATTTTAGTTCAGTATTTAAGAAGCTTTGAAATTTTCAAGATGGAGATTTATTTGCTTATTTTTAATTTTATTTAAAGCTCTACTTCTCTCTTTGGTGCTCAACAGGTTATTTTGTCTACCAACATTGCAGAGAGCTCTGTCACTGTCCCGGATGTCAAATATGGTAAGGTCCATCTCGCTCMACTCCACATAAACTATGGCTTCCATTGGCCTCTTTGTCTCCTCAGGACACACCTCCCCCCACACAAGCTAATCACTTCCTCTGATAATGGAAGAGAGGCTTCAGAGAAGTAGGGTCATGTGGGTTCCCCATTCTTTCAATTCCCCAGTCCTCCTTAGGGTGTGCCACATCACTTGGAGCATAAGTGTCCTCAGGGTGTGGAGGCTTGTGGGAGCAGAGTGTTATGGGTGCCCTGGTGGAATTCTGTGACTGGAGGGAGGCAGGCGTGAGGGAGGAGCCCACGAAGTCTCTGGTCCTGAAGGTGTCTTGAAGGATGCCGCACACTCCTCCATCTGGCCTTCTGCCTGTGTGCCCTTAATAGCAGATTCTTCCCTCATGAGTGTCCTAGGTGGATTGGTTGTGGTTGAATACCCAATGTGTGTGGCTTTAGGAGTACAGCAGTGAGTAGAACACAGTCCCTGTCTTCACAGTGCCTACATTCTGGTGGGAAAGAGACAATTAGCAGGTAAAAAAAATAACAATTTCAGGTAGAGATGAAAGTGATAGATAAAGGTAAATCAGGAGAGGGTTATGGTTGCTGGGAAGAAAGATCTTTTAGCAATGCAGACATCTTCAGTGACTTTGACAAGGGTGGTTTTGGTGGAGGCAGATGTGCTTACAGTGGGCTCTTGAGAAGGAACAGAGGAGGTGCATCACAAAGCGCATGTGTGTGTGAGTGTGAGTTTCTGGGGATTGAACCTAGGTGTGCTCAGCCACAGAGCTATATCCCCAGCCCTTTTATTTTTTATTTTGAGACAGTCTTAGTAAGTTGTTGAGGCTGGCCTTGAACTTGCAATCCTCTTGCCTCAGCCTCCCAAGTCACTGGGATTACAATGTGTGCCACCATGCTGGCCAGATAGCACTGCTGAGGTGTTTTGCTGTAAAGGGAAGGTTAGAAATGGGTAGTACTGGGAGTGGAGGATGAGAACCTATTTTCCTGGACAAGCACTTCCAGTGCGTTTGCTGGGTGAGGGGAGAGAAGCAGGAGAGGGTAATGTGGACATGTGAGGAACCATTCACAGTCTCAGAGAGAAGGCTGAGTGTGGAGACTGAGGCTGCCTGGGGGCAGAGATGGCCTGGAAGCTCTAGGAGGTCCTTGCAGCACCTTTGCCTGTGTGATGAGCTAGGAGGAGGACCCTCTGTAGGGAAAGGACAAAAAGCCTGGGAGGCTCGAGCAGATGAGGTGGCCATCCGCTGGCAAGGGAAGTGCTTTTCCCTCCCCAAGGCTTAGGGGGCGGGGTAGGGGTAGAGAGTTGCTATGCTCCTGGGCCATGCTTGCATCAGACACTAGAACAGAGCAAAGTGGTGCCCAGCTGCCGCCTGGACTTGCTGTTGGTGGCCAGCAGGGAGTAAGGCCCAAGAGATCAGGTAAGGGACAGTGACAGAGCATAGATGGGCAGCTTAAGGCCCCAGTGGGTGAAGGCTGGCTGAAGTCGGGTCCCAGAGCAGGGGAAAGGGAGGACAGGAGTTCAGTCTCAGAGAAGGGTTCTTGAAGCTATGGTGAAGGAGGAGGTGCTGCTGGCACCGTGTGGGTGGAAGGGGCACTGCAAGGAGGAAGCTGCTGACTGGGTGGAAGGCCAGGGCGTGGGGGGCAGGGCTTGAGCCCTGAGAGGGTTAATGCAGCTGGTGCCTTTCTTATGGGTATTGAAATCTCCAAAACTCATGTCAGGACTAGTGTTGTGAGAGGACCAGGGAGCCAGGGGCAGGGTGGGGTGCTTCATGGCTCCATCCCTGAGGCTGTAGCAGTAAGAGGTTGGGCTTAGCATGGGAGGATGGGAGAAAGGTGGCCAACCACCATTAAGGGAGGGCCTGTGTGTGTCTCCAGAGAGGGCTTTGTCACCTGTGCTCCACAAATGAGTACCTGAAGCACAGACAAACCAGGGGCTCTGTCACCTGTGCTCCACAGATGAGGACTTGAAGCACAGACAAACCAGGCAACTTGCCCTAACCATCCACAGATCCCCCGCACCCCTACCCCGCCACATACTCACCACACAGACTCAGGATTTGAATCCTGGCAGTCCAGAGCATCAGCCACTCTTGTTGAGTCCTCCTGCAGCTGTACCCTTTTGGGTAACCTTCATCTTTTGGGTACATCCAGGTAGGCCTTTCTCATGGTACATAGGGTCTCACAGGTTATTCTCTGTGCCCAGAGGCTCTCAGTCCTCAGCAAGAAAGAGGCCTCTGTCTTCTGTCCTGACAGTAGTGCATGGTCAGCATGTTCCCAGGTTCCTGTGAGCATACAAACTCCAGGGGCTTTGACTGAACCATTGAGCACTGTGATTCACTAGGTAGCAGTCTTGTATTCACATGGGGTTTACATTCCTTTTTTTCAAATGACAGTTATAGATTTTTGTCTGACTAGAACTCTGGTTTGTGATGAAGATACGAATTATCAGAGTCTGCGATTGAGTTGGGCCTCTAAGACCAGTTGCAACCAGAGAAAAGGTAAGGCAATTTGGGTGCACGCTGAGGACTTGGTGGTGACAGGGTGTCTTTGAAAACATTACTTTTCCTTTTTACTTCCTTTATTGGGATAGTTTTAAGTCTGCTTATCCGCATTGCATGATGTCAGTTCTTAACTCCACATTTCTCTTCTTGCTGTGTGGTGGGGGCATCTTTATGCCTAAGGGATCTTATCTCAATACTGTTGTTTTTCATAGTAAAATTTAAACATTTTGGTTGAACAGTCATAGAAGCCAGGTGGATCACTTCACTTATTTTGACAAGCCTTCCTCGAATCTTGATGCTCCTAAGGTGGGTTCCACAGGGGCTCGGGGTTTGCCGCACATCTGCAAGTATCCCTGATAGAGGTAATGGTGTCACTTTTAAGTGCAGGATGTGTTGGCCACAATGGAAGTACATTCACAACATGCCTGACATAGGTGTCATTCTCTCCTGTGGCAGGAACTGGCCTTGGGGACAGTATCTATGGTGTGTTCTGAGGTAGGAGCAAAGGTACCTGCTTGGACTTAAAGGTTGTGCTTATGTGTGCCCACTATAACCCATTTAGTCCTCAGAGCATCTGACATGCAGAGAAATGGGCCCGAGCTTCTCCTACAGAGTGGTAGGACCAAGATTCAATCCAGAAATCTGACTTCAGTCCTCATTCTTTTTTTTTCTGAAGTATTTTTAGTTGTAGATGGACTCAATACCTTGATTTTATTTATTTATTTTTATGCGGTGCTGAGGATCAAACCCAGTGCCTCACACATGGTAGACAAGTGTGCTGCTGCTGAGCCACAACCTCAGTTCTCATTCTTGACTGCTCTTTTGAGTTCTCTCTCCTGAAATCCCTCATCCAGAGGGGACTGAGAGCTGACAAAGGCGTCATTCCAACTTGGCTATCGAGGGTGTTTGATTGCTGTGAAGGCCTCAGGTTGGGTTGTGTATTGTTATAAAGTTAGGTGTAGTGTTATCTGTTTTTGTTGTTGTTGGTTCTTATAGAAATTTCAGTTTTATGCTTTAAATTTACATCCAGGATCCATTGCACATCACAGCCAATTGTGTACAAGGTGTGGCTTTAGGTCATGGTGCTTCTCTGCCTGTGGCCATGTAGGGGCTCCACTTCATGGAATCATCCTTGAGTTGAGTCTGTTCTTTTATGAGATGGTCATTCAGGTGCGGCCACAGCAGGAGATGCTGGGGGAGGGCTTGCCATTGCAGGGCTACATGGAGATACATCAGTAGTCAGGGGCATAAAGCAGTGAGGGAAGGTTGAGGCCATGCCTTTGTTGGGCTTTCTGGGGGAAAGGCAAGGCAGGCAGGTGGACAGCATAGGATTGGCTAATTTGACTTCTGGTTCCCACGGTGATTCCTCCTTGCCTGGTACCAGTCCCTAGATGTTCTCACATAGCCTCCTGGGTGTTTATCCTGGAACTTTGCTGGATTTGTTAGTTAGTTCTGGGAGATATTTTTGTGATTGCCCTGGGATGTTCTGTCTAGCCAGTCCTGTCATTTGCTGATAGGGTGGGGAGGGTGGAGGAGGAAGTCCAGCTTGCTTCAGTCTCCTGATGGCACAGGTGCAGAAGAAAAGCTCTGTGGGCCACTCTGTTTTTTTCTTTTTTTTAATAATATTTTTTATAGTTGTAGTTGGAAACAATAACTTTATTTTATTTATTTATTTTTATGTGGTGCTGAGGATAAAACCCAGGGCTTTGCATGTGTGAGGTTAGCGTTCTATCGCTGAGCCATAATCCCAGCCTCAACACTGTGTTTTTAAAACTGGGTATTTATTAAGGACTCCCTCATCCTTAGAAGATTTTGTTTCTGCTTCATAAGTGATACAATGACAGAAGGATAACAGGTTATGTTGTGGTCTAGACTTGGGCTGAACTCCTGATGTGTGTATTGCTCACTCATTTAGTATGAAGCAGCCATTTTGAAGGATGCCTTTGTTGAGATGTTAGGATGGGGGCAGGAGAAGCTACAGGCCTGAGTAGCTGGGCCTAGTCTCCACATCTCTACATTGGGTGAGCGCAGTGTCTATCACCAGTTGCATGACTTTTCTTTAGTGACCTCTGCATTTCTGTTATTATGAACAGTGCGTTTGCAGGAAATGAGTGTTATTTAAAATGTTTTGGTTTCCCCTGTATGTTGGGCCAAGGTTATTTTCTGTAGAAGCATGCACTGGATTCTATAATGTTGTTCACTGAATAGAAGTCAGCACTAAATCTGATTTATTCCAGCTTTTTAGGATATTTTTCAGAGTAAGTATGTATATATGCCTAATGAAGCATATATACTAACATATCCTAAAGTTTTCAATGACCTAGTTTAGGGGAGATGATTAAGTTTCTCCTAGTCCAGGTCTGATGGCTAACTACATGTCTCTTCATGCTGATGCTGAAGGGGTTGGTGCCAGGTGTAGCTGAGCTTCTCTCTTTTGCAGGCCGTGCTGGACGAGTGTCTAAGGGGTACTGTTACAGGCTGATACATAAGGATTTCTGGGAGAGCTCCATCCCTGATCACGTTGTTCCTGAGATGTTGGTAATGTGCTTTGCTTATTTTCAAAGTTGAATTTTACTGAATGGTTTAAGTAATATAATTATGAGTGTCATATACTTTTTTTGTGTGTGTGTGGAGCTGATGATTGAACCCAGAGCCTTATGCATGCAAGGCAAGCACTCTACCAACTGAGCTATATCCCCAGCCCTGTCATATACTTTTGATTCCAAGAAAATCACTGACTGCTCATCTTTATTTTTCATTTTTATTTTTTGTGGCACTGGGGATAAAACCCAGGGGTGCTCTGACACTTAGCTACATCCCAGCACATTTTATATCTTATTTTAGTGAGTAAGGGTCTGGCCAGGTTTCCCAGGCTGGCCTGGAACTTATCACCCTCCTGCCTCAGCCTCCTGGGCAGCCAGGATTTACAGGGATGTACCACCATGCCCTGCTGTGCTCTTTTTAATCATAACACCAGCTTATCATTTATTAAGCACCAAATTCTTCTAGGGCTCTTACCAGATTTACATCCTAATGAGAGGAACATTTCTTGGTGTCTACTGGCCTATAGTGGCATTGTCCTTATATGCTGCTGTTTTCTGTTCCTTTTATAGTGAGTAATTGTTCATCAGCATTTTTCTTTCTGCTTTTCTGTCTCTCTTCTTTCTCCCCCCACTCTCTCTCTCCTATTTCTTGCCCCTCTCTTCCCATTGCTTTCTTTTTTATTCCTTTTTCATCTCCCTGTCTTTGTCTCTTTCCTCCTCCTTTTATCTCCCTTCTCTCTCACCCGATTATTTGTTTGTTTGTTTCTTTCTTTCCTTCCTCCCTCACCAGGAGAAGAGGTTTATTAGCTCACAATTCTGGAAACTGAAAGTCGTGGGTTGGATGGGGCTGGGGATGTGGCTCAAGTGGTAGCACGCTCACCTGGCACCACATACAAAGAAGGATGTTGTGTCCGCCGAAAACTAAAAAATAAATATTAAAAGAAATTCATTCTCTCTCTCTCTCTCTCTCTCTCTCTCTCTCTCTCTCTCTCTCTCTCTTAAAAAAAAAAGAAAAAGAAAAAAAAAAGAAAGTCATGGGTTGGTCCTTCCCATCTTATTCTACCTCTGATGAGGGTCTCCTTGGTGAGATCACATCATGGCAGATGGCATCATAGTGAGAACACGAGGAGGGAGACTGCACCTGAGGGGACAGGAAGCCAGAAACCCGGGAGGGACCAGTCTGACTCTTCTGTAAAAGCCATCTCTGGATAACTGACCAGGTTCCATGAGAACTCCCTTGACCTCTCATCAGGGCAGGCTTCTAATGACCTCCTTACTTTGCTTAGGTTCCACCGTTTTTGTTTTACCCTTTTTTCTCTTGATCTTATTTTTCCTGCTTTCTGTTTCTAAAACACTAGTTGTGTGAATAGGTTAATCTGGTTGTCTTATCCCTGAATCTAAGTTGTGCTCTTTTCAGCGCTGTCCACTGGGAAGCACAATATTGAAAGTGAAGTTGCTTGGCATGGGTGAGCCCAGAGCTCTCCTGGCAACCGCCCTTTCTCCACCCAGCCTGAGTGACATTGAGCGTACCATCCTTCTACTAAAGGAGGTAGGTTTTTCTGGAGTTTATCAGTGGTGGAGAAAGCTAAGGTTTTCTTATTTTGCCAGGGGAACCTTAATTTCATAATCTTCAGTGTATTTGGCTGTTGTAAATGCTCAACATGTGCTTGAAAAAGCCTGTGTAATGACTAACAGGTAATGCCATGTTTCATAGCCATGTTTTAGACTGGCTTTGTGGGTGGTCTTGCTGAAACGCACCACCTGTGCTGCTCATCTGTGCCCTGATCCCAGCACTCCCTTGCTTGCTGTGTGTTGATGGTAGAGTCTCTCTCCTGCTGCTCTTCCTCTGATTTTGGTCCTTTCCTTAGCCCAGCCCTCTGTTTGGTGCTTGTGACCCTGCCCTTCCTACTTGAGTTCCACGGCCCACTCCTGGTTCACACCCTGCTCTTGGAGCTTGCAGCCCCCAGCCATGGGACCAGCTATGTCCTTGTCCAAAGTCTGTGTGTGCTCTGCTTCTGACTCTTGAGATTGAGGAGCTGCCTGTGTTTTACTCTTATATATGGTACCTGCTTGGGTTTCTGCAAACTGAGGAGGTTTTATTCATAGGTGGGTATAACAGGCATCTGTGGTGTGCCATGGGCTGAGGCTGTAGACCCTTTATTCAGTACTGTGTGTGCTGTATTTGTTAAGTAGACTTTGGTGGCAATCCTTGAGTGTTACCTCCCATGTAAAACATATAATATGTTTTAAAAGAAATAATAAAACTCAAAGTTTCAAGAGAGAATTAAAGGTTTTGGGGAGCATTAATCTTTTATAACTTGACTTGGATATCTTTCAGAATCTTATTCACCAAAATTAGGTCTTTATTTCTTGTTTTGCACTCTCCACCAAAGGATGAAAAGGATGTGAATGCACCCATGCTTGCTAATAACATTGATTTATTTTGTAAAGGTTGGAGCACTTGCCGTTAGTGGTCAGAGAGAAGATGAAAACCCCCACGATGGTGAATTGACCTTCTTAGGAAGGGTACTAGCACAGCTCCCTGTCAATCAGCAGCTGGGTAAACTCATAGTGCTGGGACACGTGTTTGGATGCCTGGATGAGTGTCTGATCATAGGTGAGTGTGGGAAGCAAGCCCAGGGCAGCTCTCCGGTGCCACACTCTAACAGTCTTTATTCTGTGTCTTCTGTTGTCAGCGGCAGCGCTCTCATTGAAGAATTTTTTCGCGATGCCTTTTCGGCAGCATCTTGATGGATATAGGTATTTAACGTTCATATTTAAGAGGTCACCTGGTCCTAATGGTGTTGAGTGACACTTGTTGTCATTCTGCAGGAACAAAGTGAACTTCTCTGGCAGCAGCAAGAGTGACTGCCTTGCACTTGTGGAGGCCTTTAAGGTGAGTCCCTGTGCTTGCCCATGGAGGTGGCACCACAGGCTGCCAGCATGTCCACATTCATGGAGGCAGGGGTGGAGGGAGGAATGTCCAGCATTCAGCAGCTAACTGTTGGAGGAAGGGCCGTGGGGACAGGAGGCCACTGCTGGGTTTCTATTCTCGCCACTAAAAGGCTCAGGGGTCACTCTAGTTAAATTGGGCTAATTGGGCTGCGCAAAATAACCACACAAGAGACCCAAATACCTTTTTCTTTGGGGTCGCTGTGACAGCTCCTCTGACCTTAAAGGGTCCACAGGAAGAGAGCGAGAGCACGTGCTGACCCCTTTTATTAAGAAGCTATTCAAATGAGTCAAGGGGTCAGGTTTCAGGGGGCTGAGTCTATCTTCATGATGTCCCCTGTCAGCAGGTTGACTGACATCTGGGTAGACCACACAAAGGCACTTCCATGGAAGATTCTATCCTAAACAGGGCAAGGGGTTATATTACAAAGGAACAGGTGAGCGTAGCTCCACCCATGGGGCTGTAGCAAGACACACCCATGCACAAAACACCTACCCTCGAACCCAAGAAGGGTGGGGAAAGCTTTGCCACATTTCTGCGACTGAGTGCCTCAGCACCCAGCCAGGGAGTGTGACTCAGTCAAGTGCAAGATGGGTCTCCCACAGACCAGTGTCATAAAGGTGATTGAAAACATTCAATTTGCAAATTTCCTGTGGCCACAATGTGTTGAAATTGGAATTTTAAAACATCTGGTAGCCAATAAATTATTCTGAAACTGTGGATCATTGATTTGTAGACGTGGCAGGCTTGCAGACAGCGCGGAGAGCTGCGGCATCCCAAGGTTGGTCATGTTCCCTGTTGTTTCCTCGTGGTGGCATGAGTGACCAGGTTTCCTGAAGACTCTGTGTGCCTGCTTGTTCACTGCTCAGGAGTTGTGGACAGCTGTTGTGTGCTGTCCTCTGGGACGGGCAGCTGTGATCTTAAGTGGCTGGGTCCTTTTGCCTGTGCCCCTGGCTTTAGTCACTGGGTAGGAAGCCATGCATCCTGCAGAGCACAGAGCTGCTGGCTCCACAGCTCCATGTGCACTGATCTTCCTGCCAGTTCAGGATACCTTTTTCTTTGGGGTCGCTGTGACAGCTCCTCTGACCTACACTTCAGCTAAGTGTAGATAATAGGCTTCAGAGGAGTTTAATCTGGTTGCCTGCATTTCGTTTCTTTTAATTTGGTCAAGTTTTCTCTTTTCCTAAACCAGGTAGGCTTCAGAGACTTTGGCAGGTCTGTGTAGATTGGCTTTGCTTAGGTGAGTCTCTACCAAGTGTGCAAGCTGCCCTAGGAAGCTGTCTTCTGTACACTCAGCCATGTCACCTGCTTTGGAGCTGTGCTCTTTCTCAAGCTAGTCAGGGTATTTCTGCCTTTAATGCTTGGGACAGGTGAACCATAAGAGTGGTTCCTGTGTGGTGCTCAATGTGTAGTTAGAAGCCCTGGAGAGGGTGTGCTGTGGTCACTGTAGTACGCTGTTTAGTGCACAGCTGCTCATGTGCCACGACTTCTGTACAGGCTTGTAGACAGTGACTGAACCCAGGGGCACCGGCAAAAGGACCCAGCCACTTGCTTATTTTCTATATATGGCCAAGTTCAACTCTATTTTCTGTACTTGGCCAAGTTCAACTCTTATTTATTACCTTGACATTKAATATTATGCTTTTATGTATTTAAAGGATGAACTTGACTGGGGACGGCTGAATTATATTCAGATCAAGAGAATTAGAGAGGTAAGTTTTAAGTTCTTTTACTAAATGGACACAGGTAAAACTGGCTTAGCAAATGTTCACTGAGGACTGAGAATGCACAGGGTGGTCCTGACTGCTCTGAGAGGTGGCTCCTCCACCCATCCTATGTCCAGCAAGGCTGCCTTGGTGGCTTCATCCAGACATGGCTGTTGCCTAGGCTCCTGGGTAGGACTCCCCCATGCTTAGTAAAGAGGAACGGATGTGTGATATTATCAGGTATCCTTTCAGAATTTGTCAGGATGGCATGTGGTCTCTTCATTGTTAACTGACTGACATGACTGAAAGCACTCTAGCTTCTACTGTCGTGCCATCCCTGGGTCCTGGGTGCCTGCCTTCTCCTGTGAGTGTGTCCTGTGCTACTGGCCTGTGGTGTGTGTATGTAGACGTGCATGCGCAGGGACTCGCACAGGCACAGTGGGAGTGGATTTTGCTGTTAGGTTTGTGTACACTTGTGGGATGAGCGTCTTCCAAGCCCAGGGAAGCTAATAGTGCAAACTGGGAATATGTGTCTTTTAAGTTGACAGAACGCACCCATGAAAGCCTCTGCCTTTTTGAGAGAGAGGTTTTTTAAAAAACAGTATTTTCAGTTTTTCTGGTAGTTGCTGATCCTATCTGGTTGCTCGCTTTTTTTTTAAATATCTTTTATTTTTTATAGATGGACACAATATCTTTATCTTGTTTTATTTTTTTTTTGTGGTGCCAAGGATCTAACCCAGTGCCTCACATGTGATAGGCAAGTGCTGTACCACTGAACCACCCCCCTATCCCCATTGTGTCTCTTGATTTAACTTATTTAGTCTTCCAGAGTTGAATATTTAATTTATTGATATTTTCTAATTAAAAACAATTAAAGCTATGAATTTGATTATAAGCACAGTTTTGGCCATATCCTGCTGTTCCTGTTCATAATTTCCTGAGTGTTTTCCTCTTTGACTCAGCTGTTTAGAAGAGTTTTTGTATAGTTCCAAGGTAGAAAAAAATTTTGCTAGATATCTTTATATTAATTTCTGATTTTATTGGATTTTAGTCAAAGGAAGTGACTGTCATCACTTCAGGATGATTTCCAGTTGGCTCTAGTGTGTATAATTACGCTCTTGTGGGAGATATCAGGCTGGCATCTGGATGTGCTGCCCCTTGTGGCCCAGGGCTCTGAGTTTCTCCTCCCTTCACAGAGATAGTGGTTTTGACTTTCTTCTGTCCTTTCAATACTTTTTTTTTTCCTTATTTTTGTGTGAATGTGTGCTAGGGGTTGAATCCAGGGCCTTCGGCATGCCAAGTATATACTCTACCTGTAAACTGCCCACAAACCTCCACCAGCCACTTGTAGGGTTGTCCCCTCAGTTGTGTTCATGCCTGTTACTGTATGTTTTTACATTTTGTAACACATTGAGATGATGTTGAGGTGACTGTTGATAGTTCATAGGATTGGAGCTGTGTGTTTTCGTATGTGTTCACGTATTTAAATTTTTTWAAAAAAATGCGTTGTGCTCTAGGTTTCCAATTTGGCTGACCTATTATTATTATTTATTTATTGTACTGGAGATTGAACCCGGGGCACTGAGCCACATCCCCAGCCCTTTTTAGTTTTTATTTTGAGATAGGTTCTCGCTTGGTTGCTTAGGACCTCTCTAATTTGCTTAGGCTGGACTCAAACTTGCAAGGCTCCTGCCTCAGCCTTCTGAGCCACTGGGATTGAAGGTGTGTGCCACCATGCCCAGCTCCCTGTGTGTACATTTAAAGTTTGACATTTTGTATAAAACAGTTTTTGTTACAAGTGGATTTTTTTAATTAAAAAAATTGTTTTTCATTTGGAAGGACTGTTTGACCATTGGTCAGCTGTCTTGTTTCTAGTCACAAAAGCAGAACAGGCTCATGGCAGAGGTTGGGGAAGGAATTGAAGGATTTCAGGGGTGTAGTTGTGGTCACCTGCATACTGGACACTCCCAGGTGAGGCTGGTTTGGGTCTACTGTTGGTGTGCACTAACTGAGGTGGAGGTACAGACCGTTTCCTGTTTCCTACTAATGTTGTGTGGAGCATCTTGGGCTTATAGGATGCCTTGCGCAGCTGCAGTGCCTCACCCTGTGGGTGCTGGTGCATTCCGTTGTGCACTTGCTCCCTGCTCTTCTTGCTCTGAGGAGCATATGCATGGGAGACACCAGATTTCAATGTGTTTTCTCAGGTGGCTGAATTGTATGAAGAACTGAAAAACAGAATCTCCCAGTTCAATATGTATGTAGATCCTCGGCGGCCCGTCTTAGACCAAGAGTATCCACATAAGCAGCGCTTCATCCTACAGGTGCGCTGGGGCTTCCTGGGAGTCTTTCCCTACTCTTCCTGCTTGCTTGGGTTTGGCTGAGAAGCTCCCATCTCCAGCTGTCAGCACTTCTGCCCTATCTGAGCTTCAGAGATCTCAGGGCCACCTGTACATGCCTAGATGAATGGAGACTGGGAGCCATTCTCACCTTTCCTTATTTCCCACTTCCTGGCACTGAATTGACAACCCAGACCTGCATCTTCCAGGGCATGTTTGTGTGGAGTACCAGCTGTCACCAAGTCTGTTGTGGCTTCAGAAAGTGAGAGTGTCCGTGATATCATTGGCACAGGGAGCTGTCCTCTTACCCTGCAGGGACATTTTAACTCTTGGGGCTGTGGGTTCAGATGACTAGCTGTGAGCTGGAACCGTCCCTATAGGGAAGGTATGGAAGTGGGTCCTGGCAGGTGGAGGGTGCTTCTGCTGTGGGCTTTGAGAGGGGCACTGGCTAATCATGCAGGCTTGGACAGCTGTCTTTGTGGGAATGGGAATGTTTTTCTGGATATAAAGTTACCAAGAGGCAGGAGAGTCTTCTATGGGTGTGTCCTTACCAAAAGGATGCTTTGCAGAGTGCCTTTGAGAGGTGAGTATTAGATGCCAACCTGCTGCCCTCAGTCAGGTGTCCAGATGGGAGGCTGGGAGTCTCATTTGCACACCTGGGAGAGTGGAAGTCAGTGTGGGGCTGGGCTATGTGTGGTGACTGTGCTCAGCTCCCCGCCTTTCCCAGCAGTGTTCTGGGAAGTGCCTCAGCTCCTTTGAAGAAAGGGTGAGTAGAGTGCGTCTGTTGTGGGGAAATAACCAGTGTGTGACTTCTACCTGGTGGGGGAGAGGTCCTGTTTTTATGCAGATGACACCTATCTTTTGCATATTGGGTGGCCCAGAAATGCTGGGGTGAGATTAGAAAACTGGTGAGAATAACTGATGAAGTGTGCAGTTTCTTCATGAAAATGAGCTTCTTTTTCAGGTTGTATTGGCAGGTGCTTTTTATCCAAATTACTTTACTTTTGGACAACCAGATGAGGAGATGGCGGTGAGAGAGCTGGCTGGCAAAGACCCAAAGACGACCATCGTGGTGGGTACAGAGGACGAGAGGCTGTCCCTGGGTGTAGACTGAGTCACTGGTTTCCAGCTGGAATTGCCTTTTGGTTGTGGACAGGGCAGAACTGGAGCCTTTCCAATTGTTTCTGTCTTGAGGCTTCTGTGTGGATCTTCCCTAGAGTGAATGTTAGCCTTGATTGGCCTTTCAGAGACTTCTGGTCCTTTTTGGCAGATCTGGCCTTGCAAGAAAGCCTGAAGAAATTATGTGTTCATGGCAAATGGTGATTTGATCATTAGCTGTTTAGAAGGATTTGAGGCACTTTTCCATAAATTTAAGAACATTTTGTTAATTAGCAACTTAAATATTATACAAAATTAAATGTTGATTAGCAGCTTAGTACTGTGATCCCCTGACTTGGATGCCCAATAGAAAGTCTTAGGGAGTGTACACTTACTTATTTTAAAATTCAGATTAGAGGGCCTCTAAAAGTCTGAGCTAGAAGGTATGGCCTAGAAATCAGGATTTAAATAACATGTACTGTAGGTGAATCTAGTGATCAGCCACAGGCACTGACCATTGGGTCAACACTGTGGATTGTTTGCACCCCAGCAGCAGGGTGATGCACAGCTGGAGGGAGGCACTGGAGAACTGGACTTCATTGAGCTCTTTGATTGGTATGAGCTGGAGTTGGGCACAGGGTGGGAAGCACTTGGTGAAGAGCAAATGCACACATGGTCACTGCCTGTGTTGGTTCTGGGTATTGCTATGGCACGTGTGCTACTGCTGAGGAAATGAAGGTTCACAAGAGAAGGGCCACTCTACCAGAGCATTAGAAATTCCAGTCTGTGAAGAGCTATAGCTGAGCACTGTGGGGCCCTGGGTGAGGACCGGTGATTTTGTTGTTCATCAGGGATGACTAAGATCTTCTTTTGGCTTCCTCTCTCCCCTTGTCCCCTTTGTGGTGTCCTTCCTTTGGGTCTGCACTCTGGAAGGGCCCTAGGGACAGGACCTTGCCTTAAATGCCTCCTTCTGTCACCAGGCTGCCTTACTCCTCATGCACTCTGGGGGCCAGAACTAACTGTGCATCATAGAAGCTGCATTGTGCCTGACTTGTCTTAGTTCTTCTGTAAGAAGCCTTGAACTAAATACTTTTTATTCATTCCTCGCTGAGCCTCACAATGACAATTTTGAGTTAAGGATTTGTCCTAATTTCCTGAAGTGGCCATTCTATAACTTGGTTAAGGAGACATGAGCTTCAGGGAAGGATGAGATGGGACAACGTGGCCTAAGCCATGCCCTCCCTTGCCTGCTGCCCTCCTGCAGCTGGTGTGGGCCTGAGATCAGGGTTTGGCTTCTGAGCAAGGGCCCATGTGGAGCCAGAGCTAGGAACATGACTGGCCCTGGTGTGCACAGAGGGCATGAAGTGTGGCAGAGCCCTGTAGCAGCTGAGTTTCCTTGAGAGCTCACTTCTGGCTGCTGTGATGAGGGGTCACCCTTCTCTCATTATTAGTACATTTTTCTTTTGTTAGGTTCCATTTTTCCTTATGTAGAAATACAATGTTTTTAAAAAGATGTGTTTAGCTTGATTATTTTAAGGCAAAATAAAACAGAAGTCAAGCAATATTAATTTTCCTATATTAGGTTGACCTTTTTAAAAAATATTTATTTTTTAGTTGTAGTTGGACACAAGTACCCTTATTTTATTTATTTTATGTGGTACCAAGGATCCAACACAGGGTCTCACACATGCTAGGCAAGTGTTCCAATGCTGAGCCACAACCCCAGCCCCAGATTGACCTATTTTTATAATGAAGAATGAGCCTTTAACATATTTTGTTATTTAAACTTAGTTATAGATTAAAAATCATATTAGGCTATTAAATATCATTTGGCTTCCTTCACCCGTAGCATACCCACTATGGGTGAAGGTGGTGACCTGTGTCTGTGAGCTAAGAGATAAGCAGCAGCCTGAAGCTGACAGACTCGGTGACTGCTCCATCAGCCCTCGGTGACAGCTCTAACCACTGCTGTGGTGTTGTGTCTTACAGTTGAAGCACATTCCTCCCTATGGATTCCTTTACTATAAACAACTGCAGTCTCTGTTTAGACAGTGTGGTCAAGTCAAATCCATCGTATTTGATGGTGCAAAGTAAGTAAATGTTTTTGTAATCAATTGCACTTGTGAGGGAGGCATGACATTCTAAGTGTCAGACTCCAGTTACACATGGACGTGGGTCTTTGTGGGGCTGCTACAGGTGGCTCTTGGAATGCAGCTTTGCTCTAGCTTGTCAGTAGGGTTCATCATTTCTCTTACCTGAGTGGCCTCTTAAAGGGAGCACTGGAATCTGGTAGCATAGATGAGTTTGTGGCACAGTGGGCTTCTCTGCAGGTGCCCTCACTTGTGTGCCTCATCCCAAGATTTTCATGAAATGTCATGAATTTGTTATTTTATAACTACGAGGACACCCCGAACAGAATTTATTTGCTCTTAATTAATTAAAAATATCTTTCCTGAATGATTTTGATCTGTAGTCCTTGCAGAAGCTCAGATTATTTGGCCCTATTTTGTCAGCAGTCAGAAATGAATAGTTGACGGAGTATCACTGGGAGTTTTTATTTTTAATAGGAAATTCTTACATGCAAAAAGAAAGACAACTTAGAGTTCTTAAATTCACTAAATTTTTGAACTCAGAAAAGTTCTTTTAGTGTTTCAGTGTTTTAAAATTTTTATTTAATTTGACAAATCTAGTTAATAAGAACACTTTATCTTTGACTAACATCCTGCTAATTGGGTTGAACGTATCAAATCCATTTTTAATTTGGATTATTCTTTCCAACATTTTAAGTTCCATTTTTGGTGATTAATATATACATTTTCTTTGTAGACCTGTGAATACTTTCTGAGGCAAAGTCATAATCCTAACAAGCAGAACCTTTTTAAGTATACTTAACAGTCTTACAGGTTTAATGAATTGAACTTACGGTGTCTGAAGAATCATCATGGGAGAGGCCCAGATTGGAAACCTTGTGTATAGGCCCAGAGTGGGGGCAGTGACCATCTGGGTGGGTGTTGGAGAGTTCGAGACAAGACTTCAAGCAGATGGAGAAGGTGGTGGAACAGGAACGAGTTAGGGCCAAGTGGCTACGGAGAGCACAGGACTGATGAGATCTGCGTGACAGCTGTCTTGGCAGGAACTGGCTTTGTGTCAAGTGGCATCAGATGAGCTTGGGGTTCGGGTCAGGCTGGTCTTTTGTCACAGACTGACAAGTGTGAACATGAAGAGATGGGCACTTGGAGACCCTGCATGTCCTGTTCTGAGCTATTCTTTGGAGCTTCACTTGGACTACATGGAGGCAGATGAAGACATGAGAGGAAGCAGTCTGGAGACTGAAGGAGCCATAGCAGAGGCACTGACAGGGTCCACCCAGTGTGTTTGAAATGAAGAGGAGGTAATAGGTGTAGCTCTTGGACTTGACAGTTGGTTGCTTGTGGAGGACAAAGGAGAGAGGAGCTGAGGAGGCTCAGGTTTGGGCTTGGATGTTGAGGGCCCTTGATGCAGCCCTGAACTCAGGGATGGGGTGGGCTGGGGCAGTGGGAGGTGGGGAGCATGCAGGCTTGTGGAAATGTCAGGATGGATGTGCTCCTGAAAGGTTAGAGGCTTGGAAATGTGGTCTAGAGCTTAGAAGAAATCATTTTTAAAGAGGTACTTAGGAGCCTGCTAAAGAAAGGTGATACAGGCAATTATGCTTCATTGGGCAGTAGGTAGGCAGAAAGTGCATGTGTAGTAGTGACGGGAGTCCCAGGGGCTACTAAAGAGGGCTGAGGGAGAGGAGGGCATGCTGGTGTGAGCAGAGGAGGAGGCTAGGGATGGCAGCAGCTTCTGGTTTCAGGGAAGCAGGGCATACAGTGACAGGCTGCTGCAGGTTAACCATCTCAGTCACATACCCACCGATGCTCTGGTTGGCTCAGTGTCCTTCCTCAGCAGCGGGGAGGACATAGGTCTATGACAGCCCACCACTCACTGATCATATGGCAGGAGGGGTTGTAAGTCTCTTTGCATAGCCATGTGAACACATCTCAGAGCCACTGGGATTACAGGTGTGTGTCACTGCACCCGGCATCTAGTACTTCCTATTGATTAATTAGAATGAAGAATCACTGGTGTTGTGAGGAGAGATGTACAGTGAGAATTTTTACATTTATGGCATTCATAGCACAGTGTGAACTTGCAGCATGGATGGCTGGCAGGTCCCCTTGCTTCATGCTTGGTTCTCGTCCCTCCAAGGAAGGGGATGGACTACGGTCCCAAAATACATGAGGGGCCATGGGGGTAGGATGTTCATCACCATCACTGGGTAATAAACTTAGTAGTTTTTGAAGGGAGATCACTAAGCTCTCTGAGTTGTGCACCTGTGCTGTTTTCTGAATCTGTGTTTTTATGTGTAATAGTTAACAAAAATAACAGGTTTGATTTTTTTTATCATTTTGAAAATTAAGATTTCTTGGGGCTGGGGTTGTAGCTTAGTGGTAGAGTGCTTGCCTAGCATGTGTGAGGCACTGGGTTCAGTTCTCAGTGCTGCATATAAATAAATAAAATAAAGGTCTACTGGTAGCTAAAAATTATTTTTAAAAASATTTCTTGGGTTAAATGGTCTTGTGTTATATTATATAAGGATAACACCTGGTTTCAGTGTAATGGCTTATCATTGTAATTTTTATTTCCCCTAGTGAATAAATTTTCTTTGTCTAGTTCTTTTTTGGGGGTGGGTAATGGGGATTGAACTCAAGGGCCCTCAACCACTGAGCCACATCCTCAGCCCTATTTTGTATTTTATTTAAAGGCAGGGTCTTACTGAGTTTCTTAGTACCTTGCTTTTACTGAGGCTACCTCAGCCTCCAGAGCCACTGGGATCACAGATGTGTGTCACTCCACTCTGCATCTAGTACTTCTTATTGATTAATTAGAATGAAGAGTCACTGGTGTTGAGAGGAGAGTTGTGCAGTGAGAATTTTTACATAATTTCTAGATAAATTGTATGTGATTATTTTTTACCAGATGCCTGATGAATGTACTTGCTTTATATTTGGGGAGCAGAGCCTTTGTGGAGTTCTCGAGGAATCCGACAGAGAGATTTAAAACCCTTCCTGCAGTATATATGGCAGTTAAGATGTCCCAGCTGAAAGTGTCGCTGGAGCTCAGTGTACATGCTGCTGAGGAGATCGAAGGGAAGGTGCAAGGAGGGACGGTGTCGAAGCTCAGGAACACCAGGTATTTCTCAAAGACTTTGCCTGGACTCAGGTTCCAGATAATGTTTTCCTAGGGCTGTGCAGCCTGGTGTGTGCTGTAGCTTATGCTGCAGGWTTGGTTTGAATGCTGGTTGCATCACTTCCTTGTGTGTGCTTGGGCGCATTACTTAACTTTTCTATACCTCATGTTTTTATCTGTTTAAAAGGTATGACACCCATTGTATTAGGCTTTAAGTTTAAATAGTACAGATTGAAACTAATGTTAATTCCCTTTCTTCCTCTTTAGGCATGTGCATTTCCTTGTGATAGTTCTCTTTTAAGCCAAGTGGAATTTTCTTTGTTTTAGTGGAGAGAGGATGGRACATAGTGGAGGTGCAGTTGGGAGCACTTGTTGCTTGAAGTGCCAGCTGCCAGTGGTGTCCTTCCCTCCAGCCATGTGGTGTGGGCAGGGATTGCTTTATATCCATTGGCTCAGAGTAAGGCTTATGGACCTTCTTAAAACAGCCTCTAGTGTTTGCAATGGTTCCTCACTGCCACTTGGACAGGAAGTCCTACCATTTCTCACTGTGGCCTTCCTAACTGGTGGAGCTCGTTAATGATCTGAGTGCTGGTGAAAGAAGGGGTGTATGTTCAGCTGGTTTCGTCCAGTGCCTGGTGTGTTGGCTGCTGAACACATGGGGACATGGTGGGTTCCATCCTCTGCTTAGAGAATACTGCCCTGCTCTATCAGAGTCCACTAGTACCTGAACACCAGTAAAGGAAAAAGAGTGGGATCAGATCTGTCTTATAATTCTTCCCTTCATTTTAGAATACCAGGTATTAGAAAAGGAAAATCTTGGGTTTATTGAATTTGTCGTTCATGTCCCAGATCTTTGGCACTTGCTGTCTATTGCCCTAAATGATGAGTGACTTGTCTTGGGCTTCTTGGACAGTTGTGTGTGTGTGCTCTAACTCAGCATTGAACCACGCATGGATTCTTAGCTTCTTAAAGTCAAAGCCACTACTGAAGTCACAAGGTAGGAACCATAGCAGGTCCTACTTAGATTTAGAATTTATACCCTTGAAAATAGATATTCTGTAAGAGTCTTGGCTTTTAGAATATATTCCCAGGGTGGTACATAATTATTATGGCATGCACCCCTTCCAGGGTTATTCAGGAAGCCACCAGAAATTGACTTCTATGGTGAGATCAAACTCAGGGTCTCTGGCTGTGTTAGCTTTCCATCCCTCTGACAAAGGACTGAGGTAATCAGCTTCCAAAAGAAAGGTTTATTTTGGCTCATGGTTTCAGCCCACAGTTGCTTGGATCTGGAGGCATAGTACACCATGGCAGGAGCATGTGGTGGAGGAGACCGTTCACCTCATGGTTTCCAGCAACAGAGAGGAGCTGTGCTCAGTGCTCCCCTTCAAGGGCATGCCCTCCCTTAGGGACATAACTTCCTCCAACTAGGCCCCACCTCCTAGGGGTTCCACCACCTGCCACAGGAGGGACCAAGCCTTACAGTACATGGACCTTTGAGGGACATTCAAGATCCAAACTATAAGCCAGGTGTGGTGGCAAAGGCCTGTAACCCAGGGACTCAGGAGGCTGAGGCAGGAGGAATGCAAGTTCAAGGCCAGCCTGGGCAACTTAGTGATATCTTGTCTCAAAAAAAAGCGACTGGGGACGTAGCTCAGTGGTAGAGCACCCCTGGGCTCTATCTCCAGTACTCCCCGCCCCAAGATCAAAACTATAGTGCTGGCTTAGATATTTTTTTAAAATGTTCTTTTCTTGTAAAATATAGGAATAGGTGAAGTGAAAACATTTTGAGGGACACTTGATTTTTATGTATTTTCACAACACATGTGTTGTGTAGGGTGAATGTGGACTTCCAGAAGCAGACAGTGGACCCCATGCAAGTCTCCTTCAGCACCCTGGACAGGTCCCAGACAGTGGCAGATCTCCTTCTGACTATCGATGTCACAGAGGTAAGCACAGTGTGATGAGTCATGAGAGCCTCTCTCCTCAGAACCCACAGACACTATGTGTGTACAGGAAGTAAGTTCACACTTGACTGTACACCTTCATCATCTAGTGACTGTGGCCAAGCTTGAATTACTCTTCTTATTAAATTGGAATGTGGCTAAGGTGGAAAGTGAAGCAAATATAAACAGACATTTAAAAAGACACATTAAAATATTAATTGGCATGATGATATGTGCTTGTATAATTCAGTTTATATCCACAAAATAGGTTGGCAACAGTATTATTTGGGTATATATTTTGCCTCTTTAAAAAAAAATTCCAGTCAGGCATGGCGACATGTGCTTGTAATTCCAGGGACTTGGGAAGCTGAGTCAGGAGGAAGGCAAGTTCAAGGCCTGCAACTTAGTAAGACTGTGTCTAAAAGGACTGGGGAGGTAGCTCAGTGGCAGAGAGCCCCTGGTTTCAATCCCCAGTACAGCAATAAATAATAAATGAAAAATAAAATTTCAGTTAAAATACTTGCATGCTTCCTGGCCAGTCTACAGCCACTCCTCACTGGGAAATTCTACATGGAAGTCTGGATTCCAGCCAGACTGGAACACTAGTGGTCATGGGCCCTCATGGTTTGTGGCAGCAGTGGTGGACATTGTGTAGCAGTGCCCTTTGACAGAGGTCCACCTGCTGCTACTCAGCTGGTGGGCTGTGCACCTGCCAGGTGAGCCTGGGGGCATCGAAGGCCTGTGTGTGGCTTCTCCTCTGGATGACCTGGAGACAAAGGGATACTCCTCTCATGTGGCCTCCCAGAGCCCTGAGTAGTTGGGCATGCTGGAAAGTCTTGTGCCTCCAAGAGCAGCTGTGTCACACACATTTCTTCACTGCAGATAGCCAGAACCCTTCTTATTTCCTCACAAACCCATGGAGAGCACATGCACCCAGGAGTGCTGGGAGGTACCTGCTGTACTTTCCAGGCTTCACCTCTGCCCTCCCTGCTTTCCAGGTGGTGGAAGTGGGCCACTTCTGGGGGTACAGGACTGATGAAAAGAGTGCAGAGCTTCTGAGAAAGCTGACTGCTGAGATGAACCAGCTGGAGTTGGCACCCCTGCCTGCTCACCCGCACCCGGACTTGGTCTGTCTCGCACCCTTTGCAGATTTTGATAAGGAAAACTACTTTAGAGCTCAAATCCTTTATGTTTCTGGAAATTCTGCTGAGGTATGTTTTTTCATAACAAATCACTCAAAGGGAAAGGAGATAGTCTATAAACTACTTTGTAAGCTTATCTGGTAATTACAGGTGGAAATTAAATGGGAAATCATTACAACCAGAACAGATTGCTCTGGGTATTCTGTGATTATAGAGAATTAGAGAAGACCACTGTGCTGCTAGCATCAAGTCAGATGATGTTGTGGACACTGTGAGCATTTGCTCTCTTTATCTTGTAGGTGTTCTTTGTAGACTATGGCAATAGGTCTCATGTAGACCTAGATCTTCTAATGGAGATTCCCTGTCAGTTTCTTGAGCTTCCATTCCAGGTAAGGTAGAGAAGATTCTGAGGCATGAATACTGAATGCTAGAGGGCTCTTGCTGGAGGTCATGGGGCCCCTGCCCTTCAGCTTACCATAGGGTAGCCACAGCCCAGAGTGGGGAAGAGACTTGTGTCACACTAGCCAAACCTGGTTTCTACTCACAAAAGGTCCAACACCATAGGTGTTTTTGCCATTATTGTTTTTGGAGTGAGTTAATATATATGGAGGATCTCAAGCTGAGCAAAGAAACATGTTGTTGTAATTGAGTGGTGTATGCTAAGGCTTCTGTTGGCACCAGGCAGAGTGTAAGGGGGCCATCTGTGTGAGTGCAGTCTCAATCACTCCACACTTCTGCTGTTGGTGAAAGCAGAGCCGAGTTTTTTTCAGCTGAGAAAGCCTGGCGCACACCTTAATGAGGTCCAGAAACAAGGGTCACATATCTGGGTGAGTGTTCRCTCATTGATGAAACTGTCTCAGTGTGCATCTGTGTCCTATAGGCTTTGGAATTTAAGATTTGCAAAATGCGACCCTCCGCAAAGTCTCTTGTTTGTGGCGAGCACTGGAGCAGTGGAGCCAGTGGGCGCTTTGCCTCCCTCGTGAGTGGCCGAGCCCTCTTGGTGAAGGTCTTCTCAGTTGTGCACAGCGTCTTGCACGTGGACGTGTACCGCTACTCAGGGGCACAGGATGTCGTCAACATCAGAGATGTCCTCATCAGAGAGGGTCATGCGGAACTTTCAGAGGAGTCCTATGAGTCAAAGGTACAGTCCTCTTGCTGTAGAAGAGAGAAGGAGGGGCCCTTTCTTCCCTTCTGAGGTCCCCAGAGGGGGCTAGGGGTGGGAGGAGTTGCTCTTTTTCCGTGATGGTGATTAAAATATCTTTTGATTCCTTTGAGACTAAGTTATGGTGGCTGGGTATTATTTTTCTTGGTTTCCTACTCAAGCTATTACTTTTGAAATTGAAAATTAGATTGGAAAATGTTCTAGATTTTTAAAAATGAATTTCAAGAATTATTTTCCATAATGGAAGTAGTTAACAAAATATTTATTTCAAATATTTCAAGCATTTTAAAATTTCTTCCAACTATTTCTTTCAAAAATCAGTCATGAAGAGGTCACTTTTGAGTCTGATGTTGAGATCTTACGTTGAACTTCTATAATTCTACTGGGGATGAAGGATGCTGGGAATTTGGAAAGAACAAACAATCCAGCAAAATATTAACTAAAGATCCAGTTAAATTCTCTGTTTTTTCTCTTTCACTCATTTATTTATTGTTGATTGGTACTTTATAGATATACATACATAAAGGTGGAATTCACTGAAATTCATTATTTAATATGTGAAAAACAGAAACAGTGTTAATATTCATCATGTAAAACTGAAATTTTTCATCAAAAATTTGTTTTTTAAAAAACAAATTTTTAAATTGTTTTTTAAAAAGTATTCTGTGATGGCTGATTTTTGTAAAAGCTTTCTTATTTGTTTAAATTTGAAAATGAATTTGATGAACACTCCCTGTATCTTAATGATAGTACAGATCTTATGTCCATGAAATGTTTTGGTTAAGTTGGAATAGGGTGCTTTTAGTATGATTTTTTTCCTTTTAATAAAAGAAACTTTTTCTTTTGTTTTGTTCAGCAAAGCCATGAAGTTCTCAAGGGTCTCTTTTCCAAATCAGCAGAAAATGTGGTGGATGCGTCTGTTCCCTCTCCTGGGAAGGACGACGAGAAGCACCTGATCCGGATTTTGCTGGAGAGCTTTTCTTCCAACAGACTGGGTGCCCCCAACTGCAAGGTGATGTTCAGGAGCTAGTAAAAGATGATCTGGACACTGTGCCACTCCACACTGCAGGCTGAGGCTGCAGCGGCAGCCCTGGTAGCTTTCTACCTTGGTTTCCCTATGTAGTCTGGGCAGGTGCAGAGAGTGCTCCACCTGGCTTCTGTTGTGCTGACCTCCCCCTCTGAAGCAATGCTGCTGGTTCCCACTGGGCCGAGGCATGTGGTGCTGGCTTCTGAGTGAGCTGCCAGGCTAGGTTTCCTGAAACTCATGAGCCCATCTGCTTGAACTAGAGCTGGTGCTGCCCATTCCATTTGCAGAAGAGGGCTGGCTGGAAGGTCCCCTCCTTGTTCAGGTTCTCCACTTCTATTACCCTGGCCTTTGCCCTGCATGACCTCAGGCCTGCCTACTCAACCTACTCACTGGTCTGCTGCCATTAAAAGAAGAACTTTTGCCRATATATTTGGAGTGTTTCACACACCACACATGGGCTTGGTTGTGTTCCTTCAAGGCACAGTTTTCCTTACTGAAACATGAGGATGGTTGGATTGAGCTTCTTTTAAAGTATGGGCTGAGGTTGGGACTTTTTTTTTTTTTTTTTGCTACTGGTCACACTGTTTCGTGTGTGCAGGCGGTGCTCCATGGACCTTTCAACCCTTACGAACTGAAGTGTCATAGTTTGACCAGAATATCCAAGTTCAGGTATGATTGAATTAATTTTCCCATAGATTTTTCTCGGTTCCTCTATTTATAGCCCTCATCAGGAACTAGTCTTCCTCATATCTAAACTGTTAAATATTTTTACCTTGTCCTCTTTTCCTTCCTAGCTCTATCTCAGAGGTGTTCTATGAAAGCCATTCTCTGATCACACTTTTGAATGTCTTTCATCAGACTTCATTTCTTCTGTTCTTGCAGGTCTGTGAGTGCCACTCTGTGCCAGGRACAGAGTAAGAATTAGGGGACTGTGATGAACAGGATACATTTGTCATCTTTGCCAGGATTATTATGTTCAGTGGGGGTGGGGGGCTGACATTGACAACATAGGGTGAATAGGTCTTGATAGGGGCCATAGAACATCATCAGAGTGGCTGGGGCCAGGCCATGCTTTGAAGGCCATGGAGTTCTTCCAGAGAAATCTGACACCAGAAGACTGCAGAGGAACAGGTGTTTGGGGTAGGAAGGAGAAGGTTAGGGATAGTTCTAGTAATAAGTGCTTAGGCCTAAATCTGAGGGGTTGTACTTGTGAATAGTTTAGTATGATGGAGAATTGGTGGCTGGGGGTGGGGGTGGCAGGGACTACAGACCTTGTGGCAGAGGAGTGCAAACTTCATAAGCCATGTTTAGATTTCATCTCCAAACACAGATGGGAAGCCTTACAATGTGCATTCTAAAATGATCACGTTGGGTGAGTTCAAGCCTCTGCAAGTTCATCTAGTACCAGTAGCTGGGCATCCCTGGGGAGCTAATGGATATAAGGATGCTCAGGCCCATCCCGATTTGAGAGGAAGAGTGCATTGTCACAAGCTCTCCAGGAGATCTGTGTGTGCACTGAAGTTTTGAGTAGCCCCATGTGAAGAACCCACTGCATTTCCAAGTAGAAGAGCCCTCAGGCAGGAGCAGACCTCTGATGCTGGTCACTGGTGTAACCAAGGCCAGGGCAGCTGAATAAACACCTTCTTCAGGAATGGGAGCAGCAGGATGGAGCTTGATTAGGGCCAATGACGAAGGATGAGGAGGAATGTAGGATTCCCTGTGGAGTGGGGCTGGCTTCTGGAGAAGCGACAGGAGGAATGGGGTGGACCACATTGTGTCCCCTCTGCTAGAATACAGGTGACAGCCATGTGGGCTGGAGTGCAGGACAGACTCTGGATGTAGRAGCACATTTGGACATGCATATGGTAATTAATGCCAAGGAGAGGTCTGGACCACGTGGGGAGTGGGAAGAAGGTAAGGCTTAGTGGGAGAAAGGGTCCAGACAAGCAGGCCAGGAGCCTGGGAAGCCCTGCATGACGCACCCGTGGATTGTCACACTTGAGTGCTGGACCATCTGTTTGAGGTGCACTCCTGTAGGCTGGGCATGCTCCCTTGCTTGGCCCAGAGCCCATGTTCCTTCCAGGTGTGTCTGGATTGAGAAGGAGAGCATCAACTCTGTGATCATCAGTGACGCCCCTGCAGACCTGCACCAGAGGATGCTAGTTGCAGCCTCACTCTCAGTCAATGCAACTGGTAAGCAAAGGGCTTACCAGTTCATCTGTGGTCCTCCTCTCTTCTCCTTTCCTTGACTTTGGTTGCTAGGAACAATTGCTCCTTATGTGTTACAGTTTTAGACTGTTTTCTGGGTACATTGATTGATGCACATTTAAGAAATGGAGCACTATCACTCTTTGTACAGGGAATGTGGGAACTAACCTATACTTTCATCATTCCCTCATTCCTCCATGCTTGGCTACAAAGGAAAATAAATCCAATTCTTAGCCCTGGAAAACCTGATCATATAATGAGGAGGAGAGAGAAGAAAAGAACAACCGAATGAGTTGAACACCTACATGTCCTCATGAGGTGTCTTTGGGGACTGGAAATAGGCAGTGCTTCCCTAGGGGGCTCTGTGGGGACCTCTTTGCAGAAGAGAGGCACTGTGAACAGTAGGACCAGCAAGGTAGGAACAGTACCCTGAGTAGCAGATGGTGGGCCTGACGCTGACTTTCATCCCAATGTGCAATAGGATCTACCATGCTGCTGAGAGAGACCTCTCTGATGCCTCCCATCCCTGGCCTCCCAGCACTCCTCAGCATGCTGTTCGCGCCTGTGATGGAGTTAAGGTAGAGTGTGGGCCTCTGTTGTGTCCCTATACGGGTTTCTGCAGAGTGGGAATCTGCAGGGGAAAGTGGGAGCTCTCCTTGTTCCTTTGAAAGAAAGCATCCACCAAAGAGGTGGGAGGCGGCCCCACTGTGCTCAGCCTTCTCTATTCTTCAGTGTGCTCAACCTGATTGTCACTGATGTGAACCCCACTTCTTATCTCCCCCCCCCACTCCTTTGAGATAAGGTTCAAGCCATCTCCAGCTCACTGTCCTCCCACCTCAGCCTTCCTGACTAGCTGGGACTACTGGTCTGTGCCACCTCCCCTGGCTTTGGCTTCTGGCTTTTGACTTCATAGTGGTGTGAGGGGTGCTCGTTCACACTGCACATCTTGGACTTTGGTGTTTCCCTGAGCTAGTGACATGCAGCCTGGTCCTCTGGCAATGCTAGGCAGCTCCAAAGAGCCCCACTGTCCTGCTGTTGCTGAGCTGAGCTCTGTAGTTCAGGTTGCTCGGGCCTTTGACATGGGATGCTTTCAGCTTGGGTGCTGACAGGGCTGAGGGTAGAGGAGCTCTGAAAGTGGGGATACCTGTACATGTGCTGGACATACTTCAGAGGGAAGCCCAGAGGGCTTGGGAAGTTGCACACCATATCACAGGCACTCGGGGGGCTAGGGTCCTCCCATAGCAGCATGTTGGCCACATCCTGCTGTCCAGGCTGTGGATTCTGGGGAACCTCATTAGCCACCTTTTCCATGAGTAAGTCAAGGCCAGGAGATGGACCGTCTGGCAAACTGTAGCTCCTTCTGTGCCAAGATCAAACCAGGATTTCTCTCTCAGACTTTAATGCAGAGAGCTTGAACACAAGGAGCTGCAGAGCCTTCACTGATGGTGAAGTACTAACAGGTGTGGGTGGGGCTAGGGGCTGGGGAAGGAGGAGATTGGGCACCAGGACCCATATTCTGGTGGGCCAGAGGAATCGGCCCTGACAGGCACTGAAGCAGGGGCCTCAGGGCACTCTGGGGACATGGGTGGGTATTTCCCCTTCTGTCCCTTCTATTCTGCTGACCACAGGGCTCAGTTGATAGACTGAGCTGGCTGAGTTGGGTGAAGGGAGCCACAAGGTCCTTGCCTTTTACTTGGTTCCCTCTGTGATGACACCTGCTCAGAATCTTAACATCGTAGCCTTAGAATAGTATTTTATTTTCAGTTGTAAAAATAACTGTGTATCTTATTTTCTGCATTAAAATATATGCTATGTAGAAAAAAGCTGAATGGGAAAAAATTAACACCATCGTTTTAAAATTTATTTATATGTTTAACTATTTACATATGATGTCAAATTCTATAAACACTGTATTTTGATTTTAGATTTTCATCATAACTTTTTCACACATTTGGAAGCATTCTCCTATTTTATATCTTTGTAACATCCATTTTGGTAATTACGTCATACACCACAGATTGGGTGTCTAGTGACCAGACAGACGTTACCCTGTTGGATTTGCCTGTGTGCTCTGACTTGTCCAAACAGGACTTGGTCCCTTCAGTTGGAGTATGGCTTGCCCTTATTTGCAGTAATGACTCTGAAATCAGGCATCTTCAGAGTTTTGTAGAGGAGATAGGTGAGGCCCTAGGCCAGAGTGTAATTGTTAGTAAGATAGCGCCATGCAGGCACCTGAGGGACACACCCTGTATGGGGGTGGATGCCTGGAGATCCCTTTAGCTAGACCATGCTTCTGCTTTAGCTCTTTTCTTTTAAATGAAGGCTTTTTTGAGGATTTAAATAGCAGTGTATTACTTTCTAATCTCCAGAGCCAAGTGGTTTTATTGCAGACCTTAAGAAAGTGTAAACTATCATGATGTATAGTCATTTTGTTAAATTTAAGTGAAATGAGCCAGAAGTGGAACAGGGTATGTGACTGCAGTTATATCCCGAGGAACCCATTGTAAGTGGAAAGTGCATCAAGTACCCAAGCCTGCCTCACATCCTACCTCAGCCACAGGGTGCTAGCGGTGTCAGTAGTTACCTTCATGGTGGTGGGGCTGACAGCTGTGGCTTTGTAGCACTGTGCTGGTGTGAGGAGAGGTGAAAATCACAGTAGATTCCTACTGAATGCATACTTCTTGTGCATCAGTGAAAGCTGAAGAATCCCAAGTGGAACCTCCTACATCAGGGACCATCTGTAGTCTTTGAACCTAAAGGCTCAGCTAAGTGGCCATCAGGAAGGGAAGAGGTGCCCATTTGTTCAGTCCATAGCAACTATTTTTGAGAGACTTTTGAAAGGTGAGGGAGGCCTTAAGTTTGAGAAGAGTGGTTTCCTTTTCCGTCACCCCAGGGTGTCTTTCAGGCAGCAGGATGGGATCTCTGGCCTTGTGGGACCTTTCATGAGTTGTATTGCAGCACTCCCTGGGGAAGGCACTCCTGGAGCCCAGCTCCTAGAGAATGCTGTGTGCCACCTGCATCCCTTTCTTCCACCTGCAGGGGGGGTCTTCTCCCCTGTTCAGATTGGCATCTGGCTGCTACTCTATAGACTGTCCCAGGACCATTTGTGGAAACAGAGCACAAGACTCGTGTCTCTTGTTTATTCTGTTCTGCCTCCACATCCATCCTGAACTATCATAGCTGATTCCAACTCCAAGATTTGATATCTTGCCACCTTGAACTGCTCCCTGTACAAGAGTGGGAGGAGGATAAGATAAATGAAGAATTAAGCTCTTGCCTTTGTTGTGAAAATCAGGCAAGAAGTGGCAGGTGGCACTTGAAGAGTGGGAGAACTCAAACCTGATTTTACGCTGGTGGGCCCAGAGGAGATCAGACTCCAGATTGTGAGCTCCCCTCACCAGTTTTCCAAATGTTTATAGGTTATCTAGTGTCATAAATTTTTCTAGTCTAAATGATTACAGGGTTTCAAGTGAGAAGCATGTTTATAGCAGCAGAGTAAGGGGAGGAACTGGCTCCTTTTATAAGGCCTTGGGTACATCTCTAGCCTTGGGCCAGAGCCTCCACAGGGGCCTTCACACTTCAAAGGAAAGTAGTTAGATCAGTTCCCCTGACTAGAAACCGGAGGAGACTCTCCCTTTCCCAAGCACTTACTCTCAGGACAGTGTTCCTAGTTAGTTTGCATCCAGGCTTGGGTTGTTACCCAGTGCACCTATTTCTATTTGAGGAGGAGGGGGAAAGCCAAGAAATCCAAGTAGAGGCCCTAGGCCTTTCTCACCCTGGCCTGCCTGGCTGCTCCCTTCCAAGCTCCCTGCCATGGGTCTCCTGGGGGAGCTGCCCTGGGAGCTGGCCCTGCCCACCCCATGCTACCACCGGGGCTTCACTCCTCTCTCAGTCCCCTTTTCCTACAGTGTGTTCCCTAAAGCAGGAGCTTCCTGTAGTGTCAGCTTCAGCTCAGTGGTATCACTACTTTGTACTTAATGGTGGTGTCCTCCTGGGTGAGAAAGTGTTCTGGGAAGGGCACACCTGAGTAAATGGTGTGACTGTATAGCCACGTGAGCGCTCTCTGTCTGCACTGTTGGGGACACTGTGCTAGGTGGGTGCAGGCTTAGAGCAATGCGTTCTGCAGGGCAAAGAGATTTTTCAAAACGGCAACAACAGAAAATTCTGACCTTAAAGCAGTTATACATTAAATGAGTAACTTGACTTCCACTGCTTGACCAGATGTTCCAACAACTATGGCTGGAAACAAGTTATCCCAAGTGAGGGGGGTATAGCAACCATAATTTGCTCTATGAATGAGGCCTTGAGACAAGTCCTAATGGATAGCAGCCTCTGCCCTGAGGGCAGGAGGCTGGGTAGGGAGGCTTTCAGTAGGGGTGGGAGGGGTCTGGCCCTGCCCCATGCCTTGATGGTGCCTCTGTCTCTGCCAAGGACTCCCCCAGGGCGTTCTCCATGGCTAGCTTGGATGTCCCAGCATGATGGCTGGTGCCAAGGGTCAGTGTTCCGAGAGCCAGGTGGAAGCTGCGTCACACAGTGAGTTGGCCATGGCCACAACCCGCCTAGCAGCAAGGTGCAGTGTCCTTGACCCCAATGGTCCTGGATAGAGCCCACCATTGCCATAAGGACAGAGTATGGGTGGGAGTGGGTGCTGTTGCTCCTTGGAAGGGACCATCTGTCCAGCTGTGCACTGCCTTGCTGTTTGCTTGAAGTTTTCACAGTGCATTCATGTGCTGCTTTGTAGTTTAAAAAGCCTTGATCTGCACCTGTGTCTTAAAAAAAAATTGGACAAAATTCAAGAATAATGCAAAGGTGCCTTGTTGCAAATGGAGCTGGGGGAGGGATGCCCTTAGGTATGGCTGGGGACCATGGGAGCAGGTCAGTCCTGCTGGGTGAGGGTGGGGCCACCTCTAGCTTTGGAGGCCTTCCCAGCTGTGGAAAAGAGCTCCTTTGCTCTCCAGGGCTATTGTGGGGGTTGAGAGAGCTGTTCCCTGCTCCTGTGCATGTGCTAGCCCAAGTGTTGTGGCCTCAAGGGGAGAGAGAAGAGTCAGGAGGTGCTTTACCACTTCTCGCAGAGACTGCTGGCTGAAGCTTTGGCAGGTTAATCCACGCCTGTTTCTGAATAGTTAATGGGGCTTTTTCACATGGCTGTTTCAGATTGAACAGCATTTAACTTTGGAGGAAGTGTATGTCCTTATTTGAGCCCAGCAGGGAATCCTGTTAGTTTGCAGTGGGTATTCCTCCTCTCTCTTGCTTTGTCTTCAACCTGAGTGTATGAGAAGTCACTCTCCAAACACAGCTCGTGCCTACCACTCCTCCTCCTTCACAGGAGCTGGCTGCTCGGACTCTGCCCTTGCTGAGCTCTGCATGGCACCTGCTTCTCTTGTTTCTGTCGTGATTTTGCGGTTTTAGCTTTAGTAGAAAGCAGGTATTATAGATGAATTAAACATGTTTCCATGATCTCAGTGGCTGTTTCTTCAGTTCACAGCACACAGGGTCCTTAAGAGAGAATTGGACCCACTGTGTGTCGTTCAGCTTTCCACCACTGTGACAAAACACTTGAGGCCAATCAGCTTATAAGGGGGACGTATGCATTCCGACTCAGTCTCAGAGGTCTCCATCCTGGCTGCTGGGCCCAGTGAGAGCATATGGTGGAGCACAGCTGTTCACCTCATGGGACCAGGATGCTGAGAGAGAGAAAGAGAGAAAGGGCCCAGGGTTCTACCATGCCTATCAAGGGCATGTCCCCAGTGACCTAGTTGCTCCCACAAGTCCCTGCATCCTAAGGTTCCACCCCCTCCCAGCAGTGCCACAGGCACTTCAGCATGTGGCCTTTAGGGACACCTGGGTTCAAACCATAACACTCTGCTTAGGTTGCCTTATCCACTTAGGACTTAGAGCTGATGGGCAGCGGACCACATCCTTGTGTAGATCCGTCCAAGGCACATCCTCAAACGGTCCTCACTGAAGCAGCTGGCTTGTTTCGTGGCCAGAGAGCAAGGGCGAGGAGCCGTGCTGTGCCACTAGAAGTGATGAGATAGCTTCTCATGTCCTTCACTTGTCTTCTAGAAGGGTCTTAAAGGAATTGAGCTCACAGCAGTGTGAATTATCTTAATAGTGTAGTCCTGGGAGTTTAGTAAATAAAAAAGAAACATTTTGTGACTGTTTTGTAAAGTAGATACTCAGCAACTAATTTGTAAGTCTGAATTCCATGTCTCTGTTCTTTGAGTCTATTTAAAAGCAGGATTTTTTTTTTCACTTTTACTCAATAGAAAAAGGGGAGAGGGAACTAGGTATGGTGGCACATGTCTATAATCCTGCTACTTGGGAGGCTGAGGCAGGAGAATTACAATTTGAGGCTAGCCTGGGCAATTTATTAAGACTATCTCAAAATTTAAAAAAGCTGGGATATAGTTCAGAGTAGAGCACCCCTGGGTTCAACCTCCAATACAAAAAGACCACCCACAAACAAACAAACAAACAAACAAACAAAAAACACACACAAAACACACAGTAAAACAAAACACAGTTAGGCTGAGTGCAGTGGTATGCAGCTGTTGTCCCTGCTACTGTGAAGGCTGAAGCAGGAGGATCACTTTAAGTCCAGGARTTCAAGGCCAACCTGGGCAACAGTGAGGCTCCAACTTAGAAAATTAAATTCGATTGGTCTGTGAACTTGCAGTTACAAGTCGAGTCAGTGCTAGGGACCTATTGTACAACAGCACCACGGCAGTGGTTAATAATACTGTGCTGTTTATTTGAGGTTTGCTGTGAGCCGATCCTGGGAGTTTTCACCACACACAAGAAAGGTGAAAAGGTGTGTGTGGTGGGGGTGTTTACAGACTTGATTGTGGTTCACTTCACAAAGCACACGTACATCAAGACATCTTGTGCACCCCAATTAAATACATGAAATTTTTGTCAATTATACCATGTGAAGCTGGAAAAAGACTAATCCATTCTGATGATGGTAAAAGTCTTGAGTGAAGCGTTAAGAAAATTAGCAAAGCATTTTTAAAGGCTTCAGTGCTAACATGTATACATGCATGTGTGTGTCGTGTAATTACTTGTTGGGCCTTTTGTGGGTGGAGGCACTGGCATTTAAACTAGTGCCTGGGCTGGTGGGAAGGGGCTGGTGTTGGAGAAGCAGCTGGAGGCCATGTTCCTAGATGGAGAGAGGCCTGCAGGGAGGACAGAGGAGGCAGCCGGAGGTGCCATGGAAGGACGGAGCAGAGACTGGGCTGTACTGTGGCTTGTGTGCCCAGTGGTGTGCAGAGGTGGCTGGACACTACAGAAGCCCTTAAACAAGGAAGTCACGTTGCTGGATTTGTTTGAAAAGCTCCCACTGTTTGCTACATCGAAAAAGATTGGCAGAAGCAGGGTAGAGTTGGGGAGCTTGGTCTGAAAGTTCTGGCATGTGGCTAGGTACAGAATGGCTGTGGACCAGGAATGGGGAGCTGGGTGGATTTGGGGGGAAGATGAGAAATGGGAGTGGTGGATTTGGGATGCGCTGTGGGTGGGGTTGGGGAGTTTGGGACAGAGCTGAGGTGCAGAGCCCTCTGCCTCTGTCGTGTGTTCGTTGTGTAGGGCGGGAAGGCAGGACAGACTCTCAGGCTTTTACAGCGCTGGCCTTGTGTCATGGTCACAGATGTGAATGATCCTTTCTCTAGAATCTCCTTGGTAAGAACATAACCCACTGAAAGAGTTCGGAATGACACATGAATGAGCTATTCGCTATCCTGTCGATGGTAGTGAGAATTAGAAGGTTAATGTGATTAACATAAATATTTATTTTGTCGTTTAGTCTGTATTTCTAATGTGACAATTGGAATAAGTGCACAAATGAGACGAGTTGCTAAACAAATGCTGGCAGAATTTGGCTTGATTTTATCCGTCGATTCTCTAATACAAAAAAGTCAATCGACTCCTCCTCAATGTTTCTTGCAGAGTTGATGGGGAGGGGAAGTGCTACACAGGTGTGCTCTGTGGCCTGGGCTGGAACCCCACCACAGAGGCCCCTGTGCTGCCGGAGCACGACATCGAGCTGGCCTTTGATGTGCAGTTCAACGTGGAGGACGTTGTGGAGGTGAGCAGGGCGTGTTACTTACAGCGTCAGTGTTTCTGTGGTGTGTGCCGCGGTGCTATGCCCACAGACACATATGCCTGGTCTCTGAGGTGCCTGTTGCTCCTAGGCCCTCCACACTGCTGGAGGGTGCAGAAGGAGCACTCCTCGACTGGCTTGCTGGTGTCTGCTGAGGGACGTCACTTCCTGATCACTGGTACTTTCATTTGGAATCTGCTGGCATGGGAAGCTTTTCTGGGCAGTCAGATGAAACACCAGGGCAGTAGGAGCCATGGGTCTTTCTCCCATCACCTCTTCACTGGTTCACAAAGGGAAATGAGGAAGCAGGATCCCCGCCACTCTCCTGCCTGTCCTGGCTGACCCTGCTGGGCCCAGGGATGGTACATGGGGACCACACTCAACAGCAGTCCAGCACTGCACCAGCACCACTGGGGTCAGGCAGGTGCAGGCTCAGGCTAGACTTCTCAGGACTTTTACAAAACTCGTGAACAAACCAGTTTGTCTTTTGAATCTAACAGTGAAAAATGTGTGCTTGTATTCTGTATGTTTTTGTTTTTATCCTTCATTATTCTAGTGATTCTTTGTTATTGTTGTTGTTTTGCATTTTTCAAAGTAGGAAAAACCCACTCTTCACCACAGATAGTCTGAAGGGCGCTGCTCCAGAGCACTCAGACTCTTCTCCCTCCAGAAGCTCCATGAAGTAGGCAAGGCTGACACTGCAGCAGGGGAGAGGGAGTAAGGAGTTGCTGGACAGCTGGACAGCAGGCCGAGGACAGGGCCTGGTTGCCCCAGGCATTTTGACTTGTTAGTTTAGCTGTTAAGTATTAACTACCATTTCACATGAAAGGGCTTAAGGGATTGAAAATACTCCTTATATCACCGACCAAATTGTAAATATAAAATTCTGTAAGCAAAAATAGGAGAAATCTGTAAAATCTGTACGAATTTGGGTTTGGCATGAATTTGTAGATGTAACACCAAAAGCACAATCTGTGAAAGATAACTTGATAAGTTGGACTTTACAAAAATTAAAAATGCATACCTGTAATCCCAGTGACTCAGGAGGCTGAGGCAGGAGGATTGCAAGTTTGAGGCCAGGCTGAGCAACTTGGCAAGACCTTGTCTCAAAAATAGAAAGGGTTTGGGTTGTAGTTCAATATTAGAGTTCCTTTAGGTTCAATCCCTAGTATTTAAAAAAAAAAAATTGTTGGGGCTGGGGTTGTAGCTCTGTGGTAGCGGTAGCGTGCTTGCCTAGCATGTGTGAGGTACTGGGTTTGATTCTCATATAAACAAATAAATGAATAAAGGTCCATCAATAACTAATAAAATTTTTTTAAAAAGATGAAAAAAATCCTGTTAAGAGGATGGAAAGAAAAGCTGCATATTGGAATAAAATATATGTGGATTATAGATCTGATATAGGACTATATTCACAATACGCAGGGAACTCTTAAAGCTCAATAGCAAAARATAAGCCACTAGATGAACATACTGGTGACAATGAAGAATGAACACAAACATGCTCAGCACAGGAAAGTGCAAACTGAGGTTCACAAGGCACCACCACACCCAGGAGCATGGCCATGGTGGGGCCAGTGTGGAGCTGCTTGAGGATCCTCAGTTCACTGGGTGGCTGCAGAATGCATCGGCCATATGACTCAGAAATCCCACCACACAGGTGTTTGTCTAAGAGTTTAAAGGCTTAGCACCCTCAGGGAGCGCCTGTGTGAGTATCAGCTACAACTTATTCATGATTATAAAACTGGAAGAATGGAGATGTCCTTTAGCCAGGGAATGAGTGAGCCACCTGGTACGGCCATACAGTGGACACTACTCAGTGGGGAATAGGAGGGGCTGATACATGCAATAGAATGGGTGCATCATAAGTGCATTTTCTGCATGAAAGAAGCCAGGACCCTGGGCAGTGTGTGTGTGCTGCTATTCATATGACACTCTGGACAGAAAGCAGATGGGTGGTTGCTAGAGGCGAGGAAGTGGATGATGGCAGAGAGTACCCGCAGGCTTGGGAGAGATGAGCTAGCTCTTCTTTGTGGGCAGAGGTGCCAGACACARCTGCATTTGCCAAGACCCACAGACTTTCTGTGCCCAAAGAGTGGGTGCTGATGCACACCACCCACACAGACACCCCAGCAGGGTGTCAGGGCCCCTCAAATCTGTGTTCTGGTGTGGTACATGTTTACCCAAAGGTGTGAGGAGCTTAAACCAGTTTTGGCTGGCACAGTAAGATTACAGAGAAGAGCTGCATGTGAACATGGACCTGTAGTTGGCAACAGTTCTGACCCTGTTTCACATGCTCCTGGTGTTGAACGGTGAGGGAGTGGATGCGGGAGCCAGGTTCTCTTTTGGTGGGAGAAGAGTTACAAATAAGCATGAAAGAAAGGCCAGAGTGACCCTGTGGTATTGGAATGGAGTTGATTGCAGCATGAACTCACAGTTAGCTAGTGCCTAGGGATAGATAGAAGAAGAAGCAGTTCCAATCTGTGGACACAGGTTTCTGTCCACACAGATTATGTCCAGCTCTGGGAAGGGCGGGAAGCAGTGACACCCAGGAGCAGCACACATGCCCAGCACCCATGTCTTGGTGTCTAACAAGGTCCTTCGCTTGAGGAGCCAGGGCTCCCTGGGGGGACACCTGGGGCCAGGGCTGGGCCAGGAAGTGCACAGGATGAGTCTGGAGCTTTGCGCAGAGCCAGGAAGTTAGGGCAGCTTGAGCACCCAGGGAGGGGATGAGTCAGAGGACTTGGGTGCCAATGAGAGGAGCTCCCAGTGGCCAGAACTAGCACAATTAGAGCCACAAAAATTGGATTATAGCCCAGAGTGTAAAATATCCATGTATGGTTAGAAATAAATGAMTGAATACCCAAATGGGAAAGAGATGTCTCTCCCTTACATACTTGCCGAGAGTGCAGGTAGGTAGGTGCTCTCTGCCCCTGAGTGTGGGAGAGGCAGGGGAACCATGGAATAGTAGGGGATAGGGAGCGGAGGAGCCTGGGAGAGTGTGCCTGAGCTGAGCATCCACACCCCAGCGATAGGTCCTGATCGTGGCAGGCGCATGGTAGGATGTAATGAGAGGGCACCTCTCCTGTCTCAAGAAAACAAACTGCGCCATTCTACAGAATACCCCACCAGAACTCCACAGACTGCTGGGGTCTTAAAGAACAAGGCTGAGAAGCCCTCTTCGCAGAGGAGACATGACAAGTTCAGTGTGGTGCCTGGAAACCAGGTCCCGAAGTAGAAGTGGGATGTGATTGGGAAAATGGTCACATCGAAACTGCTTGGAGTTTAGCTGATAGCAATGCCTGGAGTAGGTTTCTCAACTGTGACAAATGTAAGGGGGACTGGCTGGAGTTGCAAGAACTGCCCGTTCTGTTGCCTGTTTTGCCTTTGCAACTCTGAGGTAAACCTAACAACTAATCAAGTTTATTTTCTAAAGTTTATTTTCTAAATAACTGTGACAAAGGCTGGTGATGAAGCAGGGCATTGGTTCCGTGGGTGGGGGCCTCTCAGGCTTCCTTAGGAGCATCATTAAAAAGCCAGGGAGGATGCACACTTGTGTTACAGCTGTGTCCCCACAAAGTGAGACTGTGGTGGAAGAAGTGTGTTTCTTAGTGATTCTTCATTTTTTTCTTCTGCTGCTGTTTCTTAAATGATAGTAATGATTATCGATGTTATTCATGTTGTTTTAATAATCCTCCTAGAAACCATACTGATGATAGTCACAGAGTGTCACTCTGAATGCTATGTATGAATTATTCAATGTGAGATGAAACTCAGCTACATGGAGCCATGTCAGTATTTATGTCCCCATTTGTTTACAGATCAATATTCTCCGGGCTGCCATCAATAAACTAGTGTGTGATGGGCCAAATGGATCCAAGTATCTTGGGCCAGAAAGAATCGTGCAGTTACAGGATAATGCTCGCCAGAAACTTCTCGGGTAAGCTGTGCAGTGACACCAGTTCTTTAATCCCAATTGGCTTTCCCAGCCGCCTGAATCGTGGATGTCTTGAGTTGTTCAGAAGACGTACCACACTGACCACCTGAAGTGGGACACTAGTGCTAAGGCACCTGGGAGGCATTGGCCCATGAGCATTGTGCCCCCATGCCATTGAGGGTGCAGTGGCAGAGGTAGCCCAGAAGTGGTGTGGCAGCCCAGAAGTGGTGTGGCAGAGGGTCATTACAGTGGTGCTGCAGTGTCCCATCACCAGTGGGCACAGGAGGACCAGTTTGGAGAGTGTGCCTGGGCCTCAGAGGCTGGCGGGTCTCCTGGTTGCAGCTCCCTTGCCCCTTTCTCCTCCTGCTGCACTCTGCATGGCCAAACCCAGCCAGAGTAAAGAGGGTAAGGATGCCATTGGTGCAGCCCAGGGGCTGAAGTCAGCCTGAGGAGCCTGGAGAAGGCTGGGAATAGTGGGCACACCTGGAAAGGGAGAAAAGAATGTGTCCCACACCCAGGGCTGCTCCGGTCTTGGAGTCAATGTCCTAGGCCAGGGGCCAATCCCTGCTGCCCCGTGGTCCTGTGCTGGCTGGGAGCTGGAGCTGCATAAGAACAGGTACAGCTGGTACCACACAGTCCCACACACTTGGGATGGGTTTTCCTTAGTTTAACAAACACCTCCAAAAAGGTATTGAATATATGAATCTGACTTAGAGATTGTGGGAAAGGCAAATTTTAGTTACTTTCAGTTTTATAAAAAATATTTTTATGTGAAGTTTGTGTTGAAGTTTAGCGTACATAAAGTACACGACCATAAGCCCATGGGGCCAACCCCCAGGTCATGAGCAGTGGTCCCAGTCACCTGATGGTCCCTGGGCCTCCTTAGAACCACTGTCACCCTGGCTTCCCAACAAGGGTAACTATCCTGATGTGTTAGGCCAGCGATGGGTGGTTTGTGTTTGTGTTTTTAAATGGTCAAGTGGTTTTAGTGAATTTGTGGAGTTGTGCAGAGCATCAGCAAACTCAACACTATAGTGCTCTTGTTRTCTCAGAAGTCCACTCTTCTACGTGGCACAAGGAAGTGGTCTTTTGCACAGTCTGCCCAGGGAGAGGCCTGGCCTGGCGTGCCTTCTCAGAGGGATCCTGAGTTCTCACAGCCTGCACTGTGTGTGGCAGCCCCACACTGCAGGAAGGGGGAGGGCCTCTGTGCTAGGACCTGAAGACAGGTGGCAGGCCACTCCCCACCACCATGGGAACAAGCACCTGCCCTTGCAGCTGATCTTGCCCTGACCCTTCTCTGTGTGCAGGAAGCTTTGTTGCAGTGTTTGGCGAGGGTTTTTTTTCACCATTCTGAGACCAAAACAGTGCGCACAAGGGGCTCCTGAGGATAGGTCTCGGATGCCACTTGCTTGACAAATATTTATAAACAGCATTGTGGTTATGTTTGCAGAACTATAAATTTACTAAAACTAATTAAATTTGTACTTCAAATTGGTACATTTTATGGTTTGTAAACTCTACCTCAGTAAAGCTGTTTGTAAAAACCTAAGCTTCTCCTGCCCCTGTGCAGTACTTCCCATCCCATCCTGACCCAGGCAGCTGGGCTGCTTTCTGTAGTAGACCTGCCTTGTTTGACATTTGTGTGTACACAGACATTTTTCTTTTAAAAGATGGCTTACTTGGCTTGGCTTAGTGTTTCTGAGGGTCCTGCGTGCTGTAGCACGGTCATTCCCTTTTGCTAGATGTTGTCCTGCTGTATTGTGTGTCATGTTTTGTTCTGTCACCTCAACAGTTGCAAGGTCCTTGGGGTGTTGCCAGAATTTGGCCATTGTGATGAAGCTGTAAGAATCCCCGTGCTCTCTCTTCTTGTGAATATACATTTCCATCTCTCTTGACTAGATATCCAGGTTGGAATTTGTAGGTTGTGCCAGGTTTGGGTTGACGTCCCCAGCCTTTTTTATTTTGAGACAGGGTCTCACCAAGTTGCTAAGGCCTTGCTAAGCTGGTGAGGCTGGCCTTGAACTTGAGATCCTCCTACCTCCCTAGCCGCTGGGATTTCGAGCATGCACCACCACRCCCAGCTTGCATTGACTTTCAAAGAAAGGGCCAGATTCTTTGCAATGTGGCTGTACCTCGGCAGTTCCCATGGGCCACATGTGGGTGCTGTCTTGGTGTGCCCCCTCTCCCCGTGTGAGGTGATCTCCCACTGGGGCTTTACTTTGCACTTCTTTAATGACTATGGCTGGAGTCTCCTTTTATGTTCCCAGTATCTTTTTTCTTTCTTTGGTGAGTTATCTGTTGAGATCTTTTACCTACTTAAAGATGTTTGTCTTCTCAYTACTGAGTTGTAGAAATTCTTTGTAAATTCTAGATACAAACCTCTATTAGTATGTAATTTGCAAATAGTTTCCCCATTGTGCAGCTTGTCTTTTCATTTTAATAGTGCTTACAGAACACAGTTTTTAATTTCAATGAAATCTATTTTCTCTTTTTCCAAATGGATTATGCTTTTGTGTTACAATTGAAAAAGTCTTTGTGAACCCAAGGTCATAATGTTGTCCTCTTAAAAATGCAGGTGTGGAGCCATTTTGAGGCGACTTGGGTGTGTGGTGTACAGTGTGAGAGTTGAAGGGTTACTCTCCTGTGTGTGACCCTTTATGGTTTCCACATCCCCTGTTGAATTGCTGAAGTACCAGGGCCACAGACCAGCTGGCTGTGGTGTGGGGTCTGACGGCCCTAGCCTGTGCGCTCTGCAGCTGTGCAAGGCTGAAGGGTGTGTCTGGAGATCACTCCCTTCCCGGGAATCTCGCTCCTCCGTTTTCTCTCCTTTCTCTCCTCCTCACATCCCTTCCAGTGCCAGCATGTCAGCTACAGCGGAAAGCCCCATGCAGGGGTGGCAGGGCTGTGCTGAACCTGCAGGTGGCACCTACACCCCGTCTGTGAGGGGGAATGCTGTCTTTCTGGGTGTCCTTTCATTCTGAGCTCTGGTTTTCACCATGCAGGTCCTGTACTTCTGTTGAATTATTTCCATATATTTGAGTATTTTAGGTGCTATTGTGAATGAAATTGTTTCCTCAATTTTAGTTGTGAATTGTTCATTTGATATTGAACATTATTAAATATTGTCACATATTGATTTGTGACTATTGTTTTTTTAATCCTGTGACCTCCTGAGCTCATGGATTAGTTTTAGTAGCTTTTGTACATTCCTTAGGATTTCCTGTGTATAGGGTGGTTATCGTTATGTGAAGTGTCTTTCCTCATCTCTAGGAACAGTTCTTATGTAGGGCCTATTTTGTCTGATTCCTACTATAGCCTCTCCAACCCTCCTTGGTTACTGTTGAAATGGCATACCTTTTTCTGTTCTTTTTTCCTTACAACCCATTTGCATTTTTTTACTTCTTTAAATGTTCTCTCTGCTCCGTGTCACATGTGTTCCTGAGCCTGCCTTGCTCATGGATTCACACAATGCCATCCCTGATCTCTTGGGCTCTGGTCATTTTTCTTCAGTTTCTTCTCTGTTCTTCAGGTTGGATAATTTGTATTGATCAGTCTTTGTTATTACTGATTATTTTTGCTATCTGGGAAATTCTCCATTTTAGTTATTGTACTTTTCTATTCTAGACTTTCCAATAGTTTTTAGTTTTAGTTGAGATTATCTTTGGGTCATTGCCACCAGATGTTCCTTTAATTCTTTAAACATGGCTTGCTTTGATTCTCTGAGCATGTGTGCAGTGGCTGCTTTGAGGTGTCTGCATGCTAAGCCCCCCTGGCCACTCAGTCAGCTTCTGTCAGCTGTTCTTTTTGTGCTGAGCAGGGTCACATGTCTCTGTGTCTTTGCAGGTCTCCTGAATTTTTGAAAAAAAAAAATTAGACATTTTAGATAATGTAAATAATAACATCTAAGTCTGCTGTGCTCCATTTCTTTCTGCTTTTAAATGTGTTATAAATTATTCCCTGATCATAACTACAGAAATTTTGACCTTTTAAAAACCTATTGTAGTTCTAATTTTAAGGGAAATATATAGGATTTAAATATTTTTGAAAAGAATCACATTAGTATTTTAAGTTACTAATGTATCATTAAGATAACTTGATCTTTTTTTCAATTTTAGTTTGTTCTGCCAGTTGAAGCCCAGGGAGAAGATTGTTCCCAAGTGGCACGAGAAGCCCTATGAGTGGAATCAGGTGAGAAGTGGCCATGTGTGGGCAGCTGCTGCTGGTACCAGGGCAAGGCTGCAGAGTGGCTGAGGGTGCAGAGCCTTGAGGCTTTGTGGACAGGACGGCCTGCTTGCTGGCTTTAGGCCATGTCGCCTTGACTGCCAGGGGTGGGTTAGCTGCAGCCGACCTTGATCTTTTGTGTGCTGGAGGCTGGAAGTCCTGGCGAGGTCTCTTCCTGGCTGTGGTGCTCATCTTCTCACTGTGCCGGCCAAGCCAAGTCATCTCCACAGGCCCACCCAGCTACCTTCAGCATAGGAATCTGGGGGACACAGTTCCCTTGTGAAGCAGGGCAGGGCTCATCTCGGCCAGTGACATTTCTTCTCTGTAAGACTTAGAAAATTGAGTAAAAGGTAGTTTCAGGAAAGGAATGCAAGGAGAAGGTTTAGGTTTTAATGCTAAGCCAGCTGAGGTGATGTTGCTCACTCCCAGGCCTGTGTTCCCATCCCCAGCTACTGCAGGACTCCCCACTTGCCCCAGCTGGCTCCTGCTGGGCTGTCACTGCAGGCAGCCACTGTACCTGTCAGACAGTTGGGGGGTGTGGGGCTTATAAAACAGCAGGAAGTCATTTGAAAGCAGAATTTCATTTTGAGGTTGTGTTTTAGAAAACTTATATGTTTACATGAATACTTCCACTGAAGTCACTATCCACAGTTACGTAGGAGAGTGTGGGGATTTTCCAAGTAAAGGTCACCCTGTTATTAAACATGAATTTAAAAGCTCATGTTGTACAAAGTGTGAATGTGGAGAAGCATCTGACTGGCTGTTACAGTGCCTGGTACTTATGTGCATGGCTTTACTTACTGTAATTCTGGATAAGCTCACTGCGAGTCTGACTGTTTCTTTTGTCTGCCTGCTAGGTTGATCCAAAGCTGGTCATGGAGCAGGCTGACCGTGAAGGCAGCCGAGGGAAGAACACCTTTCTCTACCAGCTGCACAAGCTTGTTGTGCTCAGCCCCTGAGGCAGGCAGCTTGTGCCCAGTTGCCCTGCGGGAGCYGTGAAAACCCAGTCAGGGCTCCCCTGCAACCCTGTTCCCATGCCTGAGCATTGCCATCCTGGTCTGTGGCCCCTGAAGAGTCTCCTCCTTCCTGCTGCCTTCTCTTAGGAGAAGGGGGGTGGTGTTCTATTCAGGTGGGAAGGATTGGGAAGTCTAGTCTTTTCTAGAAACAGAAAAATCACTGTATTGACCATTTTGGAAGAAGTTGTTCTGAAAGAAGACTTTGTTTGGAAAAAGCTGTGTTTTGCTTTAAATGTATTAAGGTAAACGTGAGTGACCAGTCTTATATACCAGGTTCCAGAGTGTGCTGTGTGCCCTGTCCTGTGGCAGGAAAGAGCGGGATTGCCAATTAATCACAGGGACTGTGTGTGGTTCTTTAAAAACATGCTGTTTTCTAATTTTTTCCCCATGAGGGAAAATACCTAATTTTGGAAAACTTCAGTTTTGTATATTTAGAATTTTTTTAGTTAGGTTATAGTTCTTAGCTCATGTTTTAGGAGTCAGAGAGATGACCTACCTGGCAACTGGTATACCTGTGTTCAAACAATAAAAACTTTAGACGATGTTTCTGACTGTCCTTCGTTAAAGATTAGTAAGTACGTCATGCCATAAAGAGTTGAGTTGATAACCTAGTGGACCCACGTGGGCCTCTCAACTCATCATCAGTCAGGGTTTGTCAGAAGAAGCTGCGGAAGACCTGTGTGAGGGATTTGGTACATCCGTTGGCTCTGAAGTGAAGTGGAGAGGATCGCTGGAGGAAGCAGGAGCCCTTGCWGGCCACCTCATGTAGGCCACACCTAAGAACTGAGTAGATAGAAGCAGAAGTGTGTGTGCTCAAGCATCTGCGAGGGCTCCAGAGCTCGCAGGGAGGTGAGCAGTGCCCTGTGGGGGAGCATCCGTGGAATGGGGGCCACGTCGTGTGTCTGCAGCTGCCTTGCCCCATTTGGTCAGTGGGGCCAGCTCAGGAAGCCAGCGGATTCTGTATGAAGAGGCTGAAACAGACTGTGGCTGCCACAGGCTTATGTCACTGTGTCACTGGCCTGGCCTCTGCTTCCTGCCTGCTTTCGGGTCCCCATCTTGCTCTAACAGAGCCCTCGGGGTCTGGGGATTTCAGGGGCTGTGCTTCCCAGTCTCAGGCAGGAGGTGGCAGCACTGTGTTAGCACCTGGCCTCAAAGATAAGGGTTCATGTCTTTCCAAAAGGACAGCTGCACAGGCTGCAGGTGTTTCCACTGCTGTTTGCTCTTTGCAAATAGTTAACCTCTTGGTACTATTTAAATGTTTTATTATTTTTAAAAAATTTAAAATTTTTAATTATAGATGGACATAATACATTTATTTATTTATTTATTTATTTATTTTTATGTGGTGCTGAGGATTGAACCCAGTGCCTCACACATACTAGGCAAGTGCTCTACCACAGAGCTACAGCCCAGCCCCTTGAATATCTTCTAATTTTTTTATTTTTGTTTTTTCCAGTGCTGGGGGTGGAACTCGGGGCCCAGATGTGCTTTGAAACTGCTCTATGTGAGAGCAGCTCTTTGTGCTGAGTTCGTGTCATTTGTCTTTTGACTGATCACATTTTCTTTTTGCCTTTTAACTCTTACCCTCCCGTGGAGTCAAACTTGGTGCCTGCTTTATGACTCTTTAAGTATAAATAGCCTGTTCCCTGCAGCTTCTTTTTTGTCATTCATTTGCATGTGACTGAGTAACATTTTGAGTGTCAGTGTGAGTTCTGACAATCATAAACACCCAGGAAACCATGAGAAGGGAAGTACATGCTCCTGTTGCCTACAAACTTCCCCATGCCCACCCTGGCCCCATGCCCCTAGCACAGCAACTAGGGACCACTGGCTTGCTTCCTGTCATTCCAGAGCCAAGGTGCTATCTGGCGCTGTTGGGCTGGGTGTGTTCACCTCGTGATTGGGTTGCAGGGTGCCATCTAGGATGGCATTCACAGGTAGGCTGTGGGCCCTGACTTGGCTGAGTGCTGATGGCTTTATGAGAAGAGGGAGTGACTGGAGTGGGGAGTTGGGAAGACAGAGTGTGCCACCATGATGCCTTCACCACATGCGGACTGTTGGCTGGACGACCATCACCAGGTGTGTCCTCCTCCCGACCTTRGATCAGGATGGAGAGCCCAAACCAACTTCTTCCCTTTGCGCTCACCCACTGTGTGGTGCTATGCCATTTGCCACAGAAGATAGAGGCAGGGAGGCTATGCCCCATGGRTATGAGCAGCACCCCTGGCCTTTGCCCTCTCGGTGTCAGCAGTGACCTCCCTCAATATGTCCCTAGACTTCCCCAGGCATGGCCTCTGGACCCCTGTGCTCAGCATGGTTCTGGAATTTGGTAATCCTGTGTATGGACACATTATCAGTCCATTCACTTCTCAGTGGTTATCTGGGTCATTTTCAGGTATACCTTAATTACCAAGTGGCTTTGAATCATTTTGTATTGATCTTTGTGTGGACATCCTTCATTCCTCTTGGGTGAATGCTTAGGAATGGAACTGTGGGTCAGATGACAACTGTGTATTTAACTTTACAAAGTCTCAGGTGTTTTCTAGAGTGACAGCACCATTTTGTCATATTTCATTCCCCCCCCCCTTTTTTTTCCTCAATACTAGATATTGAACCTAGGGTACTCTACCATTGGGCTATACCCTGAACCTTTCTTATTTTTTATTTTGAGATACAGTCTCGCTAAATTGCAGAAGGTGGCCTCAATCTTGAGATCCTCCTGTATCAGCCTTCCAAGTAGCCTGGCAATCATTTTGGGTTTCTTCCAGTTATTCCAGACTCCCCAGCACTTGGTACTGGCAGTCTTGGAGTTTTGTCTTTGAACAAAAACACTGGGTGACTGTATCCTATTGATTTTAATTTTGCATTTCCTTGATGAATACTGGTGTTGTGCACCTTTTTTGTGATTATTATTTGTATAACTTTTATTGTAAAGGGTCTATTCTAAGTCTTCTCATTTTTAGAACAGTGTTGCTGTCTTATAGTTATTTGAGTTTATTAGATATTCTGGGCAGAAGTTCTTTGTCAAAGATGTACATTGCAGATATTTTCTCCAAGTCTGGGTTATCTTTTCATTTCAAAAAAAGTATTTATTTTTTAGTTTTAGGAATAACGCATATCTTTATTTTATTTATTTTTATTAAATTATTTATTCTAGTTATATATGACAGCAGAATGCAGTTCATTTCATATTGCACATGTAGAACACAATTTTTTAAGTCACTGATTATACACAAAGTATTTTCACACCATTTGTGTCTTCATACATGTACTTAGGGTAGTGATGTCTAACTCATTCCACCATCTTTCCTACCCCCATTTTATTTTATTTTTATGTGGTGCTGAGGATCGAACCCAGTGCCTCATGTGCTAGGCGAGCATTCTACCACTTGAGCCACAACCCCACACCTATCTTTAATTTTTTTTWAATTTTTATTTGTTTTAATTAGCTATACATGACAGTAGAATGCACTTATATACTTTGATATGTCATACATAGATGGGATATAATTTCTCATTTTTATCTTTACATTTTTTAATGGTGTGTTTTGAAGACTAAAATTTTTTTATTTTGATGACATTTGACTTTTATTTTATAGTTTGTTATTTTCAAGTCCTGTATGAGAAATTTTTGGCCAAGCCAAGATTGCACAGGTTGCCTGTCTGCTTCATTTGAGCTTTTACATCACTACTGATGTAAAAGTTCTATAATCCATTTCAAGTTCTATGTTTTATTTTTTCCACATTTGTTTCAGAGGGAGAGATGGGTGTTAACATGAAGTCGAGACTTTGTTTTTCCATCTGTTTGTTCAAAATCATATTCTTTCCCTATTGAATATTTGTGTGGGTTTATTTTATTTTATTTTATTTTTAAAAGAGAGAGAATTTTTTTAATATTTATTTTTTAGTTCTCAGCGGACACAACATCTTTGTTTGTATGTTGTGCTGAGGATCAAACCTGGGCCGCATGCATGCCAGGCGAGCGCGCTACCGCTTGAGCCACATCCCCAGCCCGTGTGGGTTTATTTTTGTACCCTCTTTTCTGTTCTATTGATCTATTTGTTCTGTCACCAGTACCATATGGAACTGATTGCTATAGCTTCATATTAAGTTTTTAAATTGAGTAGTGTCACTTTTCCAACTTTGTTCTTTTTCAGTGTTGAGTTGGCTATTTTGGGTCTTTTTATTCTCCATAATAGGTTAATATCCATGAAATAACTCTGTGATTGTGTTCCATATATAGGCCACAATGGGAAGAACTGACATCTTAACAATATTGAGTCTTTCTATCCATGAAAATGTAGTATCTTTATGTTTCTTTAGATCTTTAATGAGCTTTGTGGTTTTCCTCAGGTAGATTTTATACATATTTTGTTGGATTTGAATCTAAAAATTTATTTTTTGGCAGTGCTACTGTGAATGGTGGTATATTTTAAGTTTCAAATTCTAATTGTTCATTGCTAAAATATAGAAAAGCAATTTAATTTTGTTTATAAACCTTGCATCCTATGGTCTTGCTTATTAGTTCTAGGAGTTTTTTTTTTTTCCTGGAATTGGGCATTCTTTGGGAGTTTCCATATAAACAATCATGACATCTATGAAGACAAATTTAATTCTTCCTTCCCAAGCTGCATGTCTTTTATTTCCTTTTCTTGTCTTGTTGTATTAGCCAGGACTTCTAGTACAATGTGAAATAGTGGTGAGAAGAGATACCCATGCCTCATGTTTGGTCTCAGAGACAGAAATTTCAGTCCTTTACCATTAAGTCTAATGTTAAATGTATTTTTTATGAATGTTTTTCATATAAATTCCCTTGTATTTGTAGTTTGCTGAGAGTTTTGATCATGAATGTGTTAGATTTTGTCAAATACTTTTTCTGCATCTATTGATTGTGTGATATTTTTCTTCTTTGATCCTACTGATGTGATGGTATGTATTATTTG